TGTTCTTAGGCCATATGCAAAACAACGAATGTTTCATTTTACCTTAGACACTATTTATTTATTTATTTATTTTACACTTTATTGTACACCATAAAAACATACATAAAAAAAAACAAACATAAAAGAATGTGCACAATGGGCGGTCTTATCGCAGAATGCGATTTCTTCCAGACAACCTTTGGATGGAGCCAGTATTCAGGAGTTTGAAAAAGGGGGTCGTCTAGTGTACAATAATTAAAACAATACATACAATATAATACTATCTATACCTACATACCAAATAAATAATATATAAAATTAAAATAGATATAACTACTATACATAAGTGAGTGTGTGTGTGTGTGTGTGTGTGTGTGTGTGTGTGTGTGTGTGTGTGTGTGTGTGTGTGTGTGTGTGTGTGTGTGTGTGTGTGTGTGTGTGTGTGTGTGTGTGTTTATGTGTTTCCATGCTAGGTAGGAATTTTTAAAAATATTTTAAGAATTATTTAAATACATTAGGTACTTAATTTTTTAAATAAATTTTGTATTAATTCTTAAGTCATATTCCGTCATGTCAGCGCAACCCTGATGGATTTAACGTTTTGGTCAACTACTAAAACATTAAATCAATCAGGGTTCCGCTTAATTTAAATAGCTTTGTACTTAAAACAAACATTCGGTGAAACATTGCAGATTAATTAAAGATTTATCTTGATAATAGACGTTAAAGTGTCGCTTGAATACTGGAGTAATTATTTTAGTGGCGAAAGCGCTCGTTTCAGATACCGATACCTAAATAATATTGTGAAATAGAAGTTTTATTGTATATTGAAAAGTGAGTTGGTTCTCACTAGGTAGAGTATCATTTTATGTAAGAGAAAGTTTATTTATAGGTGTGTAATCGGTAGTATTGATCATATACGTAGAGATAAATAAGCAGGTAAAACCTCCAGTAATCAACAGGAACCAATCAAATACGAGGGAGGTAACGCGCGAATTCACTGCAAAATGCACCGCAGAGCAGTTAAATTTTATTAGAGCTATTATTATTACGTTGTATATGCAGAATGGTGGTCGTGTGTGCGTTCCGAATTCTAATAGATTCATTGTCTTCGCGGTTCCTTAATGGTCCTATTTGTCACAGAACATAGGTCGAGGACCTTGCTGTTATCAGCACTTCATCCGCGATCATTTGGAACAAGCTACCGGTATGAATGCTGAGTGCTGGCTATTTATGAACAAACCAAGTACACGACTAAGTGAAAGGTGACAACTCCTGTTTACAAAATATATTTCTTTGATTTATGATCTGATGCAATGCTATCATGGCCGCACTAAACTGATGAGCTGTGTTGGTCGTGTTGACGCCAAGCTTAGAATGCTTACAACAAAGTTAATTGTTTCCACTCCGAGGCGACAGTAGATTTATGGTCACAATATAACGCTTATGATGACCGACCACGACGACAGAAATTTAAAGTAGGATTACAAGAATTTTGTGCTTATGAATTTAGTATCTAGTAAATACTTATGAATTAAGAAAATGTAAATTAGGAAAACAATAAAATATAATCCATGGGATTATATTAGCTGCATTTTAATGAATCGCATAACTTTTATTGTTAATATCCAGGAAGTACATCGATTCAGGTGATGATCGAATACTTGCATAAAAGCTTACATTCCGAACACGTATATCACAGGACGTGTCAACTGTCATGGCGTCAATGCCAGCGCAATGATGTCAACCACATCCGATTGTCTCCATGTTAATACCATGGGAGACCACCTTCGTATTATTGTATAAGCGACGACTTTTTATTCTCTGCCATGATTGATAAAAATTGTTTTTGTCGGTTGAATACTAAATGTGTATTTTTTGGGAGTGCCTTGTGACATAGGTATGTCTGGATATAGTCTGACGCAGTCATTCTACAATTAATTCTGTCCATTTGTACCGTTTGGTCTTGGCATGCTAGTGGGAACGGCAATATATCTGGCTTACACTGACTTTAAAGTATTTGTCTTCGATCAGACTTAGGAGCGATCGATCAAGTTTAATTGTAGATGTTATTGAAGACATTTTCAATTAATGCTATTTCTAGGAATGACTGTATCGTCCTGTTACTGGTAGGTACGTAGAAAGATGATGAAATGTAAATGAAATGAAGTTCTCGAGTCTATTCTGCGAGTGTTTAATTGTGTCTGTCGCATTAGGAAGTTATATCGGAGTACGGCGGTGAATGCTGCCAACGCTCATAGTATGTCGGTTAAAAGTTGTCTGCCGACTTCAACGTGACTCACTCCGGACAAAACGATATCCACACTCAAAATAACGTTTGTATTTTTAATTAGTTTAAATTTCAAAGAAATTATGATAATTTTGGATGAAAGAAAAATAGGGTTTATTATGAATAACAGCAGGATATTCCTTTATTTCTTTTTGGAGCGATGTACCTATGTATATTATTTACAGTCCTCAATATCGCTTACTATACAGCGAGCTGTAGGATGAACCTCGAAAGAGCTTAATTCTTAAGTGGGCGTTTAAATTATGAAATCGCTGACGCTAAGAAGGAAAGGCTCTTAATTTGAATTGGCATAGTAATGAGCTAGAACAGGAATTCATTAATAAAGCTGTGCAATCCTTTCTGCTTATTTTACGAGTGGCACGCAGTCTGTTTACTGATGATGTTACAAATAAAATATGACATTAACATTCAACTTGTTGTTGAATACCAATTTGCAGTTCGTCGATTGTCGAAGTATAAACCGTGATTGCAGATAGTGTGGGTTGAATTGGTCTTGTTGGCACCATCTGATTTGTATACAATGATCATTGTTCCGACACTTCTCGTGCGAGGCCCGAGCCCATAGGTTAATCGATGACATTATTCGATATCCCGCCGCTTTTAAGACGTAAGAGACATTAACGTTAATGTCCCATAAGCCCTTTGAGCTCAAAGGTATCTTTATGTTGTTCATTCACAACTTAATATTTACTCTGTGATCTTTTTGTGACAGCTTAATAGCTGAGAAAAAATGCATAGGTACCTTTTATTTTATGGCCGTGTCTTCGTGTTCGTATTTTTAAACACTCACGTCTTTGCCTCTCGTCACTACGGAAAATATCGTAAATTATGCACTCGAAATTGTCAGCACAAGCGATTAACTTCTAAATGATGGCTGTTTCTTTTTGCAGAACTGTGTCGCATAATAATTATTGTTATTTGATTTCTAATGTTCCTGAATTTATCTTGAAAAATACAGTGGATATTTACAAAATTGTTTATAAGATTAACATCAACATCAGACTATTTTCAAATTACGATAATGCTTTTAAATATATGTAATTCAAATTGTATTTTATTTCATAAATACATTTTAGCGCTATTAATATCTATTACGGTATTATGGAAAGAAATTTATGAAATAACGAGAATTTTCAGATTTCGTTAGTAAAACCTCTTATCGTTTCACCTTTTATGAACTTGTTATAGTTTACAAGTTGATGTATTAGAAAAATAATTAAACAATCTTTATCAGCAGCAGACATCGTGTGTGTTTATGTAGTGTGTGCTCACCTCTAGAGCGACGCTGATAACCCTATAGCGCCGTCTCTCAGATAACGCAGCCCACCAGATGCACATCTCAGTTATTTATGCATATTGCTGTGATTTCGTAAGCATCGTAGGGTTATCTAATAAACGCGATTGCTTCCATAAATTTTGACATAACGTTCACGACACGTTTTCTTCGAATTAAGTGGACGAATAGTGCTGTTTGTTGACACGTCAAAATTAAAAATGGATGGTCTAACGGAATGGAACATTATTTAAAACACGTATATTGTACGTTGTTATGTTGTCAGAAAGATTATTTATGATGGTAATATAACGTAACATGTTACAACTTTTCAAAATGTACGTGAGCGACAGGGCGAATATAACTTCAGAGTTATGATGAAACAGCATGTCAAAACAAACTACAATATGTCTTAGCTGTCCTGAATAAACGATTTAATTCTAACTTAGAAAATTGTAATTAATAGGATAATTAATAATAGTTAAAAACCTATGCAGAATGTTTAATGTCGACCAAATCCGTTATTGTAGTTTCGTAAACCTTTACGAAACTACAATAACAAAACAGTCAATGAACTTGGATCTCTTAAGATAAAATGCGACAAAACAAGTGTATTGCTGGTTACCCAAAGTCTTAATTAATAAATGTAACGAGAGACATCTAAATTGATAATGTAATTGGATATTTTAAAAGGGACGCGGTCGCGCCGCGACTGTTGGTGTTGAGCAACGTGTAGCGATGTCCGGACATCAATTAATGTCATTAAGCGGGTGTAATACGTGTGAGCACAACATTGACTCAGAAAATATACTTTTTTCAAGACTGGCTGATTTATAGTAGAAAAATAAAATACGAAATGGGACTTCACATCGGTCTGGAATCTTTAGCTCTCTGATTTGATGCTCTTTAATTCCGTAGTTTGAGTTGCCATTAAGTCTTGCCTCTTCAAGTTCTGGAAATTAGATCGTCGCATAGTCTGAGGCCAACTAGCTAGTTGGAAGAGAAACATCTCTTCCTAATCTGTGAATCCCAGTCCATCCCTTTGGGGAATAAAAGATGTAATACTACGATTTGTTTAGTTAGAAAAAGTTGGGTCGTTTGTAAAGCAATTCCAGGTGGACCTTCCTGTGTGTTCTTATGTGATGGTGGTTCGACCTCGCAGGGAACACGTGTTTATTTACCACTAACATGTATGCCGGCAGTTGCGCAACTTTTATTACATGTTATTCCGTGTTAGAACCAATTCGATGTAATTACCAGGATGTGGATATGTTTTGCGTGACGCCGTTTGTTTATTGCGCCGAGGAAACCAGATAGGAGGGCGAATTATAAGTTTATGTTTGTAGGGCTGTATTTTATTGATTAACTCTTATTACAGGATGTAATTCACCACGGTAATAAAGAATTTATTGTTTTAAATACGTCCTTTTGTTTCAGATGTCTTTAGTAGACATTGCATCAAATTCGTCTACGTTTGAACAATGGGTGCCAAACATTTACAGATTCTGCACACCACGACTAGTAAGTATATTAAGGAATTTACTGAAAAATTCAACTTAAAATTTCATTGATGGTAGAGAGTCTTGCTTACAATTTAGAGCAGTGTACTTATAGTTCTTAGATACTATTATCCAATAACTAAGAGATGACGCCAAACCACTTGAAAGCACTTACCAAAAAACATTAGTCCATGAATAAACTAGCATCAAGTGCCGATCGTAGGCGGTAAGGCGATACGATCCGAGCAGACAATCACAGTTCAGGCCGCCATGCGCCATTCACTCCACTCTCTGAAATAAATCTTCATTCATTTTTGTCAATAAACCGCCTATCAGTATTGTATTGTAATTGGGGTGGGTATAAAGTTTCCTGCCTCAACAAAGCAGATCCCGGTGTATAGAGTTACTTCAAACAATGGAAGATAACAAAAGAAAACATAAAAAGACGTAATTTGATTTACAAATGATAGGTTCCTGTAATTATGTGCAGTAATTTAACTCGAGATATTTTTTGTTCCAGATTGAGTTTTGGATATGTATGAATAAAACGATTCAAGGTAATATTAGTTCTATAAAGTAGAGCCTACTCACTGTCTTACCCTTAGTCTTTTAAAATAAATTCAACAGGCATAGAGTTGTTTTGTAAACTAATTAGTAAATGTTTCATTTTCAAGCAGAAGTGGTATCTGGTTCTGGTTGGTGGGGTCGCGCGTGTTGTTCCCTTGGCAGACTGGCGTCCTGTCGGCACGCATGCGCCATGGCATCCAACGAGAGCGCGCTGATCGGCGCCGGCGCTTGTCGTCGATCTGATGAGATTGCCTTCTTTGACTGCGTACAACGGCAGCAGGAGGCTCAGCATTGTTGTTGTGAGTATACATACAGTGCAGAATTTGCTTTTAGTACATTTTGATTAGGGTAAATTGGTTAATTACAGTCGTTCGTTGATTTTGACAAGGCATTCATTATTCGGACTTACTTGTAATGCCCAGCAATAATGAGATGGCGTAATTGTAAGATATGTGTGTAACAGATGTGCTATAAAAAGTTCGAGTTACGACTATAACTGAAAAAAAAATCGCGTTTAGGAACGTTTTTATTGCAAGTTGTTCAAATGTTACCGGAATCTTTGATGTTCCGATCAGATTTTTCATTCAAGGCCTTTGTCAAAGGAAATGCTGTTGAATTTCATCCGAAATGAGATTTTATAAATAATACATGTTGTATTTCCATATTCCCGCAGCGCAGACCCAATCCATGACGTGTCACGAGGAGTGCCAGAAAGCGTTGTGGCGTCTAGGACAATCACGGGTCGATGTGCAGGCCAGAAGTACAGCGCTGCAGTCGTGTGAAGAGTCTCCTGATTTAATGAGGTGTCTCAGAGATCTCACCGATTCCGTCGTATCCACAGATACAGCTAAATGTAGGTAACAACAAGTAGAATGTCTGATAAATAGCAATAGATTAATATTTCTTTATGTAATGTTTTAATGTAAGCATAGTTTTCCTTAATTAGCTCCTAAAATAAATTTTCTTTCATTTTCAAATGCCTTCCTATCAATTATTAGAGGTACATTAACATCTTCACTAACCTATCAAAGCACTTAAAACATAACTCTCGTCTTTCATTGGTATGTGCATATAATAAACGATACGCAGACGAACTTTTAAAGCGATTTTTGCATTTCGATGTAGATCTGCCTTGCTGTCGCGAATCAAACAAACAAGAATGCCAGCCAACATGCGAGCGAGTGCTGCGGACTAAAAGTGTCTTGCAAGAAATGGTGGAAGCTCTAGAAGTGGACTGTGGAGCTCCATTGATCCTCGACGGCTTCTGGCAATGTTTCCTGAAGATAGATGCTCCACCTGAACCGAAGGATCTGATTCCTCATGATATTGCTAAACTGCATTGTTGCCAGAAGGTAAACTCTAAGCACACGATGACAAATCAACTTCTGTTTTCTCGTCTCCAATTTCATTAGTCCTCAATTTATTACCCAATTTGACGAGAGCTGCGTGAAAATCCAATGTATGATTTTAGAACAACTTTTAGCTTTCTTGTAACAGTATTTTTTGCCAAAACCCTGTCACTTTTGGATAACAAAAAACTTTTTCAGTTTAGTTGTTTCGAACGTTACACGCCCTTGATCCACAGGGGATCTAACTTCGTTCTCGCTAAATTCTCGCGAAGTTGTGATTTCTTTAGCAAACGAAGTACATTATGAGCGAGACAAGTATTACTGAAGGTAAACTTTGTTCCAGGCAGTGACAATAAACTGTCGGAGACTATGTTTCGAGACGTTCAACACTGGCTGGCAAACTAACTGGCAGAAGTTCTACTCGGAGTGTTTGGGAGATCCCCAGGAGATCACTCTCTCTGAGTGTATGGACGACGGTACGTTTTATTGAAAATCGTACACATAATATAGGACTTCCATTTTTGGGTGGGAAGTGCTCAGTATCTTTTGTATAGGTATACAAGTTTGATAATAAAATAGTTTTTTATGAATGAAGTAATTTTTTGGACTGACACAAAACGAGCTTAAATGTTACTAAATGTTAAGTAATATTATAATAAAACCTTGTCACTTCTTCTAAATCAAAGACTCCTTATCGTAGTCGATCTCTAGAAAGTGTACACGTTGTAGAAGCTCAAGTACTGATTGGTATCTACTAATTAGTAGCTGCTGGAGCAATCATTACATTTCGAGTTAAAGTTACTTGATTTTCGAGTTGATGGATTAACATTAAACCACAGATAAAACTAAAGCGAAATAAACAGACAACCTTTAAATATTTTACACATACTTAATAGGTGCTTCCTCCATAGTTCTCTCTGTATACGAGTAGAAAAACATGGTAAATCGCTCGCATCCATATTAATGTAGAATTCCCGCGGCTTGATGAGACGATGCGTCGACCATGCAGATGAGAACCTCTGACTAGAATAAGGCATTCTAATTAGCGGTGGCTTACGGTAATTTAGCTGTTTGTATACTAAACAGGCAGATTTACAATAATGGCATCATCAGCTAGAAATACCGTTCCCTTATTCGGTGTCGAAAGAGTAATGTGTTAGGGGTGTAGTAATTAATGATAATGTTGGGAATAAGAGCAGATATTCAATAGATATTCAACTAAATGTTGTTGTTCCTGTTTTGGTATGTAATTGCGTGAAGGTATTTGACAATGATTCCACTACACGACGCACCAGAAAATACTAAATCGCCACATTTCTTAAAAAGATTGAACTTTCGTATAAAATCCTTTGTAAAATCGTTAATTTGCAGTAGACTTCTGTGGACATTCTCAATCCCGTCTAGGGAAAGGACTTTAATTCAAGCAGTTATGAAATTTATTGGGAATAACTTTTTGGACTATTAAAATATGTAATTATCAAAAAACAGATTTTGGAGCAAACTTCTTTTACGCTCTTTCTTACGATGTTTATTCCTCTTTCCAGTGGACGCCCCATGTTCCCTGGGTTGCGCAGGTCTAACATACTGTAGCCAGTTGAACAGTCGGCCGACCACTCTGTTCCGCTCCTGCACCGCACAGGCAGACCTTGAGGCTCATTTAGCAGTCGCCGAACAAAAGGGAAGTGGGTAAGACTTTCTTTGATACATCTACTGCAAATATTTATGTACAGAATTACTTATGATACCATTGTAGTCCTTTGTCTGGGTTTTTCCCATATAACATTAGGGTGAGTCGTACCTTAAGAGGTTGAAATTGAAATATCATGATTCCAAATGTAGAATGCTGCCATCTACCGTCCACAGCTGACTGAGGGAGACATAATAGTTATTATTCTTGGCCACTGCCATCTTTTTAGAATTAGGACTGATCTTAAGAAAATATTGAACCCCCTGGTGAATAAATTAGTAAGTCAGATAACCTACTTATTAATACGATATTTAAATCAAATACATAAATTACACACATTTTTTTCAGGGTTCTGATGGTATCTGGAATGGAACTGCCTCTCAGAAATTCAACTCAATGTCCTATTGATATTTGGAAGAGCGTAGCCTGTGCACTACACGTCAAACCATGTACGGCCAAGGTGGGAACCCCTTTTTAATACCTACTAGATTGATTGATTAGATTTAGGTATTTATTTTTCATTGTCTTTATTCGTTTTTTTTTCTTCAAATGGGCATAAGTTCCTCTTAATAAAAAGATTTTGCATAATTTCCACGGTTAGATGGGTTTGAGATTACAATTAAAAACGTCAGGTTTATCGGAGACTGTTGTAACATAGCTCGATCTCTGTTAAATGTGTAGGCCTCTAGTCAGTACGTACGATAACCCTCGACAAGAGTAGGGGAGGTGATCATATGTAGATATATTTTTCTCTCACCTATTACTTAATATTTACTTATTACTTGACAGGGCCACAGCAGCCTTCTATGCGCGGAAGAGTGCGCACGCTTAGTGTCGTCGTGCGTGGAGTGGGCGCGCGTCCCCGGCACTCTGACCGCGCGGGCACTCTGTGCGCGCCTCACTCCCACCGACCCTAGCGCGCCCTGTGTACCACTGCACCAGTTCATGTCGCCTAGTAAGTATACCCACCACATGTATGAAAATAGACAAAGGAGGAAGTCTACAGGACATAATCAGAAAAGCACAAACACCTTAGCTTTTCTGTAGACTTAGGAAGGGTCTACAGAAAAACTTTTGTGGAATGTAAACCTCTGTAACAATCATTGATCAGAGATATAGATATAGCACATAGTCATAGTGATAGAAATCTAGAATATTGCAAGAAAATAAACATTTAAATTCTAACACGCAACATTACTGTCTCCCCTATTGCAATATTTCTGTGTATCTTTTAATATTCAAAGTTTCTAATTGTTTTATTTGTAACATTTGTACTATATAGAACTTTTCCCACATCTCAGGTACCGAGGCTCCCTTGCTGTCAGCGAAGGAAGTGGTGACGTCACCGTGTGCAGGGTCCCCATGCAGCGCTCCACAGACATGTGTCATCAACAGGAACTGTCTACAGGGCGGGACCTGTCCACGGTATTACTGCGTCGATGGTTGTCCACTTGGTGAGGAGTTTGTGTTATTAGAGCTAGCTTAAATGGTTGAAAGTCCATCAACTGAGAATGAGACTTAATATTACAGATATAATATAGGGATTTTCAATGTCATAGTTACCATTCTAGCACTTCGGGACTCAAGGGAATCTTGGTAAACTAATTGTTTAGTTTAGTATACATCATCATCCTATAAATGCCCACTGCTGAGCAAAGCCTCTCTCACATGGAGAAGGTTTAAGCATTAATCACCACGCTTGCTTATTGCGGGTTGGCGATTTCAAACTAATAATAAGAAATTTTAAGTCCAGGTTTCCTCACGATGTTTTCCTTCACCGTTTGACAGTGGTGTCTATATATCTTAGAAAGTACGTATAATGCGGAAAAAGTCACATTGGTACTTGCCGTTGGTAGGTTTCTAACCTGCATCCTTATGCATGAGAAGCGGGCGTCTTAACCTCCGGGCCACCTCGACGATCTCCGGGCCACCACGACGATATAGTATACAATTTAAAGCCACGAGAAAATGCATTTCTGTCTCTATCATAAAAATTGTTTGTACGAGTCTCGATACAATAAGACTATTCTCCTTAACAACTCTACTTTCTTCCACAGGCGACAGTTCTTCCCAAATAGTACCAGTGGGTTCTTGGGTGCGGGTTCCAATGCCGTCCTCGCTACACAAAGCGTGTTTCAAGATCTGTCGCTGTGGCCATAAAGGACTGACTGACTGCCAACCTCTGCCCTGCGTGGAGATGGAGAACTGTCAGCTACATGATAGAGAAGTTATGCAAGGTATGTGATGGAAAACAGTTTTTTTTTATTTTAGCTTCAGTTCAAAAATCAAAAACCGTATCTCTGTTTTCATTGTCAATTAATTTGCTCTTAGTTTCTTTCTGTTGGCTTTCGTACCCAGATTTATTAATAAAACTAAACTAATCTATATTTATCTAAGATTTTCTTTTCAAAGAAGAGTAGTTGATTGGGATCTTAATAGCAATATTTTTACGTAATTGGGGACAAATGAGTAGATGAAGCACTCATGTGAGAGGAGGAACCGAGTGTTTGATGGTCTAGTATGACATAGTTTACAATTAATAAGAGCTGTTTATTTATTTAATATTGCCTAACAACCATATCAATGAGAAGTAGCTCCTTAGTTCTTCGAACCTCTTCCCTACATCCATTTTGAGATACAGACATGATGGAAGTTTTTTCAATATGTTTTATTATTTTTGTTCTTAAAATGTATGTAAGAAGTTTATAGACCGTTGGTAAACCTGTAATTTATGGACTAGGTGGGTAACTCCTTTTGTTAGAAATTGTAATAATGACCCAGTTTCCAAAGCTGCCTGGAAGTGTAATGCTAAGCGAACGTGTGAACTCTTGAGCCATTTAATCCAGAAATTGTGCAGTTCGTCCGGCCCCGGTGACTGCTGCGTCAAGATTTGGGAATCTGACGTTAGCCACTCGACAAGCAGCTACCGCCCCACAGTACAAGATTGAGTGTGTATCATAGAGGTTTTCGCTACTGTTAAAATATTTTTTAAGTAGCGAACCTAAGGCGCCCTATTTATCCTACACATCTGCAGACGTGGTAATTTTGGTCTTAAATTACTAGGAGCAAGTCTGTACTCACGAACCGCATCCTCCAAAGCACTCCTCAGTCGTTCATTGCACTAAGTACCTACTCACTTGTTCAACCCTGTCGTCCTCCACACCAACGATAGGGGTGGTTGGTGTCACACATTGTGACACTACAAGTGTTTGTGCCACCGATTGTGGTGGTGCGGGGACGACACGATTGCGCAGTGCTTCTAGGCGTAGCCGATCAAGCGCAGCCTCATCCAATCTGCGATTGCGTTGGATGACCCGCACCTGATCCGACAGTCGTTGGGCCGAGACGTTGATAGATGGCTCAAGAACCTGAAATATAGAAAGCATCCTTTCACGGTACGCAGTGAGGTTAGGCCCTACCTTTGGAACACCGTAGTACGAGAGCAAGACGTTCTAATTTATGGTTTAGTAGTTCCATCAGAATGGAGTTTGGAGTAGACAAGTGTGCGGTCATGCATGTATAGCGAGGACGGATTGTGGAATCTGAGGGTCTAGAACTCTTAGATTTTACAAAGCTGAGATCACTCTCCTCAAACGACACATACAAGTACCTGAGTATGTCACAAGGATTAGGCATTAATAAGCCGGACATGAAACAATCGTTACAAGAGCGCTTCTTTGGCCGCTTGAATAAGGTACTGAAAAGTTACTTATCAGGCGGAAACAAAGTGCGAGCCTTTAGCAGTTGGGTCATGCCAGTCCTAATGTATTCTTTTGGTATACTCAAGTAGACTCAGACTAAACTTGACACCCTGGATAGGCGAGTCCGGGCACTGCTGACTGCAAATCGCATGCATCACCCTCGTTCGTCGGTCATGAGCTTGTACATCCCGCAGAAGTGTGGTGGTCGAGGCTTATTAAATGCTAAGACCCTTCACAACCGTGAGGTGTGCAACCTCAGGGAATATTTCCTGAAAGTCAACAAGGGTATGCATCGAGAAGTAGCAGCGGTGGACAATGGATTCACTCCACTATCCTTGGCAAAAGAGAACTGGCGCAAACTTGTGGTAAGAACTGGCGCAAGAAGGTATAGCATAGCAAGGAGCTCCACGGACGCTTCTTCCGGGCCCTTCATAGGCCCAGTGTAGTTTTTCTAGCGTCCGGGTCTTGGCTACGATTCAGTAATCTATTTGGGGAACAACTGAAGGATTTGTCTGTGCAATAATGGACGAAGTTATCCTTACGAATAACTACCGGAAATATATAATTAAGGATGGGACGGTTGACCGTCCCGGTTGACATAATGTCGGGCAATATTTCTGGTGGTGGTCATTTGGCTAACAGTGAATATTTGCATATGCATAATCAAGTAGCCAAGATTATCCATCAGCAACTTGCTTTATACTATCGACTTGTTGAGTCTAAGGTACCGTAATACAAGTATGTGCCCGACCCAGTTCTGGAAAATGACCATATCACATTGTACTGGGACCGGTCTATCATTACTGACAGGAATATTGTAGCCAATAAACCGTACATAGCGGTGATAGATTGACAAGTACGCCGTACGATGATAATCGATGTCACTATTCCCCATAACGAGAACCTCGTGAAAGCTGAGAAAGATAAACAAATAAAATATCTAGACGTAGCTCACGAGGTTGTCGACATGTAGTGTGGATTCGGCTATCATTGTGCCGATAGTCGTGTCAGCCAATGGGACATCCATCTCAGGAGGCTGGCGTTAGGTGGATGGATCAAGGGCCTGATACAGAAGGCTTTAGTTCTTTTAGAAACGGCGCGTATCGTGAGGACCATGCTACCGTTACTGGTCGGCTCGTATTTTTTATATTTTTAAATATTATTTTTTCTTTTGTAAGTAGGATTAAAAAATGTAATTTATGGAGAATTTAAAATAAATATATGGAAAATTCAAATACATAAGTACCTCCACAATATAATATATAATTTATTTCTACTGCTTTTACTATGTATAGCAAAAATTAACAACAGGATTCAGAGTGCGGAGCGCGCACGTGAGAGGCGCCTCTCGCAGCTAGTTAGTTCGCGAACATGGTTCTGGCAGTAACCGCGGCTGGCGACGACGACCCACATATCTATTGGGACGAGCAGTTCAACCACAGATATAATAAAGAAGAGTTCAACCCTTCGCAATAAAGTAGTAGCTGTGTATGTGTTGATCTGACGTATTGCGTCATTCCAGGCTCCAAGTACTACATGGAGTGCAACGCGTGCGCGTGTCGCGGCGGAGAGCGAGTGTGTGCGCGGCGCGCGTGCGGGCGGGCGGCCGCCGCGCTGCCGTGCTACTGCCCGCCGCACCACCTGCCCGTGCGCGCCAGGCACGCGCCCTACCCCAACGCTTGTCTCGCCAAGTTAGTCGCTACTTACATCTCTTTATAATAACTATCGCGTGCGGGCGGGCGGCCGCCGCGCTGCCGTGCTACTGCCCGCCGCACCACCTGCCCGTGCGCGCCAGGCACGCGCCCTACCCCAACGCTTGTCTCGCCAAGTTAGTCGCTACTTACATCTCTTTATAATAACTATCGCGTGCGGGCGGGCGGCCGCCGCGCTGCCGTGCTACTGCCCGCCGCACCACCTGCCCGTGCGCGCCAGGCACGCGCCCTACCCCAACGCTTGTCTCGCCAAGTTAGTCGCTACTTACATCTCTTTATAATAACTATCGCGTGCGGGCGGGCGGCCGCCGCGCTGCCGTGCTACTGCCCGCCGCACCACCTGCCCGTGCGCGCCAGGCACGCGCCCTACCCCAACGCTTGTCTCGCCAAGTTAGTCGCTACTTACATCTCTTTATAATAACTATCGCGTGCGGGCGGGCGGCCGCCGCGCTGCCGTGCTACTGCCCGCCGCACCACCTGCCCGTGCGCGCCAGGCACGCGCCCTACCCCAACGCTTGTCTCGCCAAGTTAGTCGCTACTTACATCTCTTTATAATAACTATCGCGTGCGGGCGGGCGGCCGCCGCGCTGCCGTGCTACTGCCCGCCGCACCACCTGCCCGTGCGCGCCAGGCACGCGCCCTACCCCAACGCTTGTCTCGCCAAGTTAGTCGCTACTTACATCTTTTTGACGTGAAACGTTTTTAAATTCGCGGCGAAACTTCCGGGTATCAGGTTTAAAAAGTGGACCGTAACGAAAAGTGTGGGAGAGACATGCTTCGGCACGAATGGGCCGGCTCGACCGGAGTGATACCACGGTCTCACAGAAAACCGACGTGAAGCGACGCTTGCGTTGTGTTTCGTCGTGTGAGTGAGGTTACCGGAGGCCCAATTGCTCCCCTTCCCCAATCTCCCCAATTCCTGAATCCCCAACGATCCTCAAACGCCTAATCCCCAAAAGGCCGGTAACGCACTTGTAATGCCTTTGGTGTTCCAGGTGTCCATGGGCGACGCCGATTGCTTACCATCAGGTCCGCTCGTTTACCGGCTTATGCCATAAAAAAAGGAAACGAGTTTTATTTTTATATACATATATAAATATAAAGATTATGATAACTGTCACAGTACACATATAATTTTTATATTTAGTCCTTTGTAACTTGGTAGCCTACGCCTTTAACCAGTATTTAAAAGAATTTCATTTGAATAATAATATGTATCAATAATTTTCTCGTTCTCTGCATCACAGATGCGCAGGAGCATCAGACGGCGAGATAGAGTTTGGCACGAGCTCTCCGTGCGCGAGCGCATCGTGTGGACGGCGCCATGTTTGTATGCCTGCACCCAACGTGTGTCTGTCGCGGCTACAGACATCTTGTCCACAGTATCATTGCGGTTAGTATTTAGGCTACTGTATGTTATTTAAATAAACTCTAAAAAGTCCAAACGCCTGGGGGTAACCTACCTATTATATCGTATCGCATACAAATATAATCATCATCAACAGCTCATGAAAGTCTACAGATGGCCCTCCTCTGCATATGAGTAGAGCTTTAATATCCATGCTTGGTGTAACTCACGTTTAGTGTATCCTTTGTGTAACTCACGTTTAGTCACTTACGTCCAGTTTCTATAACCTATCTATCTGTTACACATTTTGTATGGAGCTCATGTCAAAATTCTATCTCTAGTAAGCAAATCTACAGAAAGATAGGTTATAGAAACTGGACGTTAGTTGGTTTTTGTGACACTTGCGAGAAGAGTAGGCGCAGTAAAGCTAAGGACTCACGGCGCGATTTTCTTCGCCCTCGCGCGGTGGTGTAATGTAGGCGAAATTTTACTGGCTGCTGGCTGGCTGGCTGGAGCCGCAAACAATCGCAACCGCCGCGGGTGTGCAATGCGTCGTGAAAATTGCTTTGATTTTTTACATACATATCTGTATTATACAAAGGCTACAGGTCAGCAATCGCGCCGTTAGTCCTTTGCCTAAGTGATGACATGTTCAGCAGTGTTCATATGTTTTCCAGTGAGCACAGTGAACTGCAACGCTCAGCCAGGCCTCCCAGTGTGTGACACGGACGGCCGCACACACAGTAACCCCTGCCACCTCGTCATGAGCGGGAGGAAGTTTGCCTACTGGGGACCTTGTCTACAGGGCTGCTCGCCTGTAAGTATAATTACATTTAATTACCTTGCTGGTCTCCCTAGAAACGAAACGTACCTAGGGATTGTATAATTAAAACTTCGGAGGTGGACCATTTATAATATTTGATAGTGGCCTTAGTGGTTTTAGTGAAGCAAGAATTCGACAATCCATTCATCTCTTGTGGTGTGTAGTCAGGGATCGAACCCGTAATAGTTTTTAAGTTATCGAAAGACCTAATCTATTTGAAGACCACAAACATGACGACATTGTCATTAATATTTCAGGCTGGTCCAGTTTGCGGCGTGAACGGAGTATCTTACATATCAGAGTGCGCAGCCTGGGCGGAGTACGTGAGCGTGGATTATGCGGGACCTTGTCTCGCTGTAGGACCGATATCAGATCACATGGAGCCAAAGTGTGCCCTCATAGATAGAATCATCTGTCCTCCACTGAAGAAACCAAACTGCCTTGGCTTCACCGCTCCAGGCGCTTGTTGCCCCAAATGCGGAGGAGCTCTCAGAATCCTTTACTCAAAGAAACAAATTGACAGAGCCTTATACGGCACCAACATCTCAGCGTCAGTTATAAACTTGAACAACATTTTGAGAGCTCTAGAGAGACATGTGAAGATAGCCGAGTGTGCCCTCAGAGGGTACCTCACCATTGAAATGGAAATATTTGTGACTGTAGAAACTATGTTAGAGAACCCGACAGACTTACAACTCAATGTGTGTATTCTGGAAGCGGAGAAGATAGCAGACATGATCAATAGAGAAAGTGTTCTAATCACAAGTGATTTAGGTTTAAGTTCGTTGGCATACGCGTTGACTGTCCACACATTACCCACTCAAGGTGCACATACTATAAGTTTGTCCATAGGTGCTTTATTAGCGTGTATAAGTATCTACGTGTTAAGGTAAGACCATGTCATTACTAGACTTGTATATTTGTACAGTAGCTGTAAATATTGTGTAATTACTTTAGTGCCATCGTTAGAAACGTATACAAAGAATTTAGAGATTATGCTTTGGTTTGCTTTAAAATCAGGCACAAATTGTTTAGTCATGTTGTCACGTGAGTTCATTGTGCCATTTAGACTGTAGCTGTAATGACAATGTCTTTGACTTCGCACTGTCAGTGCGCGATAGACTGCAACTAGCATTTTATAACATTTTTACACAAAAGACATTTATTGTAAAGTACTCGTAGTCTTTAAACCAAATATGTATTACATTTATAACTTTGTTGTTAATTTTTAGATGTTTAGATATTTTGAAAATGTGAATATTGTTTATCTACAAGCTTAAAAGTTATTAAAATTAAAACAATTTTTATACAAAATCGTTTTATTTGCACACTTTCCATTGTACGTAGTTTTGTTTTATGGATATAATCGAAAATTTTGTAATTGGTAATGTGCACGAGATAGTATATTAGTAACCTATAAAACAATATAGTACCTCAGTGTACATTTTCAATTACAAAATTTTAAATCAACGAAGCTACTAAACAAGTTAAAACTGAAAAAAAAACACGAGACCCATAAAAAGATTAATTATGTCTCACGTGGATTTACGTTCCGATCTAAGATGGACATGCAGATCACTGGTGCTATCCAGTAACTTCATACCTTCGTGTGTACTTACTTATACCAAGCCTAATGATCTCATTATTCATTCAAATAATCTACATTCACTTATGTTTACAGGATTAATAAAACTTTAATTTCAAGGAAAGCCTGAAAGTGTTTTATGTCAGGTTGAATGTTATATGGCTAGGTATTGGCTAGGTATATGTTTGTGGAATTAAGTAAAAACATTACAGAATTTCAAAATGAAGCGAATATTTTTCCTCCTGGGATAGCCAAATGTTGGGATAACACAAATAAATAATGATCACATTATAATATGACTTTATTTTCACATAACACCGAACAATCGAGGAATATAATAATCATAGTGTGAATTTTATATATCACAATTAATTGATCACTTATAGTTAAGTTCAGATAAGTCTTTTTTATCGAAAAATATATTGATTCTATCGAGTAGTTGTGGGTCGGTGACAGTTTTGGCGAGTTGCACGAATCCACTTTGCAGTACTGGGTGGATCAGTTGGAATCTTTCCAGGGAAAACGTCAAGACCAATTCGAGATATGCCATTAAAATGTTTTGGAAGCAGTTTCGTTGCACTTCAGTGTCCTGGAAACGGAAAAAAAACATAATACATACCTATCATTAGGATTATTCATTTCGATTTCTCGGTCGGACAAACGATTGTTGAGTTTCGATTAACATGAATTTTCAGTTTTTGGAATTGGAAATTGGTACCTAAGGCATTGGCAAATAATTTCTCGGATTAAAATTTAGCGGAATGAAGGGGTATATTGATACGTTTATTTCGCAAGTTTTTAGCAGCTTTTGCGAAGGTGTTTCAAAAAAGGCACAGATTATTAAGAGACGACTGGACAAAGACTTTATACAAAGACAGACTATACTAGAAATGTTTCTCACCTTGCTAATACTCAAAGCTCGTTGTTGTTCAATTTCAGGCGGCACCGGTTGCGGTGGCAGTATTGGTTCAGCCACCTTCACCTTCTCATACGACACCGTGTCGCAAATAGAAAGGTTTAGTTTCCGTGTATTATCTATACTGTGGTTCTCTATAATATCTGGTATACTGCCTTTCTTTTCTTTTATAGGAGTCTCCTTGTGTATCTCAATTTCTTGTGGCATGTGACCATTTGTGTGTTTATCGTCATTAGCTTCGCTGCTCGCAGTCGAATGCTGGTCGCTATCTATATTACTTTCATTAGCAATTGTGTCTTCTTTTATCTTCTTATTCGATGGTATATTTTCTGTGTGTATCTCTACAGTGATAGATCCTTGACTGTTTGCTTTGAAATCAGCAAACGTGAACGGCTTTGGCTTTTCAATTATTTTCTCTGGTGAGTTTTGTTCTTTATTTATCACCGGCTCGTCAGTATTGTCATTTGGATCCTGAGCGTAGTACTGATCGTAATGATTCGAAGAGTTGTCACTTTCTACCGAACTGCAAGACATTCTCTCTTTTATATCGTTGTTATCAAAATCTGAAACACTTATCAGGTGCTTCACATAATTGTGACACAATAGCTCCCATGTATGCTTCAGATCGAATATCTTTGTGACAAACTGATCATATTCCATGGTCAAATTTAAAGACGTCGTGTAATTATGCAATATTATCGATAAATCTGTTGACTTCAGTTTAAATTTATGAACGCCATTGAAGAATATCTCAGTTAACGCAATTATTTTTATCAGCCATGAAGAAGTAGTTTGCTTATACAAGTTGGCAGCGTGATCCAAATTAGACACTTTTTGTACGAGAAACTTCAATCCTGGCCTCGAGTCAAATTGCATGGCTCTCGTAAATGATAACTCCAAACTTCGCAACAACAAACCTATGTTGTCACTGTTCAAGAAGAATTTGTAGTTGCATACATTCGAACCGGTTTTGAGACTATCTATCAAGATACTGTTGATTCCTTGGAAGACATCTGATGACGCTTGAATCAGAACCGTAGCAATTATCTGAACCAGAATCTGATGGGCCAACAATCCCACCACCAGTCCTCTATGAGGTATTCTAACTGTATACAGGTCTGGATTCAAAGAATTAATGGACTCTTGGAGATAGATCAGGAATATGTAACTCCGATCATCAATTAGCATTAGGTTCTGCGAGGAATTCTTTGGAGTTATTTTGACGTGTCCGTCACCTTTCAGTTGTTCAGTTAGGAACACTTGTTGCGCCATTGCGTGCAGTCTCACGTTATCGTTTACTGAACAATCTCTTCGCGCAGCTACTTTTACCATGGCTAAATCTCCATAAAAACTATTCGAGTTTTCTTTGAAGGCATAAGTTAGTTGTTTAAGTGGAGTTAAACTAACGTTACAAGCTCTGTGCAGACTGGTACAGACAATTTCCCATTGATTGTCTGTCAGTAAATGACCAGACGTTAAAATTATATGTCTTATACACGAAGCGCCTAACCTCGCGATTGGTTCCTGAGGTTGAGCGATACATTCTACCAAAATAAGCATTACTTGTTTCAAGGCAAACGTTGCTTCTACGCTCTCAATTGGCTCAATCTCTACTGGTTCATTCTTTTCGTCGACTGTCGACCTCTCTACATTTATTTGCTGCAGATGATGCAAGTATACGACAATAGTATCAGTGGTCATGCCGCAACACTGTTTAAAGTTTGGCATCACACTGTCCCAATGAGTATTCACATTTGCTATTTGCCGGAGCCAGTTCTGAACTGTGGGTAAAAGAAGATGGTTTATGCAGTGCAAGCCAAAATGTGTTCCGGGAACTTCTACCGTGTTCCTTAGTAACTTAAACAATGTCTCCATAGCAGCAGGTTGATTCTTCTTAGAACAAACGACTGTAGCCGAGATCAAGCCTTCGATGAGGACGTACCATACTTTCAGTATGTTGCTCGGCTTATCGAGTTTCAAAAGACAGTTATTGGTCGTATTCGAAGGTGGAAGACTTGTGGATAATTTTCGATATGAAATGAGATCTTCTTCGTAATGTTCATTAGAAATGAACTTAGTGATATCAAGAGACGCGCTGGGTATTATGGGGTCTACAACACATAGTGGCATGTCCCCTTTGATCCTATTACCGGTGTTGAATATCGGACATTTTGGCATATTGTACATCATTGTTAGAATATCAGCGCAACTTTCCAAGTGATATAATGCCTCCCGGCACATGTCTACGATCACTTTCTCAGATTTCTCTTCACTGAGGGGAATGAATTTGCTATTCTTTGAGAATTTTAGGCTAAGACTAGGTTTAGTTTGGGTGGGTGTGGTCACTTTCTTTGGTTTTACTTCGGTGGCTTGCACTTCTTCGTAGTGCAGCCCTTTGATATGACTTAGAAGGCACAGTATGCAGTCTAGAGCGGCATTCGCGAACACAAGCGTGTTGTCTGTGCTGAGGAATACTTTGAATATTTCCAAAATTGCGGAGTATTGGTTAGAGTTGTTAGCCGCTCGTAGAGTATTGAATAGAGGCCGCCAACCAGATCTTATTTCCATTCTGTTGGTCTCCACGAATTCGCAGATGCAGGATATGATTTGTTCCTGGAAATAGAAAAAGATACACATTTTTTCAATATGCCTAGATTAATTTAGTCCCATAATATGGTTGTTAACGTTACCTGGATATCATCATCACACAGCTCCAAGCAGAGAAGGTTCTCGAAAGGTTTCAGCAATGCCTCGTTGAAGTGGAAATGTGGTAGTTCTACTTGCTGGTTTAGGAGTGCAGTGGCACAGTCGTGCAGACACTGAATTGCTAAGCTCGCAATCTGGATGTCTTTGTGGCAGGCCGCCTGAGGAGGTAAAGAAGAAAAAAGTGTAATAAAGGACAAAAAAAATATCGGTGTCTGCTTCAACTTTTGGATTCATTGAACTTCAATGCCTTCAGAGGTATTAACAAAACTGTCATGAATGTAATATTCATTTGATTTTTGATACACACGACTTTTTTTATTGACATACCTGCATAAAATGTGGTCCTACAACGGTCCATATCGCCATGCGGTGCGCGAGTGGGCGGGCCGCCCTGAGACAGCGCAGCGCCACGTCCCCCGCGCGGCATAGAGCCCGCGCCGCCTCGCCCCCCGCACCACCTGCCCCCGCGCCCTTACCACCGCTAGTACCCGGCCCCCGACGCCACCACCACACGTTATTGTTAGCCACGTCTGATTCCCACGAGCAAAATAACTGTGGACAAATATTATTGATCTCTATAACTTATTTACGTATTCTGTGACGCCGTGATACGAGTATCTACTTAACACTTTGTTTGAGTCGGCTCCTTAGTAATACGTATAATGTAGACGAGTGAGGATGGATGAAGGTTTGTTTATTAAAGTATACGATATAGTTACCAGTCGGTGATGGTGCGCCACGAGTCTCTGCAGCGCGGCGCGCAGTGCGGGCAGCGTGGTGGTGGCGGCCAGGCGCGAGTACAGCGCGTCCGCCGCGCCGCCCAGTGCGCAGCATACACGGGCCGCGCTCGCTCCACTTATCACGTTGCCACCCTGCACATAATATCGACCAATATCACAAATAATATTCCACCTTGGAGAGCAACATAAATTACGTTTGTCTACGCGTAGTCTCTTCACCAGAACACGTCAATCCCCATGAAATGTCTACTGATCCCAAGACCGTTATCCCAAGTTTTTCGGACACATCACCCCAAAAGACGACTCGATGGTTCCATCGAGGCTGGTAGTATAAGGAAAAGTCGAGGGCAAAAGAAATCGTGTGTGTTTTACGACGAGGCGCAGGCCTCTTACAAAGCTTAAAAATACCGTGGCCAGATCCGTATCAGTTATCCAGCCAAACATCGTGCAATGTGTAGACGGATGGCCAGAGCAAGACTGACTCTGTAGAACTGTGAGGGACGGTCGACATGACCACGACCGCTTTTGTTAAGACCGTAGTTACGACTAAGGAGACACGTCGGTCTCCATAGGGTGGTGCCGTTAAGGGATCTTTACACATAATAACTGACCCCTCAGACAATTTTCGACTACGGTACCTGTACGGTACGGTAGCTACGGTCTGTCAAACAGACTAACCCACTACGCAGGAGATATTATTATAGGGCACAAAAACTGACATTGGTGACTCTCTTAAGAGAGAGAGTGAGAGGAGAGAGACTGCACCGGGTTAACCCGGTAGGATGACATGACCGGAGTGAGGTGATTCACAACACGTCAACGTCAAAATTCTGCGACAAATGTGACCGTACTTTAACATTATTTGATAAATCATTTAGGCAATGTCGACAACTTTGGTTCTCTGTCTAATGATCATATTGAATTTCATCAGAGATTACAAGTATATTACTTATCATCTACTTTGGGGATATTGTTGATTACATAATATGGAGCCGACATTAATAAAGATATAGGTGTAAATAAAGAATTATAACTTACCTCTTGTCTGCACGCTTCAACAATTTTCGCAACCGACATGTCGTTGTTTACGTTGCTTTCTAACACTGGTTGCAAGAAATTGAACACATCCACACTACAAATAACAAAGAAATCACTTTAATATAATCATTACTAATTTAAAAGACAGAATAATCAGTTTCAATAGCTTTCTTGTCAAAACTTAGAGAGCCATTTCAGAAGATTTGGCTACTAGAGCTGTATGGAACTGTATTTGGCTGTATGGAGCTTAAGTTATAGCTAATTTTAAGTGTGGGAGAGGCATGCTTCGGCACGAATGGGCCGGCTCGACCGGAGTGATACCCAGGCCTCACAGAAAACCGATGCGAAACAACGCTTGCGTTGTTTTTAGGTCCCCAATCCCCCAATCCCCAATTATCTTCAAATTTCTAATCCCCAAAAGACAGGTAACACACTCATAACACCTCTGGTGTTTGGTGTCCATGGGTGGCGCCGATTGCTCACCATCAGGTGATCTGTCTGCTCGTATACCGGCTTATTTCATAAAAAAATCTATCGACTTATAGGTTACTGACACTTGAGACTGAGCCCTAAATCACTCCAATTTTTAACTTACCAAGTTTCATCATCTTTGCCATCCAACCCCAGTTTAGCATCAGCTTGTAGTATAGATACGGTTTTATTTCTACCAGTCTGCATGGTGACTATAGGGGTAGCATTGTTTCCTTGATGTCCGAACAAAGAGTGTTCGAAGCTGGACACGTATTGACACGCTGCGAATATATGCTCCCAACATTCTGGGGCTTTGGATCCCAGTTCTAGACCACCTGAAGATATAAAATGTAGAATTGGATATTTGATTATAATGTCAATGCACCGTTCCTAGGTATGTGGTCCCATGTCGGGCGCCAGCATGTTAATGGCGCCCGACATAACCTACCCAAGGTCAGAAAAATATTGCTGTTTTTGTTTCAAATTCTTTGGTTGTATAAAAGTGGTTATTTTTTAAGCATTAGTAAGATTGTGTTAACGTTATCTTATATTTTTTTACATGTCAGATCGAACAATTGTCAGGTAATTGGGAAAAAAGTTGAATTTTATAGAGCAGAAGATTTATGTTTATATCAAATAAATTTTAGGTATTATACAAATGGAAGATTTATGTACCTGTAATGAGTATATCCAAGGACAGAGCGTGTGTGGACAATATCTTCCCGTTTGGAGGCTGTGAGATGGCAGAGTTTGCCAATAGAGCCAGTATACTGCTGCATCGATTTTGTAGGCTCAGAGTATTACTTATTCTGGCGGCCTGAAATGGTAATGTCATACATGGTAATAGGGTTCAAAATTCCAGTTCTTGTGTTTTAGTCACTTTAACCTTGAATCTAATACTTAGAACGGCAAATGAAGACGTTGTGATAAATTAATAAATTCATCATATCAGAGAATGAGAGATAGAAGAAAATAGATTCCAACAAACATAATAATATGATGAAGACAGAAAGAAGAAGTCAAGAATGCTATCTAAGTATCCCAATGTGCTTTTTTTATGGGACAAGCCCGCCACAACCTCCCAAAACCGCTACAACTCCTGTAAGCCAGGATCTACAGTAGATACAACCATGAAAACAGCAGAACACTGAAGTCCGGCGCATCCCAGGGACATGAGTAACTGTCTTGGTTCCCGCAACGAAGTAAATCAGAAGATATTATAAGAGGAGAAGAAAAAACTATGGTTTTCACCTCCCCTTGGTGAATTACTGCAGGAGACAGAATGAATTAAGCCTAAAGGCACAAAGAAGAGATTGTACAACTGGGTGAAGCCCAGTCGCCAAGCACCACGGAATATTGACTAAAAACTAAGTGGGCCCCAATCCCAATGTGCTTATCGATATGATATTTTATTAAAGCCCTCGGTACTTCTGATTATTTTAAATATTTCAATTCTTACCTTATGCAGTCCTTCAAGACACTGTATCGTCAGCCCCTCCCAAGCTATTCGCTTTCTCTTCCCGAATGTGTTAATTTTCTTTGATATCATGCCATGCAGTTTCTGCTTCTTGTTCCCATATCCGGTTAGAGGTACACTTAATACTGTCACCATGGAGTCCCAAATACATGTTAAAATTCTGAAATAGCGATAATTTAAGTACCTATTGAGCTTTCCTTTTTGTCTGGCTGACCTGGCTTTAGTAGGGTTTCGTAAAAGTGTCCATTTAGTTAGAACTTTAGACGCTCTTCAGTTTGACGACAATTTTAGTGTCTGTGAGATATATAACAATTTAAAGAAGTTTCAAAACCAATTTTGATTGAGTTGAGTATTAAAACTACAGAACACTTTATAAGAGATTTTTTGATACTAATGTTACCTTCTCGCCCATCGCAAGCTAGCGTCATGTTGTGGAGACTCGACCGTGTTGTTGGTGAAACACGAGACCTCCTTCAGTTTCTGCCAGTCTGACATCACTGGGCTTTGGTCCAAGCCACCGAGATCTGGAGAACAAGAGATGCTTTATCATTCACGAAATTAATTTTCATTTCTTATCATTAACCTTTCGTGTTTGTAAAACGCGGATCCACGTTAGACACAATGTATTTTCTCATCGGTGCTTTCAAGCAATTAAATAAAGTTTTATTCCCCTAATGTTAAGACTCTGTACTATCTCCTTTTCACCCATAAATTAGATTATGAATGTGTTGATCAAACTAACATTCTTTTCCTGCCGGCTCACATGAAGAAATTTCACTTGGAATATGTGGGACCTATGTACTTCGTTTTTATACATATATGTGTTCTCATATTTACCATTACGTGCCGACGTTTTACGTATCCATTGTGTCGTATATTGCAGTCTAAGTAAAGAAATCTAGCTGCAGTCAGTATCAACTATCATCTAACCCTCTAACTGCGTCATTTTCAAACGCTTACCTGATAATAAGTGCAGTAATGGATGATCACTAGTAGGCACATCCTGCAGTAGATCAGTAGCAAGCACTTGTTGGTAGAGTTCCCTTAGCCACGTCGCCGACAAGTATACAAGGACACCACTGCCTTGTACTTCTTCTACAAACTCATCTTCCGTTAGAGATACTTGCACTTTCTGTTGAAGAGAAATAAGTATTAATGTTACCTGTATCTGGGGGCATCGGGTGATGATCTCGGATGGTGAAGATTATCTTTTATGTGACAAATTCTATGAGGAAATTATTGAAATCAATGTATTTGTCCTACTTTTAGTTGTTTCAGCAGAATTTTTATTCACTGTAGACCTTGTCGTAGTCAAAAGCGAAGATTTTAAACTCATTATAATATGTTGCGTGACACATTGTAGTACTACTGTAGTTTTCATTCTAGAAGTTTTGTCAGTTGGGAATTTAGTTAGTTTTAAAAACTTTGCCCTGTAAAACATTAGGTATTGAAGCGGGAGCCATTACCGTGTCGCCATCAGATGCCCCTCTAATTCATTCTCAATTCCATGCCTAAATCCAGTGTTCTTTTTCGATCTTATAGTTTTATATAGCTTACATACTTACACTGGGTTGGTTATAGTAATTAGTCCTCCGTTGTTTGAGAGTGAGCAGTAGCGCGGCGTATGTGGCGAGGTAGACTCCGTCCGCGTTCATGATGCACGCCGTCGCGGGGGGCTGGGCGGCATTGTGCTGGCAACACTTTGATGCAAACTCTTGCATTGCTTCGTCCACCTGGTTGGGACAATGGAGTTGATCTTTAACTTAAAACTTAAATAGAACACTAAAACTTTGCTGGAGTACAGGAGAAATATCATATCGTTCAACAGTCATATCCCAGTAGGTACTTCTAGATGTAGCTAGAATCTGTTAGGAATATTCTATCTGTTTTGCAAAAACTAGGTTTTTTTGATGGGGGAAAATCATCCATTGACTTCTCCCACCTTGGGTTAGGCGAGAGGGAGTGTCAGACTCTTACTGACTAAAAACCACCCCGTTCCTACTCCTGCACTTCGAACCTGAGCCCCAGTAACCAGTTAGGTCTTCCGCGGCTCCGTATCGGCATCAGCCCGACTGGGCCCCACCTGTGGCGGTCTGAAGTGTAAGTACTGCTTGAATAACGAAAGAAAGTAAAACAATTATGGCTTACCTCGATACAAGTGCGGAGATTCAGCAGTTTCGGCAGAAGTGAGTTCTGTAGCGTTTTGATGAACTGTCGCGCGTTGTGCCTCTCCAAGTCCACGTTACATTCTGTTATGGTGCATCTGTTATGAATAAGTTATTTGTTATAAATAAGTTTTTGTTATAAATAATAAAACTTATTTGTTATAAATAAGTTTTTGACAATGACGAAAACTATTAACTGATGTGTCCACACTAAACATGAATATTGAGTGTAATGTGGGGGCAACATATGTTGACGTAATTTTAAGTGTGGGAGAGCCATGCTTTGGCACAAATGGGTCGGCTCGACCGGAGTGATATCACGGCCTCACAGAAAATAGACGTGAAACAACGCTTGCATTGTGTTTCGTCGAGTGAGTGAGGTTACCGGAGGCCTAATTACCCCCTTCCCCAGGTCTCCCCAATCCCCGAATCCCCCATAATCCTTAAACTCCTAATTCCCAAAAGGCCAGTTACGCACTTGTAACGCCTCTGGTGTTTCGAGTGTCCTTGGGCGTTTACCGCCGTTTACCGGCTTATCTCATAAAAAAATTGCGTTGAAGCTACATATCATAAAGATTTTCTTTTTTTTGGTTAAGGTGAGAAATCGTAATAAAAAACTGCCACGGTGACTTTTTCTTCCAAGTGTCTACAGGATGGTTTCTGTGGACATGTCCGCCAAAACTCTAAAATAAATTTTTAGATCGATGAAAAGCTTACCTGCCAAGGTTCAATGTCTTAGGCACAGCTTTAGGTTTAATCTGTGCGTGTGTGCTAGTATCTCCTGTGGGCAGACTGGCTCGAGCTGGCAGGAACACGTTGTCCGCGTCAGAGTCTGCCTCGCCCTCACTGCCGGAGCTTATGTTCTCGGGGCCTGAGGTGTCTGGAAGAATGGGAGAGAGAACTTTGTAGGTTATAAAACTAAACAATAGAATACAAAATTGCAAAAGAATCCATAAATCCTTCTTAGAGTTCCATATACTTTCTTGGACTGGCAGTTTCAGTTGTATCGTATCTGTGTCAATGATTAGAAATGTTCCAAACACAAATCATCACGCCTTTTATCCCTGAAGGGGAAGGCAGAATGCACATTACGTACGGCATTTAATGCCATTGTACAATGTAACAACCATTTTTCACTATTTATGTTATGAATCCCATGTAATAATTGGTAAGCCTATTGTCAAATACCGGACACAATTTCAGTCTCCGCGCTACTACCGAGAATTGCTTAAAAAATACATTAATACTTTGCCCGACCCGGGAATCGAACCCGAGACCCCTAACCCGGCAGTCGCAGTTTGCGACCACTCTATCAACGAGGTAGTTTTTAGAGCTACGTACCTGATGAATCATGTTCCTTTGATTCAGTACTTTGTAACACTGCCACCACATCTCTGAAACAAACGACCACATCACGATGACTACAGGACACACTCAAGTTTTAGATTTGTGGATTAATGAACATTCTAAAATAGTTTTCCGTCGTTTAATAGTAGCAGTAGAAGACATATAAAGTAACCAGCAGCTGTAGCCAAATGCCATCTAGCGCTTGTCTACATGAAGAATAGAAAACCAAATTATGTGGAATTGACGTTTGATACTTGTCAGTGTCATCTCCATACATTTTGATTTCTACTCTCTCGTGTAGACAAGCGCTAAAGTGGCGTTTGGCTAAAGGCCCAGGTTCATTTCACTCCTCGCTTTGAGTATATTCAGTTTATTGTAACACTCACCTATACGGGCTTGGCAATCTAGCCAACGTCTGATAAGTCAAAGGTCCAGTATAGTCAGCGTCCTGTAGTTTCTGCCAGTGGCTCAGTATGAGGGTGGCTATCTCTGGAGTAATATACTCAGTGGTTCCAGAGCACAGCTTCTCTAGTGCATCCAGTAACGATACTACGCATTCCACTGCCGCAGCCACTACGTCTGGATTTCCACTTCTACCGCATTCTTCTATGCCGTCCATTATTCTGGGGAACAAATCGGAGTGAAGTTAGTTGCAAACCGTACAAATGAGGTGAAGTTAGTCATGATATGAAGTGTGTAGATAGTTGGTCATATTAGTTCATCTGGATCGTAATCAAGTTTATGGGATAAGTCGGGAAACGAGCAGATGGATCTCCTGATGGTAAGCAATCGGCGTCGCCCATGAACACCCGGAACACCAGAGGTGTTACAATTGCGTTACCAGCTTTTTGGGCATTAGGAATTTGAGGATTGTTGGGGATTCAGGGATAAGTTGTTCTTGATAAGACCATCTTCGTATCTAGTGCTGTTATAGAACACGTTTTCAGAAAATAGAAAAAAGTTTTATTTATTTTACAATTAGAATCCAGTAGAATTCTAATCAGGTCACCTTTTCTCTGTCTTACTCAATAAGAAAATTTATACAGACTATAACAGGTCCAGAATCTAGACAGAATTCAGAAATTCATACCATAAAATTGAAAAAAACCCGACTTACAATCTTATAATCGCCATATCATCACTGTGCCTCTCATGGTGGTCTACTTTCTTTAGCAGGATCAACTGGCACAGCCTCTTGGGGTTCTGCAGCATTTCCCTGGTACTCCGCAGAGGTTCCACTCGGTGGGAGACTGGAGGGTACAGGAGCATTCGGTGGTAGAGAGCCTCTAACACTGGGCGGAGGTTTGAGGTGGACCCTACTAGGCGCACCAGCTGGTTGGCAATACTGGAAGAAAAATATGACAGAACGAAGTTAAGGGATTTGCTTAAGCGTCAAATTGTTCAAACGTAAAAGATAAGTATTTTGGTATGTTTTTTGGACGCTTTAGTTTTTTAACGATTTGAAATCTGTTACATTACAATATTGTTACGTGGTTTTATTGGACGTACTTTATGTAGATTGTTATACTGGACGTCTAGTAATTTAAGTATCTACCTGTAAATAGCTTTAGCCTGTTTGCTGTTAAAGCTGGGTGCGGAGTTCAAGGCGCCAGATCCTCGACCGGAGTCATCCACCAAATGCCCTTCATGTTCTCTGAAATCATTAAATATAATGTCAAGGCATTGATGGCATTACAAAGCGATCTCTAAAGAATAGAATATCAAGAAAATCGAATCAATTTTTGGTCCAACTAATTAAGCTATTTAGCCGTACCTTGACTTAATATTCTTGTCCACGCGAGGAGTTCCGAGAAAGGAGATGAGAGCCGGACAGAACTTCTGCCAGAGGAACGTTGTGAAGTGGGAGTTGCCGCTCACTCGCTCCGATAGACTTGACATCAGAGTCAATAGGCAGTCTAAGAAGAATAGTGCTAGAGGATTCTGTTTGGGAGACCTGAAAACAAACAATCCATTTTTTAATTGTAGTGTGTGTGACACCTCGCCCTATAAGTAAGTAGTGTAAGTTAGATATTAAGATACACTCAATTAATGTTATTCATAAGAACAACACGTCTGGCTGCATCGACACCCGGCAGCCAGCAATATTTCCACTTTTTTACATTTTTGCGAACACTGATACGCACTAACCTACTCCTTCGAGGATAAAAGGCGTGATGTTATGTGTGTGTGTGTGTGTGTGATACGCACTTTAGTCTACTTTTAAAATAGTCTTTATTATTATCAACAAACACAAATTACCAACATTGTACTCGTGCACAGCGCTGCCCGCGTGGCAGCACTGGAAGGGTCGCCATGCAATGTGGAGCAATGAGAGAGATGTGTTAGTGTTATGAACTTCGATCAACAATAGCAACTAGATAAAGGGTTACGTACAAAATCAAGCTCCAGTTCTGTCCGTGTGAAAAATAATAGTAAAAAAATAACAAACAGAGAAAAATGTTTTAAAATGGTTTTAAGTTCAACCTAATAACAACCATGGCACCTAATAATAAAGTCATAAATCGTCAAAATATTATATTATACTTACGACCATTCGTCACATAAGACGAGAAAAGCATTTTCTTACTCCTGTCATGTAGAAATTAAAAGACATAAGTTATACAATATCTAGTTTGAATTCAACCTTGTTGTCATTGTTGATCGAAGGTTATGAATAACTTTAATTGAGTGTCTTAAGAACTAACTTACACTACTTACTTATAGGGCGAGGTGTCACACACACTACAGAATGTATTAGGGGATATAAAGGAAGAAGCTTTTTATAGTAGAGGTGGCAGGCAAACCATCTTACGATCTACCTGATGGAAAGCAGTCAAATAGAACATGAAGAAGACCAAAGGTTTCTCAGCAGTTACTTCATTCATTTCATTGTTTAAAACACTTTTTTACTTGCTTTAGTAAAGATCTAGTCAGAACAAATCAATTTGATTCCTCAGTAAATGGACTTACAGTTGAGTTTCAGATAGCCGGCTGCATAGGTACTGTATGACAGGAATCACTTCACTGTAGCATCCCACGGCCACGATGTGGTTCCTGCCCAGTGGAGATCCCTCTGAGAGCAGTTCTTGGCACTCTTCATCTGGATATAGATAAAAAGCGTAGAAGTAAACCTTCTAGTGACGGATACAGAAGAACATATTCAGTCATGTGATGACGGTACTGGAGCATACAATTGTCACTACCCGGCACCCTTTCAAATTCCATGGGTGTCACATCAGCCAATTACGGAACTACATATTTATCAGAGACCGGGCAACAGACTTGGTTTTCAACTTCCAGCGCGAGAGTATGGGAAGCCTCTCTTTTTAAACTATTTTATTTAACTTACTCTGGTTGTTTTATCCTTTTTTCAAGAGGAACTCCATAATCTATTATCGCGAGACACTAAACTAGCTGTTGATCATGATGTAGTATTTAAGAAGTGTAAGTAAGTAAGTACCTAGTTGTGCGCAGTATGCCCTCAATGCCTGCGCGGCGGCGGCGCGCGCGGCGGCCGCCACGTGCGCGGGCGCGGCCGCCGCCTCCCCGCACCGCCCGCACGCCCACACGCACAGGCGACCGTTCAGAGTACGTCGCGGGGACAGGGCCAGGGACAAGTACATGCGGAAGATTTGTACCTGTACACAACCAATAGCATACGCTTTATCCTGTTAAAAAAAGTTATATGAGTCCCAACTAAAAACTAACAAAGTTATAAATTCGAATTTGTTTACGACAAGCCCAAGAGAGCCAACAGAGAAACATAGTTTGAAAACACACATAGTTCAAAGGACGAATTATCACTTTGTCGAAGAAAAATCCGCCATAAGATTGTCTAAAGGTGTATGTCCAGCAGTGGAAGGAAACGGGCTGATGACAATTACAGAGAGGCAAACTTCTAAATGTAACAAACAGCTAATAAATGTACATCAGTTTACCTGCGTATCTGGCAACTGATACATGACAGATGCGGTAGCGCAGAGAAGTTGTGAAGGCATCCACAGGGAGTCATCTTCCGGCTCAATTCCTCGGTGAAATCTGTCATCTCGGAGTATTTTCTGAAACACATACGAAATATACCAGTGTTGAAGAAGAATATAGGTACGAAATGAAATAAGGTGTTCTATAATGTGAGTACTCACAGAAAAAATAAATTGTACTATTTGCAGTGCTGGGTACAGTGCGAATAGTCGTCACAAGACAAAGATTACAAAATTGTGTAATAACAATCAAAGCTAGTAAACACGATCAATAAGTGTGGGACAGCCATGCTTCGGCACGAATGGGCCGGCTCGACCGGAATGATTCCACGGCCTTACAGAAAACCGTCGTAAAACAACGCTTGCGTTCTGTTTTTTTGTGTTTTGTCGTGTGTGAGGTTACCGGAGGCCCAATTACCCCTCTCCCTAGTGTCCCGGATCCCCGAATCCTCCACAATCCTCAAATTTACAATTCTCGAAAGGCCGGTAACGCATTTGTAACGCCTTGGTGTTTCGGGTATCCATGGGCGGCGCCGATTGCTTACCATCAGGTGATCCGTATGCTCGTTTACAGGCTTATGCTATAAAAAAAAATGTGTCACTTTAAAAGCTATTAAACATGTTAATGACTAATGACTAAGGAGCCACTGGAACCACACTTATAACAGAAATCAAATAACTACGTTGTTTTAAACATGACCTAATAATTATAATACGTACATGGAACCCCTGCAGGGCGTACGTTACGAGGCGCGGACGCTTGGTCTCCAGCGCCGTCTGCAGCGGCAGGAGGCACGCTCGCCGAAGCTCGTACGACGCACGACGCACGTTGTTCTCTTGCATGCATAGTAATTCTGTACCGAATTATTGTCGTTTTGAGTAAAGACCTCATTATGTAAACTACCTATGTTTAACAAATAAATGATTCTGATTCTAAAGGCGAGGAGGAAGGTACGAGAGTGTGATGAAAATACTTTTTTAGATGTTAACCTTTCTTGCAGTCCATAAAAATGTGTTCAGTTAGCGTCATAGCGCCACTCTGTGATGTATGAAGAGGTCATATGGTTGCATATGTTACTATGGTATTATGTTGTCGGAACTCGAAACTTATGCTTTCGATAAAGATTTAGAAAACAGAGTTTATCTATTTACCCTTATCATAAAGACAATTGACGCAGTAAAATTATAGATTTTTGTTTTAAACGAAAGTGTCAAGAGATATTACTTTCTTTACTGTACCTTAATTCACGGTGTACCTCAAGAAAATATGTTTAGACTCTTCTTTATTATTTGTTTATTTTTTTATTACAAACATATCATTTACCTAAATAACTTGTTATAGATTGTTTGTGACGACGGTGTAAATTACCTACATATATATATGTCTATTTTTGTCAGCATAATTTTTAGCTAAGTGCTTTATAAAAGCCAATAAATGCCAATGATCTACTACATCGTTACAAGATTGCAAAAAATGAGTCATATTTTCGTGACTCATAAAATTTTACGACCTGTTTGTACAAAACACAAACTTAACCATATGGTAAGCTTTGTAAGTTAATCACTGTTGGTAACCTATCAGTATCAATATCTATAAAACTTTGAGGAAGGCATTAAAGGCTTGAAACTGCATTTCCGAGGGGCGCAGTGGCGGTCATTACTGCAGGTATCGATTTATAACTTCAACTGCATACAGGGCAAAGTATACATAATATCATAATATACAAGTACCTATAAGAACGTATTAATCTTATGGACTAAGTATTTACCTAGGGCATCCTGACATGATTTCCTAAGACCTGTAAACTTCACTCCAGATGCTTCCTTATAAATGTCCTGGAGAAGTTCCTCCATTTTAACACGAAGACAACATATGACTTTAATTCACTTCCCTATTGCCACAAGAACTTTCACATCCTTCACAAATATATTGAACTTTATTTTGAATTAATTAAAACTCACAATTAAATGGTTAAATGTTTATTAAAATCGTGTAATTTAGGGAAACAACGTTATTTGAGTGGGTGGAAGTGTATCTTATCTGAGTTGTACGTAAGCACGGCGACGGAGCATGCTCAGTGCGGGAAATCAATACTTCCATACGGCTCTGTGTTTGCTGAAAAAACTATGTCAACAGGTGGTTGTTTAATATTTATAAACGCAAGATTTACCTAATTTGTTTTCAGAATGTGGCTTCTTAGTTGTAAGAATGGACTTTTGTTTGTTACACAATACATAAATTAATAAATTGTTATCATCCTGTTTAGTACGTACTTAAATCGTATTTTTAAAGTCCATTCAGCCCAAAGTTACATTTTATGGGGAGGTACCTTAAAACTTGTATGCTGCATTAGTCCACTGTTAGCAGCAGGTAGATAGGTTAAAATTATAAACAAAAAATAATATATTCTGTGACGCGCGTTGTGCAACTATAATAAACGCATAATTACCAATTAAAATTGTTGAAAGCGCCCTTGTTTTCAATTTGGAAATGTATACTTACAGAGATATTTCTATGAATATGCAAAACGATAATATTATTTTTAGATAAACTTGTTTTCACTTTTGTAAAAGTATATTTAAGCATCACGTTATCAAAACATTACAGTACCTCTAACAACGTGTCTATTTAGATTGTGCAGATTTCAATACTACGTTTTCATAATAATATTTTATATTTTTTATGTTTTTTAACAAAATAATTTATAAACTTACGGACCTGAAAACTGAATTATATAAAACTTTTTCAAATTTCGCGCTAATGTCTGGTGTCACCTCTCACTTTGCTTGCCATAGTTGCCATAGAGCAACAAGAGCAGGATCAAAACAGACTAAAATTATTATAGTTTCAAACACGGTTGTTGAAAAAACGGTTTCGAATCTCGATTGAACATTGATGTTCAATTTCTATTCAATTTTGATGAGATAGGTTGAATATTTTACATACCACGATCACGTGTTGCAATACTATATTTGTGGTCTTTCGTTTCAAAGGCAAATACGAGCCTTATGAGATATGAGAAGATTAGTCGATTATATAAATATTAATCGATTAAAACCGGTTTTTCTAGAAATTGTTAATGCCCACCCAAAGGGCCAACTGACAGATTGAATTGAAGCCAGACAGAAGACAGATTTGACATTTGATTGTCAAAATAGTCTTCGAAAAATGGTGTCTTGGAGTGCTTTAGGCCGATCTTTCGGCTTGAATTTGATCAAAAACCACGTCAAAACACCAACTACTGTCCAAAATGTAACCTTCACAACATCTAAAGCCTTAAGAGGGGGCCATGAACATAAAACTTTCGTCCTACAACCTTCTAGGTAATGATGGTTTTCAGTGATTACCTAACCATTTTCTTGTTCTGTTGTTTGTTATTTTTATAAAATTACAGGATAGGTAAAAGTATGCATTGAAGAATACTCAACGTTTTAACTTTAGAAGATGTTTAACGTAATTTACTGTTGTATTTGTTTTCTAACCTAAACGTTTGGTTGTCAGGTGGCAATGGCACAAATTCAAGGATATGTTGCACTTCTACACCATGCTGGGCTTGATCCCAGTGACTGCCATCATTTTTTACACCAACGTGTTCATCGGGCCGGCCCAGCTGACTCCAATCCCCGAAGGTTATGAACCCAAACACTGGGAGTACCACCGCCACCCAATAACAAGATTTATCGCCAGATACATTCATCAGAGCCCTCAAGAGGTAATATTGAAATTACTGGACAGTTATTAGTATTTTTATCATTTGGTTTTGTTTGTATACTACATGGGGCCTTGAACACTGGTTTGAATATAGGTATGGATGGATATGTATGGATCAATACTCTCAGTTACATTTTTTCTTATTGTTTTGATTTTTCAAACTAGATTTGTCGGTTTTTTGGAAAAGACAAATGGGTAGATATTTGGTATGTAAGATCATACATGCTTTATATGGAAAGCCCAAACCTAAGTAATTTGTAATGGTATAATGAATTACACTCTCGGCTCCTACTTACTTTGACTGTGGTAGTCACAGGACTTCCAGATTTGGATAAGCTGCAGTCTATGTTATATTTTAGATTGTAATTGATTATAGTATAGAATAAAGTCTGATTTCTAAAAGTTAATTAATTACCCATTTAGGAAAATATAAAATACTGAGCTTTGTGTTGCATGGAACTCTGAACCTTACATATCGATGAAAAGTGGGTGTCATATTAAAAATCTTCTATTTATTTTTGTCTCTTAAAGTAAAATCAAAATGTTGAGTATTGTAAAAGTTACTGATTTACATTAGCGGATATGTGTTATGTTGCGCTGCGACGCACCATAGGCTTTTTTTGTGTTTCTAAATTCTTGTTGTGTGTCGTAGCAAAATAAATAGTTTTTCTTTCTTTCTTTCATGTTATTGTACATACATTAATACGTGAAAATTTGTCAGTATAGATAGTATAGGACTATTAGAAAGACACTAAAACACTGCTTGTGCTCAGTATTATGACTGCATGTATCTGGTATGAACTTATTAGAATTATATTTTTTTAATAATATTGTATCATAGTGAACAAACCAATTCTGCACTCCTCCATGTGTCTGGAATCAATTATCTGTACTATATCGAAACTCTTTTTTTATATTTGTTGGGCCGATGTTTAACTACCGTTGGCACAATCAGCCTTTTAGCAAAATGAGGTAGACTGCTGAGGCAGATACTTTTTGAAATACAAATATCTCATGATATTATAATACTAATAACTGTTTTAAAACTGTTACAGGACTATGAAAAATTCCTTCACTTCCTTGATGAAGAAAAGCAAAAACAAAAGATACGTAAGCTGGAAAAGGAGATTGTTAAGAAGATGGCTGAGAACCACGACTACCAGGCCTACTACTACAAACCAATGGTCAACAAATACCTCCGCATCAACAAGAAGACCGGTGAGGAACTGTATGACCGTATTGGTGATGAGTTCCAGGAATAAACATTTTTTGGAATATTTCAATGACTATAGTATATATTAGTAATCAAGTGTATTGTTGAATATTTCAATGTAGATAAATAAACTATTAGTTGTTTTTAATAACAATTTTATTTGAATTGATTACAACTGGCAACACTTGTAGTGTTATAATCTATGTCACCTTTTGTAAATGATTTTGCTGTTATTTATTTACATATTATGTTTTACACCCAGAAATGTCTTTCTAAGTAGTGCAAGTGTTGTATTATTAAGATGTTTTGGGTAAAATAAAAGAGTAAGACATATGGTAACATTGTTATTTATTTTACAGGAAATTTCTAACGATTGACAATAATAAATTCCGACTTGTGGAACCCTTACAAAATTAATGTCAACACTTACCTAGCAGTATGCTAAATGCCTGATATGATGCTACTTAATGTTTATACGTAATATTTTGGAATCGTTACTGTGGTCGTATTCTGTAGAAATAGGAAGGATTAATTAATTTATTTAGGGAAATTATTTTAGGTATCTATGGATATAATAGATAGATGGAATTGATTAGTTTGTCAAAGAAGGTTTAGGATCATTCAAGAGTAGGTGTTATGAAAATCATATCTTTATAAGCATTTTCAACAAATACTTCTTGAAGGTCTGGTAAAGAAATGTACTCATGCTGAAATTAGTAATCTAAATATATTATAAGCTTCTCCTACGGACGAACTAAGAACGACGAAATCTACATAATTATGTAATAAATAAATTCTTCGGCGGTGCGGTTTGCACGAAGCTCTTAACTATACTGTTACACAATTAAATTACAAAACGATATGATTTCATTATCCCGTTCTTTCAGTCTTCGCAGTTTGTAGAGTTCCAATTATGACCCAACAACTATGTACTTAGATTGCTTCTCATAATAACATTTTTTGACTTTAAAAATATTTACAACATTCCTATGTTAAACAACAATTTCGATTAGAAATTGCAACTAAGCTAGATAATTAACAAAATTGTAAAAATCAGTATCAAAGCGTAAACACAATCATCATCCGATCGAAGTAAAAAAATAAAATTTAAACTAACAGTATCTAATTTACCGTACGTAATGGACTACAATAGACTGTTAGAATACGCTATTTAAAATTGTTTTACGATTCCTCAATGATAACAATTTTCAAATCTAAAATTTAAGACGGCTACGAGTTTCTACAATGTAAAATTTAAACTTTATAACTCTACTTGTTTTTTTCTTTCTCAGCTTGCGCGGCGAGCTTTGCTTCTTTTTTGGCCTTTTTCTTTTCTTCCTTCGCTCTTAGTTTGGCTTGTTTCTCCTCCTCCTTGGCTAATAGCTTAGCTTGTCTCTCTTCTTCCTTAGCTTGAAGCTTGGCTTCTTTCTTCGCTTCCTTCTCCGCCTTTAGTCTCATCTTTTCTTCCTTTTTCTTTTCTGCTAATTCATTTTTCCTATTGTCACTACTTTCATCTTTTTTATTTTTATCTTCTCGTTTTGTATTTTCATCATCTTTTTTCTTTTTGTCCTCTTTTTTGGGTTTTGATTTGGGGTTATCTTTTTTCCGTTCAGTCTCTTTGCTGTGATCTCTGGAATCGGGCAGGTCGTCTTTATTTGAAGGTTTTAGTGGCCGGAAAAGTGTTGCTTGTCCTTTTGTGGCGACGTTTCTAGTTGCGTTACAATTTTCTGGGCACACCTGTAATGTAGAAAAAATATTCATATAAATAACATTCAATGCAGCAAACATGTTTTATCTCTTTAATAATTTTACCTACTTAACTCGATCTATAAGATAACATGTATAAGGAGGTATTTAGGAGGTTGTCAATGCTTACCTAATTCTAGTGGAGGCGGAGGCAGCAGCGGCACTCTCTCTTCGTCCCTCGCGGAATTCCCTCTGGAACTCTCTGATGGGAGGCAGGCGGCCCGAGGGCTCCCCAGCCGTAGGACCTCCCGTGTAGCTATGGACTTGATAGTCTTGTAACCGGGCCTGTGGGAAAACAAACTTGTTAATTTTTTTGTACCTCATTGTAGTCATTCAGTTAAGTAAGACCAAGAATACAAGTAGCTTTAAGTAGCAAGGTGTATCCAGTTCGATTCCCAGGACAAGTAAAGAAAGGATTCTTTTTGGTTCTTAGTTTACTATTCCCTTTAAACGGGACATAATTGGTGTTACAAGTAATTGTACAATGATTAGTACCTACTTATTACGTAAGTACTTATTTAAAGCATCTCCTGCTTACCTTCATACTATGATGCTGCGAACGTCTTAACGAGTTAGAGGCGGGTTGTCGCGGCCGCGGCGGCACGGGGACTCTGGGCACTGCGCCCAAACATGCACCTCCACACTTAGCTCCTCCACATAACTTCGTCGAACAGCTGCTCGGGACGTTGCCTCCGCTGTTTGATGACACGGAAGACACTCCTGGAATCAGAGATTTGAAGTTAATAATTGTGATAGGTAGGTTAATATCAACTTCACGTTTCGGGAATGAAAGAAGATTAATTTGTCGAATAAGTGTTTTTGTTTACTTAAGGCAAACAAAGGAGCTAAGTACTAACGCACTGAGCCACGACGAGGTTTCCATTTTAAGAATTCCATGTAGGGAAGGGATGGTAGGCAGAGGTACACATTACGGCACTTAATACCACTTTACAATGTAAAACTCACTTTTCACTATTTATATGTTATAAGTCCCATGTAATAGCCTATTGCCATATACCGGGTATAATTCCAGACTCCATGCTACTACTGAGAATTTAAAAAACCCAGTAGGTAATATTTTCCTCAACCCGAGAATCAAACCCGGGACCCATTGCCCAGCCGTCGCACTTGCGACCACTCGGCCAACGAGGCGGTCTAGAATTCCACTGTTTCCGAAAAAGCTTTGGTATGACCTTGTAAGATTGGTATGGTACAAAATGTAAGGCATGTAGATTGGAGACTATCTATCTAATTAATAAAAACCACAAAGAAATTCTCGTAGCAGTGATGGAAACCACGACATGGTACAAAGCGGCTCTTCGCCATGGCAATGTTCCAATCGCGTAGAAATTTATAGAAATGAGAAAGAAAGATTACTTATTTACCTGAAAGGGAAGACTCGCCGCTGGTGACGGAGTAGAGCGATGCGGAGGCGGGCACAGAGCGAGCTCCCACCGAGTAGCTGGACACGGAGCCTGGCACACCCCACGACTTCGCACTGCCACTCGAAACCTGGAAGTTAGGGATATAAAATTAGTTAATTATAGATCAAAGGATTTAAGAAAAGTTTATTTAGTCGTTCTAACCCTATTCAACGTAAGACCTGAAGGTCCACTTATCTTTAGTTTTATAACATATGCAGGTAGATAGGAAGTCCCATGTATCATGTAGCTAATATAAAAATAATCGGGCAAGTCTGCTACACACTACACCGGGTACAATTTCAGAGAGTGTTACAACGAGAGAACCGAAAACCCCAACAGCATCTAGGTCTTTATTTGGCATACGGAGCCGCGGAAGACTTAACGAGTTGCCGGGGCTCCGGCTCGAAATGCACGAGTAGGAACGGGGTGGTTTTTAGTCAGTAAGAGTCTGACACTCCGTCTCGCCTCACCCGGGCGGGAGAAGTAATTGGAAAATGATTTTCCCCACTCAAAAAAAAGGTCTTTATTTGGCCTTTAGTCAAACAAATCTGTAATTATGATAAGTCTCACCTGCCAACTCTTGCTGGTGACAAGCCGCGGTGCCTGCCGTAGCCGAAGGATCTTGGCGCGGCAGATGACGCAGCGCAGCGGCAGCAGGCGTTGGCTGACGGCCATCTGTATGGTCTTCACGAAGCACCGCCGACACACTACCCTGTGCCCACATGGTGACGTCTGCATCGTCGCCTTCGCGTTCACACATATTACACACTGAAAACGAATAAGAATATGGTTAGGTTAATGATTATAGATAATCGCTACTCGGTATTCAGTTTTCAGTTAATAAAAACATAGGAATCCGAAATCCCTTAATCTTGTGTCTAACAAGGCAATCAATTTAAACTGTCAAACACCAAGCGGTCACCGGTGACCGCGACCTATTGTTCTTTAATTGTGGCTATAAAACCGGTACTCGACGAGTTAATTTATACGTAATTTAATTTAAATTAATTAATTAACATAAAAATAATTACACAATTATCGTCTACATTGCTCTGAAACCTTGGACCGCATCAAGGTTGATCGTCAGCTGTTTGCATCGGCCACTGAGTCGCCGGAATCAGACGTTGTTTACACTATTTCAAGCTTTCACTTATTATCCGATTAGATTACTTAAGTTTGGATTTAGTTTCCAAGTGTCTGACTGAAGTTTGTAGAGAGATTAACAGGTTAATCTAGCTAATAAGTGTACAACATGGCTCTTAGGTAAGTCTGGGATTTTTGCTAAAATAAAAATGCCAATCGAACTTCACGGGCAAAAAAAATTTCGATCGACACAGACACGACGGCTTTTCAGTCACCGTACGTATAGACAACGGCAGAGTAAGCTCTATGTAAAAACTAAAAACCCGAAGAGCGTGTTTCTGCAATAATTAATTTGTAGATAAACTCAAATGGGTACGTAGTCATGTTCCTAGTATCTATTACTTCAAGGTCCTTATTAGGCATTGGGTACTGTCAACTAAATAGGTGTAGCTATATATTATGCAGATAAAGTACCCCTATGTTTGTGTCTATACTAAGTTATCCAGAATGGCGCATTGCGATACATAGGATGTAAGCCAGGGACGCAGCGTAAACAAAAATGTGAAAATATTACGCCACGTCACAGTAAACCCGCCATGGAATTAAAAAGTTAATGAAACCCGAAAATGTTGCTAATTCCCGCTTAATCCTCGCTGCATTAATGAACTTCGTTCTAGCGGAATGAGAAAATATTATGTATACTTTGTATTTTAACCGACCTTAAAAAGGTAAAATGTATGTAATACTACAGGTCAAACTGAGAACCTCCATTTGAGTATGGATGTATGTGTGTGTGTGTGCGCGATTACCTCGCGATTGGCTGAATCGATTTTGATGTGGTTTTCAGAAAAGTGTTTATAGCACTTAGGAGAAGGTTTTAGTATATTAATTAAACGACCTCAAAAAAGGGGGTATTTGTTTTGTTTTTTTAAACCTTGCCCCACACAAGGATTTTCTCTAGTGTCGTGGGTGTGTTTACAAACATACAAGTTCACATACACATGACACCCAGACTCGGAACAACTATTTGTGAGGGAATCGAATCCGCGACACGTTGCGTGAATAAAATAGTGAAAACTGGGTTTTACATGATACAGTTGCTTTAAGTGCCGTAATGTGCACATCTACCTACCCCTTCGGGGATAAAAGGCGTGATGTTATGTAACTTATTACTTTATGAACTTACTTCCTCATCTGGCGAAGAGGCGAGTTCCGGTTCATTTTCTTCCAGTTTATTGAGCAATTTGTCCTGTAACAAGAGAGATAGGCTTTTAAAAATACATTCCTTTCATTAAATATGTATTCACATTTTAAAACTTTCAAAGTCTTCACTCTGTTTGATGGTTTTTTAATATGTAAAGAACGTAGAAGCTTCTTTCGGGTACTTATTTATTTAATAAGGAATATTACACTTTTTGTTTAAAGAACTCAACCCATGGTGGGTCGTTTTTTATTTATTATTTTAAGGGTGGAAAATCATCGAATGACTTCTCCCGCCTTGTTGAGGCGGGAGGGAGTGTCAGACTCTTACTGACTAAAAACCACCCCGTTCTTACTCCTGCACTTCGAGCCGGAGCCCCGGTAACCGATTAAGTTCTCCGCGGCTCCGTATCGGCATCAGCCCTATTGGGCACCATCTGTGGTGGTCTGATGGCTCTTTGAGGCGCGCGCTGAACGCGACGCGCCGCACAGACGGGTCTGATTCTGGTCGAGCGGCATGGGTCTACAAGTACACCTTTAATGATGTACCTACTTAACGCTATTAACACTCCATAAGGATTTTTAATAATCTCAAAATATTTTGGATCATTCTGACATTTCCTAGGTATATTGTACCTACGACAATACTGAACATGTGCTATAGATACTCACATTCATTTATTTATTACCAGGCTAACTAATTGTTTAACACCGACAATTAGGTATTTGGCAACTAATTAAATTCAATACTTTCTTCGAACTGACAAAAACGACAGTTTTCTATGAATTTTGTACGAGATTGTGTATTGTGACGTCACGTTTTTTAGAGTCAAACAGCATACTCATTTCTTAAAAATTTGCTGGAGAAATACTAAAATTAAGTTGGTCATAAAATCAATTAATGAAAGCGTGATTATAATTAATGAAAGCGTGATTATTTTTTAATATTTCATTGTATTGAACAGTCGAAGTAATTTATTTTTGACTAAGGAAAGTAAGACTAACATGTTTTGCAAAAACGCATTTCATATACCTTGAACAAAGTGTAGGAAGGTACTAAGGTAACTACTAATATGATGATTTCTGAGTAATTTATAGCACTTTACATCCGCCATACATACTTAGAACTAGATAGATACCTAACTACATAATGAAGTAAGAGACCTCAGTAATAACATAGTTTTAAATCCATTTATTTATTCATGACATTCTAGACATGATTGCAACGATCTTGTGACGGAAATATGAAGTAAATAAAGTATATTTACATCAATTTATGATCCAACAAAGAAAATACGTAAGTTATCTGCAATTGATGTTTTAGCAACATTATGTGGAGATGGATATGCATACACATAGCAGAAGTATCATCAACAGCCTATAAATGCCCACTGCTGAGCAAAGCCTCTTCTCACACGGAGAAGGTTAAAGCATTAATCACCACGCTTGCTTAATGCGGGTTGGCGATTTCAAACTTATAATTAGAAATTATAAGCCGAGGTTTCCTCACGATGTTTTCCTTCACCGTTTGTCAGTGGTGTCTAAATAATCTTAGAAAGTACATAGTTATAACTCGGAAAAAGTCACATTGTTACTTGCCGTTAGTAGGTTTCGAACCCGCACCCTCATGCATGAGAAGTGGGCGTCTTAAACCTCCGGGCCACCACGACACCTCCAAGAAGAAGACCACCAAGAAGTATACACTTATATAATTTCAGAGGCCTTAGTACGAGTTTGTTTTACGTTTAAAATATTCGTAACGAGTACGCGTTCGGCGCTGTGATTGGCCGTCACCAATGAAGCAACCAATCACAGCGCCGAACGCGTACTCGTTACGATTACTTTAAACGTAAAACAAACTCGTACTAAGGCCTCAGAGCATGTGATGTATAATAGGTGAGAATTTTCATCAATGAAATACCAATAAAATATACTTTCTACTTTGTCCGACACGGAAATATCTAGGCTATTTTGACACTTTCAATTTAAAAGATCGAAGTGAACTCGATCGCGGTCCGCCGTGTCGTTGGTTAATAATAATAATAAAATAATAATATAGCCTTTTATTCAGATCCTTAACTTACATTACATTACACTTTAAAAGCAACTTAAAGTTAAAAATTAATCTATTATTTGTTGTTTGGTGATCATTTGCAGATCTGTTTGCCAATCGGCAAAGGCCTCCTCCAACCTTTTCCATTCTATCCTTACTTGAGCCACTCTGTTCCACGTCGCAGCTGCCACCTCTTTGATGTCCCTGGTTATGATGAGAAAAATCTCGACCAATGGCGGGTGAGAATGTGACCGAGCTTACTTCGCAAGTTGGAATTGACAGTTATAGAATAGCCTAGTAGAACCCTTGTTAGCAGTCGACGAAGTAGTAAATTAAAATTTTTATTTTTTTAGGTAGTTAAAGGTTTTGGTCAATTGTTCTGTCTTCTATAAAAGGTTATTTTTCAAAACAAGTCGTACCGTTACCACGTTTGACAATGCTCCATTAAGTTTGTTTGTTTGTGTGTTCACTGACATACGAAAATATGTTTTTTTGGTTGTTAGCTGACCATACAAAGTACCTATTTACGCTGTAGTGTGACGTCAATGTTTTAATTTAAAGTATTAATTACCTCTTAAGGTGTTTAATTAGATAGGTAGGTACTATATACATCTTATACTCTTATTACTTATTATATAAATCTGAGGCGTTTGTTTGTTTGTTTGAGTGTGATAATCTCCAGAACTACTTGTCCGATTTGAATAATTCTTTTTGTGTTAGATAGTGCATTCATTGAACGAACAATGCTACTATACATAGACTATAAAAATCATTCGATCAATCAATCAATCAATTATCAATTCGGATTTAGGTGTTATGAACATGTGAACTTATACGTTTGTAAATGCACATACGATACAAGAGAAAATCCTAGTGTAGGGCAACGTTACAAAAAAAAAAAACAAAAATACATCGCTAAAGGGCCCCGAATAAAATGAAAGATGGCCGTACTCATGACACGAAAAACACTTATATAAAATTCACATAGTTTTGCGCAGCAGTTACATTTTGGTACTAAAGTGCAATGAAAATGAGATCAGATATTCAATATCAAAGTGTTCCAAATATGTAGGCACTGAGCATCGATCCCAAGGAACTTGGCTCCAGTTCAAGTCCATTAGAGGATACATTAAAATTAATATTCCTTTCACGGATAACTTACTCCATTCCGTTTTAATTGCAGTAAGTAATAATGCGTAGGGACAGACGACAGTATATCATAGTATCCGAAATTCAAATTACATAACATCACGTCTTTTATCCCCGAAGGGGTAGGCAGAGGTGTTCATTCGACACTTAATGCTACTGTACAATGTAACACCCACTTTTCACTGTTTATGGTATGTATACCATATAATAGGGGGTGAGCCTTTTGCCATATACCGGGCACAATTCGAGACTCCGTGCTACTACTCAGATGTTTTTTTAAACCCAGTAATATTTTGCCCGACCCGGGTATCGAACTTGCCCGGCAGTCGCACTTGCGACCACTCGGCCTACGAGGCAGTTAAATAAAAAAATATTTATATAATTAAGTTCAATTCCAATTTAGAGATTCAGTTAGTCGTAACTTATTTTGCAGTTATCGCCTTATCGGTATAATACCTAAGTAGTTACTACCTACGTTAAGTATCTCTCGGGGTAACAAAGGCAAAAGACTATGTATTTCCCATTTTAATGCTGAACACGTAAAGTGAATTAATCGCGAGGCAAATAAATAGGCAAGTAAATAGTTACTCATGAATCATAATGTTATAATGATACTTATAATTACTGGTGATGGCATTTGTGCATCTAGATGATTTAGTGCAGACATAGTAGAGGTATTGTTTGTCATTCAGCCAAATTCATCATCAATGGCTTAAGCTAGTCCATTGATAGAGTTTGACTCTCCTTTCCTCATAAAGGGTTTGCCATAATCTCCAAGCGGTTGACAACACTGTTATGTTAGTAAACGCACCCTAGCGCGCACATAGGAGACAACACAGAACATATAAAGATGTTCTGTGGGAGACAATATTTAATGAGACTTAGTTTGGGGCAATGTTTAAAAAAAACGAAAGCTTGGCAAGCGTCTTTGAAAATAACTTACGTAAAGGTAAACTATCAATACATACCTATCTACTTAATAATACTACTATATATTATTTACAACAGTTAACTACGCTATACATAACTGCAGCACAGTTAACTAAGCACCCTCTCTAATGAACTTACCGCCAGTTTAGTCAGTTTAACTTAAACGTATCTAACCACGACTGAAATTACCTGCTCGGGAGAACTAGGCTTCCTTTAAATTATATATTCCACGGCGGTATAAGGCTTCAGTAAGGTGCAATGCAATACCTTTCATCAATATATTATTTGTAAATGTACCTATGGTTCATTTTCTTATGTACCTATCCTCATGATGTCGTATGAAGTAAGGGGTTCGGCTTGTTGCCATTTGTCATATATCGGGCACAATTTCACATGGGAACTATTAGTGGCAAATATTTGAATACACGAAAATATCCGAAAGAATCGAAACTGAAACCTCTTGCTCGGCAGTCCCGCCTGCTACTGCTACCACTCGTCGAACGAGGCTGACATCGTGCTAATTGAAAGTAAATGTTAGAATTGCTCGGTTTTAACGTCCAATAATATTTTGTCCGAACTTTGAACCTAACTGGTTCTTATACTCAGCAGTAACATTGTAATAAAAAAACAGCACCTGCTTTATATACCTCTAGTCAATTCAAAAGATTTTGAAACACATATTTCAAACCCTGATAGTTTATCTAGACCACACTTACTTATTTAATTTGAAACTGATTATCTACAGAGAAATCAATTCGATCAACGATATAATTTCGTAGCGTTTTTGTCTTACAGAATCGTTTGCGTAATCATGGCTGCCATTGGTATCAGAGTGGTCGATTTTTAGTATAACAACTAAACAGTTAGCAAATACCCTTCGGTGTAGACAGACAAATTCAACCTCTTTGGACGTTACAAAATTTGAAAAAAGGAACGTTATAGCTAGTCTTGTCTATGATCTCTTTAAAAAAAATATTCGCGATATATGTGACCGTATTTCCGCATACTCGACAGTTACCGGTGAGCCCTAATGAGCTCCGGTTCTTCACAGTTAATCGGGAAACTCTCTAGTAAAAAAAGTTTTTATAACGAGTTTCAAACCATTGTACGGGATGCTATTGTGCTGAACTCTCGTCTCGGCTCTCGTACCGGGAAAATGCTTCGTTCTGAGATGATGGTTTTCAGTGCTGAAGTGTATTTTTAATCGTTTTTGTTGGTATTTATTATTGTGCTCGGATATGGTCGCGAATGCTACCGCGTGTCAGCTTTCGTCGTTTTTCATAGGTAAGTTTTAGATTTGGAATAAAAAAAGTGTAGCATACCCAAACTTTTATGTTACGGTAATATTTTATTAGTTCTTCGGTAAACCTAAAATATCAAAAAATATGCATACTATTTTTAATGACCTATTAAAAATAGTATGCATATTTTTTCCTATATCAGTTTATTTTTCTTTCAAGTTTGTTGAGTTTGTAAAATATTTTAAATTGAATTCCGGAGATTAAGTTATGCTCATAATATTATTTTAGCTTACGTTTAGCACTTATTTTTGTACATGAAGATATAATAAGTATTTCAGGATATAAACTAATCCATTTTATTCAACATGATTTAACTGTTTCCACATATTTGGAGAGAGCGAGAACGATATGAAGCAATCCTAATAAAACCATGACCTACCATAACACAATGGTAGCCACAACACAACCTCTAACAGTAAATCTAATGAGATAGTTTCAACATTTCTTTTTAAACGCAATTTGAATGGATTGATGAAGTATACAGGTCGTGTATAAATGTAAATAGTATTGTGATAGGTGACTATACTTTTACCGCGACTCCAGTCTATCCTATAATAGAAATCAAGACGAATTTCCTTTGATAAAAAAAAGCAGCACTTGCGGAGTTTGCATTACGGGTACATAATATGAATGTGAAATAAAGAACACAAAAGAAATACGCAAGGATCGTACTATTTTAGTCTATAAAAATGTTCAATTATAATAATATTCTCTTTTGGTGGCTGTGAGGCAGGTGTTGTTTTTGAGAGGGAAATTCATCAAATGGTTTCTGAAGAGGGAGTGTCGGACTCTTACTGACTAGAAACAACCCCGTTCCTACTCGTGCTCTTTGAGTCGGAGTCCCAGCAAGCCGTTAAGTCCTCCGCGGCTCCGTGAAGTAGGATGCAAATCAGCTCACTTTTCTAAGTTTAGGATATAAAATAAAACTTTCGCGGTCCATTACTAAATGGAGTTTGAACGTTATATTTAGGAAGATGCCGAACGAACATACGAACTTTGATACTTGTGATATATGTAAGTATATAAATATAGACACAATGATAGATTGCTCAATTGCAGCATCAGTGCGAATGACTTGCACAAATATAAGCACAATAATGATCTCGAAATCCATTTCTGTTACTGTTACTGTTACTATTATTGCGAATACGAAAGTTAGTTGGTTTAGTACGTTGCAACACCTAAATCGCTAAATAGATTTTGATAAGATCTGCTGTTGGGATAGATACAACTTTAGACATGATAATATTATATAGGCTACATTGTCTAGAAACAGAGAAGACGTGTTGAATTGAATGACAATTTCCATGATACTGAAGCGAGTAAAACGACCAAACATAGTACCTCCTCCTTTTTTTGAAGTCGGTAAAAACCAAGGAGTGGATCAGTTTACAAATAAATCAATTCTTAAATGTCATATCATGATTACAAGACAGATTTATTGGTACAAACAGACGCCATCACATCAACCTACCCTAAACAAACAAAATTTCAACTTTATTACAAAACAATAAGATTGATAATCAATAACAGAGTTTAAGGATAGCTTGACGAGCGGTTTCTACAAAGAAGTGACAGAAGTTTATTTCCTAGATGATTATTGATTAGCACTTTATAGTATGTACGTCGGTCATATTGTGGAGTGTTTGCACGTAGTGGTTAGTGCTTCATTCACGAGCGTAAGCTAATTTGTAAACGACTTTGTCATCTCTGCTAAGTAGGTACGTATATTTATCCTTACTATATAATATTATAAATCTGAAAGTGAGTTTGTTTGTTTGTTTGTTCCACCTTCACGCCGTAACTACTCAACCGATTGCTTTGAATTTTTGCAGACGTAAAGTTAGAAGTCCGGATTAAATAATAGGGTACTTTTTAACCCGGAAAAATTGATATTCCCGAGGAAAAACAAAAGTATTGGTATAGATGGCGCTGTGTGTATTGGTATATGTCACATAGGCTACTTTTTATTATTTTGTGACGCTAGCGAAGCCGCGGGTAAAAGCTAGTGACAAATAAAACTTGTAGGTAATATAATGTATGGTATCTCTAAATGGGGTAGGCACAGCTGTAGGTTACTTACTGAAGAAAATAATTGGTATTAACAGATTAGTATATCGATTATTAGAGCGAAAAGTGCGTCGGTTATCTTGATATCCCCGTGACTCAGTTACATGCTATGCCTAAAAAACTGAAAAATCGCAATAGTTCTAATCTGATTCAGGAACGGAAACCGAACACGTCGTTCAACACTAGCTTTTGCGATTATGCACTCGATAATTTTGTCCTACACTTTGACTGCCTCGTTAGCCGAGTGGTCGCAACTGGCCGGACAAGGGGTCTCATTCAAGGGGTTTAATTCCCGGGTTGGGCAAAGTATTACTGGGCTTTTTCAAAAATTCTTAGTAGTAGCACGGAGTCTGGATCATGCCCGGTATATGGCTATAGGCTCACCCCCTATTACATGGGATTCATAACATAAATAGTGAAAAGTGGGTATTGCATTGTAAAGTGGCATTAAGTGGATGAAGTGAAGGGGATAAATGGCGTGATATTATGTATGTTTTGTCTTTCACTGGTGTGCAATAATTTTAAAAAGTACATATACCTTTTTATAACTGGGGACTGCCTCGTTGGCCGAGTGGTCGCAATTGCGACTGCCGGGTAAAGGGGTCTCGGGTTCGATTCCCGGGTCGGGCAAAGTATTACTGGGTTTTCAAAAAAATTTCAGTAGTAGCACGGAGTCTGGAACTGTGCCCGGTATATGGCAATAGGCTCACCCCCTATTACATGGGACTCATAACATAAATAGTGTAATAGTGAAAAGTGGGTGCTACATTGTACAGCGGTATAATGTGCACCTCTGCCTACCCCTTCGGGGATAAAAGGCGTAATGTTATGTTATGTTATGTAACTGGGAAAAGTCACATTGGTACTTGTCCCCCCCTCAAGCATAAGAAGCGGGCGTCTTAAACCTCCGGGCCACCATACTTTAATAGACCTCCATTATAAGTTTCAAAGTAAACTAAACTGCTTCAGGAAATGAGGTAATATTGTTCATTAGTTAACAGGTAACTACTGAAAGATTAGACAATACGTTTAATGTGTATTGTGCCAAGTAATTGTATAATGGAGCCGCCACTAACTCATAAGACGAACTTGCATCAAGTTGTTGTAATTTTGAACTTTATAAGAAGGTTGATAGAGTTGATAATGGCTTGTTACCTAATGTTGAATAAATTTGTACACAGCGTGTTAATAAAATGATATAAATATAATGTAATGTAACAATCTCTAATGGTTAATGAAATCTGTCATTCTCAACGATTTCCTGAGAGCTTATTAACATTCTGACGTAGAAAGTAAAAATTAAAATATTTTGAGTGTATGTTTCATCCTTACTATAGGCACACGTACTAAAAATGCGAAAGTGTTTCTTTGTCTTTCTTTCATGCTACTTTTTTATGGGATTTATGACTTATTGTGTACTAGCTTTTACCCGCGGCTTCGCTCGCGTCACAAAAGGATAAAAAATAGCCTATGTGACATATACCAATACACACAACGCCATCTATACCAATACTTTTGTTTTTCCTCGGGAATATCATTTTTTCCGGGATAAAAAGTACCCTATTATTTAATCCGGACTTCTAACTTTACGTCTGCAAAAATTCAAAGCAATCGGTTGAGTAGTTATGGCGTGAAGGTGGAACAAACAAACAAACAAACAAACTCACTTTCAGATTTATAATATTAGTAAGGATGTAGATAGGCTGCAGAGTGCACACAGGATATATATATGTTTAAACCACATATCCTACATACATAATATATTTTTAATACATCTATTTTTACATATATTTTAAAAAATAATTAGTTTTGTTCCGTTATACATTATAGGTATATACATAATATATACGACATATATTTTTAATTGTCAAAGTAAGTATTATTCAAGGCAAAAAAATGTATGGTGAGAAATAATTACCTAATTTTAATTCTTATTTATGTATGTACATACATAATTAGATACGCAAACCTATGCCATTGTTATTTCACATTCTAGAAACAAACATCCTTGTTGTGGATTAAATTAAAACACTTAAGTACAATCATAACAAGAATCTGACCAGACAACAATAAAATTACGCAGGTATTAACTAAAAGTTACGAAATTCTCTAAAGTACATAACACAGTGACCGAAATATTAAAAGAAATTAACATTATCATTAAGAACTACTTAATCTGCGGTAATTTACTAAAATCGTTTTAAATTGCTGTTAAGAACTTATACATTAAAGTTTACTAAATGGTTGCTTAGGCAATTGGTACAATAAAGATTGTGAACGATCTTTACAAAAAACCGATATTTTGCTTATTAAAAATCCATTGATGGATTTTGAAACGTAGTACAATGAAGTTCAAGGAAGGACTTTTTAATTAAATTAAAGGAAAACATAGAAAACTAAGAATAAGATCCTTAACCGCTTAATTTTTTTTTTGCATACGAATTTTTTTGTAAACGAGCTAGCAGATCACCTAATGGTAAGCAATCAGCGCCCATGGACTCCTGAAACACCGAGGCGTTACAAGTGTGTTACCGGCCTCTTGGGAATAGGTAATTTGAGGATTGTGGATAATTCGAGGATTAGGGAGACTGGGGGGAAGGGAGGGTCAATTGGGCCTCCGGTAACCTCACTCACACGACGAAACACAACGCAAGTGTTGTTTCACGTCGGTTTTCTGTAAGGCCGTGGTATCACTCCGGTCAAGCCAGCCCATTCGTGCAAAGCATGGCTCTCCCACTACGAGACACAATAGAAATTAATAGAAAATACATTGAGTCTCGCGTGGATCCACGTTTAGACACATGACGGGTTAAATAAAATACAGTGATTTTCTTATTTAAAACACTATTGATAAGTTTTGCAAACTTGTAACGAGGTTACAGAAAGGCTTTTATTAAAGTAAAAATTAAGAAAATACTCGGATATATCGGATAAACTAGTGCCAGATAAAAAAGAACATAAGTACAACTTATTTTAAGTTACGTTGAACCTCAGTTACAATAACGAGTACTTATCCGAATCTTACGCAGTGCAAGTAAATCCCTGAATGAGTGGCCAATACCATTGTATAAGACCCATTAAGTGACACAATGTTGTTATCTGTGCGCTCCACTTTCAAGTTTACGGCAATTGCAAGTCATTAATTAGATTTTAAACTTTTTATTGTTCACTTTTACAATGCGTCTGCGAAAACATTTTACTTTTTTGCGAAACAATACACTGAAATAGGTACCTACTTTATTTATTTTCAGAAGATTATTATCTGTGTGTATTGTATTTAAAGTTTAAGTTTGATTTGTTTGTGGATTAAGCAATTTTGTTACTAAAGACACTCTCTTTTAATTAATGTTGAAATAAGTGAACCTTGGTGTGGCTTGTTATAAGAAATAATAATTCGCACCTTTAATATACAACTGTTAATAAAATTTTCATGAATTGAGTATTTAAAAAGCCTAAAATAATTAAACAGTCAAATTATTGCAACGGTTTTGTGGGGCTTAAATTATAATATAGGTACTTACCTGTGAGATTTAAAGGTAAATAAATAAATAATAATAATTAGATATCATGAACTCAATTCACGAATATTTTCGTTGAATAACTTTTGCTTCAAAGGTGCGAATTGTTCTTGGGAATATTGTGACACTCTTCTAGTTTTACTTTCATAGGAACTGACAGATGTCTCTTTATTGCATAGGTACTCTGGAGTTTAAATATAATTTTGCATATTTCTTGTTATTGAATAGATCCGAAAATAAGAAAACAATTCTCTACAATAATACATGAGAATAACTATACCAAAGCCCTTGAAGATAAAACATTCCAATTATTCAATTTCCCTGCACAAATTGCGATATCAATGTTTACATTTATTTACTACTACATACATGCATATATAGGTATGACAGAAAATAACCATAATTTGTGGTTTCGTGTGCGTGATGCTAATGTTCTTACATGATGCTCGTAATTACGCACATAAACATGGCCGCTCCTAATCCTACACTGATTTGTATAGCAATTTTTCTTTAGCGCGCGTTATTTCCATACTTTTCGTTGCTAATGAAAAGGGACTAGGCGCTTGTTGTGGTTTGTTAAGCTGTATTTGTTATTTTGGGTGAAATATTATTATTTAGTACTAGGGTTTTATCCGCAGCTTTGCCTGCGTATTCCGTGGAAGTAAGAAAAACGAGAAAGTATCCTATCACCTAAGTCAGCCCATACCCTTCCTGTACTATACTAAATTTCATCAAAAGCCGTTCAGTAGTTTCAGTGTGATTGACGGAGAAACATCCAAACAATGAAACTTTATAATTTATAATATTAGTGTGATTAGTGTCTAGGTTTATGTATTAATGATGACTTGCACTCGGTCCAATTCTATTCATTGGTCATATCGTAAGTATTTTTTAGATGATCAGTACCTACTTATTCATAAGATGTGCAGTGCTGAAGAATCTGAAGATGAACTTCTCCCAATCAATCGGTCGGTTGGAACTATGAGTCTTCTCAATAATAGAAAATCTTTCACATATATTCAGCCCTTTCGTCCTATCAGAAAGATATGATTCTGTTTAAACAAGCATAGGGTTCTTTAGTCCTACAAGTAATTTTATTAAAATATAAGGGACTTTGGGTACTTAAAAGTATTCAATTTATTTTTGCAAACCTACCTACTTATGTTATTTTACTAGAATTAGTTCACTGTCGAGTGACCCTTTACACATATTACCATAAACACAGTTTCATTGAATTTCAACATATATTCCGCGAATTTGGAACGGCCTTGCAGTTTTTTCGAATCATTGACTCATTCAAATAATACGTTAGCAGTTTATAGGGCATTTAACAACATACCATTACGAACAGCCTTCAAGTTCATAGGAAACTATTCATTGATAGATTGTTTTTTTCTTTTTTTATGTCAAAATCCAAATTGAAAGAGATTGTTGTAATGAAACGTGATTGAAATGGTGTGGAAGTTTTGTAACGCTTTTGTGGCTTGTGCCTTGTTCGGTAATATGCTATTGTTAGGATATGATAAACAAATTGTGTATAACATATAAAGCATTAGCTTTGGGGCCTTTTTTGACGGGGGACGGGGATCATCCAATGACTTTTCCCGCCCGGACGAGGAGAGAGGGAGTGTCAGACTCATACTGACTAAAAACCACCCCGTTACTACTCCTGCATTCCAAGCCGGAGTACCGACAACCCGTTAAGCCCTTTGACTTCAATCGATTATAATGCCATGGCAAAGGTCTTCCGTCACATAGTCTCTTAGTCTTACAACAAAAGCAAGAATAGAAGGGGTAGTGACAGATGCATGTGTGCTACTCTCTCATCACATTAAATGTACTTGGTCCTTCCTAATATCCTGACGACCATAACAACCTCACAATTTTATAATTCAGTAGACCTTGCAATAATTTATAAAGGAAACAACCGAAACGTTAATCCGCAGTGTATCTCACGATCAATCAACCTGGATTAGCAGGCTACTTGTACATTGTACACATCGACCTATACAGAACCAGTTTACCGTGGTCTCGCTTTGAATGAACAATCTGTACATACGATGGTCAGTTTATACTGGTTGAATAGCTTGATGTGTTGTTGTATGTACAAAGACCTTTGTGTCAAAGGAGTGCCCGTTTGTTAGTTCGTTGGGTTAACGGGTCACTGACCGCTAAGCTGGTTCCCTTATGCCAGTGACGGCTGAGTCTGACAGCCATCTGCTTGTTTAGTCTGCCATTTCCAAAGCCGACCATGTTTGTTGTTGGATACTAGGATTTTCAGCCTTGGTTTGCTATTGATCTTTTTTTAATGTAATTAGTTTTGTGTGATGTAATCTTATAGAAGTTGTATAGCTGTCGTAGGTAAAAATATTAGCTTAAATTAGTTAATAAGGTTGACCATTCGAATACAGCATCAGAAAGCCCATTCGCAGACAATATTTCGATTGAAACAGTTGTTTTATTAGTCTTATTATAATTAGTAATCTCTGGCCACAGTAAGTGCGGGCCTGCGGACGGCGAGCACGGGTGGCTCGCCGCTTGACCAGAACCAGACCCGAGTGTAGGGCGCGTCGCATTTCGCGCACGCCCCAAAGAGTCATCAGCCCACCATGGATGGGGCCCAATAGAGCTGATGCCGATACGGAGCCGCGGAGAACCTAACGAGTTACTGGGGCTCCGGCTGGAAATGCAGGAGTAGGAACGTGGTGGTTTTTAATCAGTAAGAGTCTGACACTCTCTCCCGCCTCACATAAGTCATTCGATGATATACCCCCCTTAAAAAAAAATAATTCGCGAGTCCTAATTATTATTATTAAAGTTGTGCCCTGAAAGTGTCACATATAATGAATTATAAACATAATGTTTGTCCTTGTTCTAAATAACTTGCTAAACTACTGTTTATCACGATAAAGTTGTTCATACTAATTTTGATTATCTTTGATTAATAAAAGAGTTGTATTTCTTTACTTTGTATAATAGTACGTATTTGTCTGATTGAAAGTTAGCTCAGCTTGGCCAAAAGACTAGCTACCAAACTGTTTCTATTTCAAGGCTGAATGTCATTCATATTATGAAATATTTGTAATTTGATACATTAATTAAAACCAAAGTAAGATCATTGTCGTCGTAATTGCATGCAATTTTGAACTTTAATTATCTCAGAGTTATTGTTAAAATTGTTCAACCGTTTTTGATGTAGCAAAATATAAAAGTCACAAGAACCCTTATCCAGTCTCAGACTAAAGTAAACCATTTATCATTGTCTATAAGAGTGGTAATGAAATGAACAGTCATCATGATGTGGTTATTTTATTGTGCAATTTATTTTGTTCCAGGTATAGCCGAAATATGTTTCATGTCGGCTCCGATTGGTCAGTGCGGGTACTGTTGCCCGCACGATGATACCCTCGATATACAATTTAAGTTATTTACTAGGTACGTAATGTTTCTATTATAATTTTGTACTTATACTTACTTACGTTAAATTGTATAGTTTTAATATTTCAAAATTCTCAGTAGTAGCACGGAATTTGGAATTGTGCCCGGTATATGGCAATAGGCTCATCCCCTATTACATGGGACTCATAACATAAATGGTGAAAAATGGGTATTACTTTGTACAGTGGCATTAAGTGCCGTAATGTGCAACCTCTGCCTACCCCTTCGGTGATAAGAGGCGTGATGTTATGTTATGTACTTATATTGCAACTACGAAAAAGTAAGTTTATTTGTTTTCACTTTGTCTATCCTGCCATCTTCTGGTAATGTAAATGAAATGAAAATAGAATGAAGACTACGGAAAATGGATGAATGATTTAATTATATTATAAATGGCGTTTGGTTTGATATTTGTTACTCCATCTAGTATCTGTCAGCATGTATTAGATCAAAGACAAAGAAAAAAGTTATCTTTTTCATGATCTCAAACATTGAAAATTCCCTCTAGCGTTCCTCTGAGACCATAACATAGAAATTCAATTAAAATTCATATGAAAAGGTCGCCGATAAGGTTTTATCGCGTACAGATAAGGAGCTAACCTCAGTGGCAGTACATTTGGCGACCAAAAATGACGTAACGTTCGTATTTCGAGCTCAGGGCCACGGGTCGAAGGCCCAATTTCCGCAGAAGCCGACGTATTCCAGTAAATGTTACAAGCTTCTATGATTCCACTGATTTCTTTTTATTATGTTTACATTTCAGTTTTAGATATATGATGACCTATTTTTTGTTAGTTATTAAAATCTAAAGGGGAAAGAGGGGAAAGATCTCGGCTTTGCAAACGTTTTTAAGCCGTAGCTCATGACTGTAAAACTAAATCTCTTTGATCTCGGTGGTTCGTTAAGTCATTGAAGTTTAATCAAATAACCAAAAAGTTTCTAACTAATTATTTTAATTAACTTACCTATTTAAATTGAACTAATGACTATGGTTTTGTATAGTGCATAACTGGCTAATTAATATTCAAATTGAATGCACCAAAATTGCACGGATAAATAAATTTGAATACAAAATTGCTGATTGGAATGCTCACGCATCCGATAATGGTGGTTTTGGTTAGCAGGCAGTTATTTTTTTAAATAAAGTTAACAAACTAGGCTTCACTCACATGAACCTATGCCATTCTCCACACCTCTAACTATTGACAGAGCCGATACTGAACAAGATTTTTTGTTGAGTAGTAGATAAAGTGTAGTAGATAACATATACAAAACAAACCTTAGCATTTACGACTTTTTAAAAAAAAATTTAAGAAGGAAAATGATCGAATTACTGCTCCCGCCTGGGTGAGGCGGGAGGGAGTGTCAGTCTCTTACTGAATAAAAACTACAATACGGACCTCCAGTAACCCGTTAGGTTTTCCGCGACGCATTTATGAGTTGGGACATTTATACAACAATTATAATACACTTTACGACGCAAGAAAACCAATATTTACGAAGCAAGAAACCTTTAACTACAACAAAACAGAATGAAAAGTACTAGGGCGTCATACGACCGTGCAGGTTCAATCGCAAGGTAGCACATGCAAGCATTTGTTCACTTGACGTGCAGCATAATTGCTATAACCTTTGTTTAGGCCAACATCAGGGCTGAGCATTTCATGACCGTATGTTATTAGGAAATGGACTGAACGAAATGAGGGGTCAGCTGTGACGTCATATTCGTGACAGCACTTTCAAACATCCACGTGAAGAATGGATATTGTTGAAATAGTTGGCGTTTTAAAATTATTAGGTATCATTTGGTTATGTTGGTTGAAATAGACTAGGCTTGGTACATAATATGTTATTTGAATTATGAAAATGCTATTCTGCAGGGTTACAGGTGAATTTTGGTAGTTAACTCGTCGAGTACCGTATTTATAGACACAATTAAAGAACAATAGGTTGCGGTCACCGGTGACCGCTTGGTGTTTGACAGTTTAAATATGTAGTTAGCTTAAAGGGTTACAGGTGAATTTTGGTGCTTAAATTTGTAGCTTAAATAATATCATGTCATCGGTTTACTAGTCGTGTTAAAAATATCTTTAGTTTGTATTATCTTTTAGGAAGACATACAATTGTATAGTTAAACTAGTTTTATTGTTTGTTTATTTTGTAAATAAATACTTATTGCATTACATTTTAATATGCTTTAATCATTTCTATAAGTTAATCAAGTTTGAACTAAGATATATAAGTTGGTAGGTCATGTCAATCACTTAATAATTTTGCCTTAATTTCAATGCAAAAGTTGGTTAGAAAAGTTTGTGTATCGTAAGCCGTTTTCGCTTAATTGACGGGTTGACCTTTCCAACTTTTTGTAATCTCCTTCCTTGAATAAGTATACCGCTTTAGTCAATGAATGGTATACCATCGCATTAATTAGTATAGAACCCTTCTTATGAAATTGAAATATAATACTATGAAGTTTACTCTTTTTTTAAAGGGCATTTTACAAAATTATAGCAGGTTTTTTACATAGATAGTAATATTAAACACACGAAAAAGTTTTGCCCGAAAAGGTAGGTAGACGTGCACATAATCAACTACGCACTGTCACCATTTATGTTAAGTCTTGTGTATTTAGGAGTATCCTATAGACTATCAAAGTACTGTAACGGGTTGTTAATATGATTGCATTATGGCGTATAAGGCCTACTGCCTATTGCCATATACCGGCTACATACCAGAGTGACACAATATCATGAATAACTGTCTATCCTTGTTTCTACAGTACATTATTGCACACAATTGCATTAACACCTCTTTTTATATTTCCAGGTCAAATCCCACAACATTCCAAATAATTCCACCAAATGACTTGAATGGTTTGCGGAGTACGACATTTGACTTCTCGAATCCTACTGTGATATATCTGATGGGATTCTCAGAGTCTGTTAGTGGAGTCGGCACAACTACTGTCAGGGATGGTAAGAGAAAAGCACAAATTACATTAAAACCTCCTTTAATTTAATTAAAAAAAAAATTAAAGACTTCTTTTAGGCGTAGATAAATGCAAAGCGTTTACAGTTAATTTCCGTAGCAATGTACTACGGAGTCATCTACACCTGCATGCCGTGACCACTTCTCGTAGGCTCGTAGCTCGTAGACGATAACGAGGCGACTACGGCGTAGCATCTCACGTGTGAAGGGTTACAAATTGCTCCTTGCTACAATATAATGGTTATGTACTAGTCATTCATAATTATGTTGTTGGTATTATGGAACTTATATAGTGTGTGTTGTTTGCCGATATGTGTGTTGGTACAGGTTGAGGCATTTTTATCCGTTAGGTTAGATTAGATGTGAATAATCATATCATGAGCCAAAAATAACGCAACCACGATCCAAAAAATATTGTTTTTCAAAAGCATGTGTTGAATTGAGCCTTAATCAAATATAGATTCAGATCACTGCTCAGAAATAATGAACTTTAAATATATGATGATGATGATCGAATTTAGGATTTCAGCTTCTCGAAAAAAAAACAATACAATAAAAATGTCACCAGAAAATATAAGTTGAATAAATTAGATGTTGGGCTAGTTCAAAACATTTTAGCAAATTCTAAACTGAAGATTGCTACAGGGTTGTGGGTGAGGGTGACATAACTTTTCTGATATTTAGACCTTGTTAATGATTCCCTTTCATTTACATATAGTATATTTAATTAGGTAAGGTACGATGGGGTTGACGTATCCATATGGACAAAAACCCCCTAAAAAAATTAAATATAGGAGAATAAAAAATAAATGTCACCAGGAAAATATCATTGAAGTTAATAATACACATTGAAACGGTATAGACATTGCATGTTCCGAACATATCGCAAACATACGATTCTATTTTTAGCCCATAATTGATATAATACCGCATTTGTAATCGATTTCAAACGAATGCAGTATTGGTGGAGTCAATTAGACCTGTGTTTGTGTCATGTGCTAATAGTCGACGTTGAACGTGTTAGAGTAATGATTCACAAGTAGTAACTATAATGTTTAAAAGACAAGTAGGTTGCGTCTTCATTGGGGGAGGACTATGTTGAGTGGGGAATGTCTTGTAGCTGATGTGAAGTTGATGACAAAACTCTTTTCTCTTTAACTTTTTTCTCTTTGTAAAAAAAAAACGTGGTAGGTGCGTTTACAAACATACAAGTTCACATACACATGACACCCAGACTCGGAACAACGATCTGTGGATTAAACAAAGAGTTGTTCCGTGCGGGAATCGAACCCGCGACACGTTACGCGGCAGTCAGTTGCCTAACCACCGCGCCAACCGCGTAGCAGAATGTCTTGTAGCTGATGTGAAGTTGATGACAAAACTTTAATAAACACATATTTTTATTTTATTTTAACTGGCAATCCAACTCACTGTGCCTCCGTACACAAAGCGGCTGAAAAGACGAGACTTCATGGAACTTGGCAACGCAAACTCTTAGGCTGGCCTCGAAATAAGAGACTGATCTCTTAATGGAGAGATTCGTCTATAAGTCAAATGACGTCCAAAAATTTGCTCATGGCCAAGAGACCGATTGCAAATACACATACAAAAAATATATTTTATTTATTTTATAAAACAGTTAAAAATCATCACATTATCACATTACATGATAAAAAAATATATACACAATTTGATCAAAAGCGTGTTATAAATTCTGTCATACATTGAATAATCTGATGTAGATTCTCTAAATGCCACAAATCTGCTATATTCTCTTACACCTGATTATGTGTCCCCAATGTCTCCTACAGTTAAACATAACAACCCTTTATTAGAATGTCAAATCTCTATCCAGGAATTAAATAAATGTATTAAATCTAAGGATACATCTCCTGGATGTGACGATATATCATATTCAATGATTAAAAATTTACCGGATGTAGGTAAGTCGGTGTTGCTTACATTGTTTAATAAATTCTTTTATAATGGGTTTGTTCCATCTCAGTGGCGCGACATCTGTATTGTGCCTATTCCCAAGCCTGGTCGTGATCTAAGTAATGTGGCTTCTTTCCGCCCTATTTCTTTATTATCTTGCATTTGCAAAATATTTCATTACATCTTACTCAGAAGACTGGAGTGGTTTGTTGAGAAAATAAACGTTTTTTCTGATAACACAGTAGGTTTCCGTAGAAATAAGTCGTGTTTAGATGGTCTGGCGTGCTTAATATCTTCTATTCAAACCGGTTTCTCTGACGGTTGTGTTACGTTGGGATGTTTTTTAGATATAGACAGTGCGTACAACAATGTTAATAACTATATTTTAATTAATGTTTTGGACCATTATGGAGCGGGTTCCCTTATTTGTAATTACTTATGGAATTTTCTGCATAGAAGAACATTAAAAATAAGAACCGGTAACAGCTTCATTAGTAGATGCTCGGGTAGTGGGTTGGCGCAGGGCGACCCGTTATCTCCATTGTTATTTAATATAATAACGGCAAACATCTGTAATCGCGTTCAAAATCAAGTTTCCGTTTGCCAGTATGCGGATGAATTTGCAATATACACACAGTGTTCATCTATTAACGAGGGACAACATAAAATCCAATCTGCCCTCAACATTATTAACAAATTGCTTTCAGACGTAGGATTACATATTTCGTCGGGTAAAAGCAACATTTGTTTATTTACTAGAGGTTTTCGTTTACCTATTGTTAATATACGATTAAATGGCGCATCATTACAGTTAGTCGACAATGTTAAATATTTAGGTTTATGGCTAGACAGAGGTCTTCGGTGGAAAAAACACGTTAATGAGGTATGTGAACGAGTCCTAAAGCTAGTCAATATTTTTAAGGTTCTGGTGGGCCCCGGATGGGGTGTTCATCCAAAACACTTAAGACGGCTGTACATATCCCTTATTCGTAGTCGTATTGACTTTGGTAGCTTCTTATTTGGTAATAGTGCTAATACACACTTGTCAAAATTAGATAGAATACAAAACATTTGTTTACGTTTGATAGGTGGGTTCATCAAAAGTACGCCGATACACGTTATGGAATCCGAGTTGTTATTACCCCCCCTTTTTATTCGCCGCCAATATATAGCTAGTAAATTTTATATAAAATCTAAGTGTTATAATTATCCCCTACTTAATATACTGAACAAGCTTCATCATCTATGCAATAATTCATATTGGAGAAACAAGAAAAAACCTCTTCTTGTTTCGACGCACGATATTTTAAATGGAGAACTAATACATTTACTGTAGCAAGACGGTTCACATGTTTGCCATGGATACTTGGGTCAGCAATATAGACTTATCAAATATCATTAAACCGGTTTTGAATTCTATTGATAAGCCAAAGCATTGTTTTAATATTCATCAACTTATATCACTTTGTATCAAATCTCTTAATTTGTCATATCACGGTTTTTACCCTATTTACACGGATGGTTCGAGATACGAAAACAACTTCGGCGCAGCCTTTTATGATCCACAAACAGGTGTTTCTGTCAAACTCAAAATTATGTCCAGATTATCTATTATGCACTTAGAATTGATAGCTATAGCAGAAGCGTTGGCTTATATAGAATCTTTAGACAGTGATCGTTTTGTTGTATTTACTGATTCAAAAAGTGCTCTTCTCCATCTTACTAAATGCACTTCACCATTCAGAGGGCTTCCACTGGCGTACTCTATTTTGAAATCCATTGGCAGAATTGTGGCTAGTAATAAAATCATTGTTCTTCAATGGATACCTTCTCACGTTGGACTGGAGGGTAATGAGATTGTTGATCGTTTGGCAAAAGAGGCTGCGTCTGATGGGATTTATTTTAATTGTTTACCCTGGCACACCGAACTTTTACCCTCTGTTCGAGACAAATGCTTTCAAAGTTGGTCAGAATATTTCGACATAAGGTCGCTTACCAAAGGCATCTGGTACAAAACTATTCAACCCTCACTTCCTCGTATGCTTTGGTTCAACGTGGGCAGCATGAGTAGACAAGAAGTCGTGATGGCTTTGAGGCTTCGATCCGGTCATGTGCCGCTTAACAGTTTCGGCTTTATGATGCGTAAAGTGGACTCACCCAATTGTGCTGTTTGTGGAGTGGTCGAAGACGTGTATCATATCCTTGCCGAGTGCAGCCGTATTGGGGATCAAAGACGTCACGCCTTTGAAGTCGGAAATTGTAATGTAGGCTACTATAATAGCATTCTGGCTTCGCCATTGTCGGATGAGGCCAGAATTCTTATTAATATTATTATTATGGGTACTAGGTTGCGGGTAGGTTAACTTAAATGTAAGTGTTCTTTTTGTTTTTTTGTATTCAATAATCGGGGTGATGTTTTCTATTAAGAAAAAACCCTGTAAATAAATTAAAAAAAAAATAAAAAAAAATTGAATAATCTGAATGCATGGCTATTTACTGAACTACATATATTTTGAAATGTGTATGTGAACTTGTTTGTTTGTAAACGCACCCACGACACAGGAGAAAATCCTAGTGTGGGGCAACGTTTTGTTTAGAAATAAAAACAACAAATATATTGGAATCAAAATTTATAATGTGTGCAGTGCCTCAATTGTCGCAGAAATTATTATCACTTCTACTATTTTTTTAAGCCATGGTCGTCCCACTGTAGGGTAAATGCTTACCTACCCTTCTTCCTTTACTTTTTATGTAAAACTTTTTACGGCCAATCCTTGTCATAGATGTCCAGTTCGTCCCACCGTGTTCTTTTGGGCCTGCTGCTATTATGATATTCAACTATTACTACTATTACTGTTATATCAATTGTTTTACTACTAGTAACAAGTAACAGATTCTATTCCCTAGTTTATTAAAATCGTCTAGATTCAGTAGCTAGTAATAAAAATGGTGAAGTAAAACAGGTGAGAGAAAATTCTAAGAATATAGAAGTCCGCCCTTGGGATTTGAATCGCATGAAAACATTAGACGAACAGTTCAATGACACGAGGTACGGATCGTGAAGAAAAACACTTTTACTACGATTTATCCTAGTATTTGTTGTTGCTTTATCGTATTTTGAGCATATTAACATGGAGAGAAAACTTAGACTTTGTAATATCTATAATGAAATCATAGTGACATTTAAAATACTCAACTTTCTCCGTGTTAGAAGAAGTCTTTGCTCAGCAGGGGGCGCCCCTATAGGCTGATGATGAGAATGATTTGTGCATTATATAAAAATATAGATACCAAACTATAAAACTCAGGTAACCAAGTTCGATAGCATCACAACATAAGGGATTATTATATATTTTTTGAGGGGGAGAATTATCCAATGACTGCTGACATACATTTTGTAAACAACAACAACAAAAGATTGGGTAGTCAAACATTAGTTCGCAAATACGAAGATCAGTCATTCATAGTCCAACTATTCAAAGACGCCTTAGCCTACAGTAGTTACAACCATAATTGTGTTCATCAGAGTTTAATGGATATATGGAGTACACCTCTATTGACATAATTTGATGTTTATGGCAAGCAAATATGGTAGTGATGTGTAATAAAACGATTTTATTACCATAGACTAACATTGCTATGTTTATGGTGAAGTCAGTGCACCAATAACTTTTGTAAATAATAAATAGGAAAGAGGGAATTACTACTATATTTGTATGTTGTTTTGTATATAATGTAAACACACCTGCATATGAAGGCATCATTATATTGTTTTTCTTACGTTGGTGATTATCACGTTGTTTCAAGCTGTCAAGGCTGTCTAGCATAATGTCTCGGTTTTTATGCGACAAGATGACAGGGCATGAAAATTAAAAATCTAATTAGTCCGTAAGTTAGGTAATGAAAAAATATTAGACACGTATTTTTTTATTTTGTCGTATAAGTAAACAATACTTACAATTATTAAAAATAGTAACGATAAAACGAATCAAAGTTGATATGGTATGATACTCAAAAGTGACGTCATGCGATATTTCAAATCAATATGTCTTCGAAACTATTCGTATCTGTAAGAAAATAAAAAATACGTGTCTAATGTTTTTAAATAATCTACCAGACGGACATTAAAATAATTTGTCATCTACCCTATTGTTCAAAGTGCGCCTCAAAGAGCCATCAGACCACCACAGATGGGGCCCAATAGGGCCGATGCCGATTCGGAGTCGCGGAGAACCTAACGGGTAACCGGGGCTCCGGCTCGACGTGCAGGAGAAGGAACGGGGTGGTTTTTAGTCAGTAAGAGTCTGACATCCCTTCCGCCTCACCCAGGCGGGAGCAGTCATTCGATGATTTTCCCCCTTAAAAAAAAAACCCTATTGTTATCAAGTTTTTGATTTCTAGTAAAAGGTCTCATTCCCGAGTTTTTATTAACATATTTATTCACTGAAGGTTTAAAATGCGTGGCCTTAAATCTAAACTCCCCAAACTTTAAAACGTTTCATGGCGCAAAATTGAGAAGTGAGTTTCCAGTTTCCAAATTCTAAGTAATAGAAGCTATGTTATTAATTATAACTATTTTGTTTCTGCAATAGCCTCGACTTCTTCTCTTCGCAAGAGACCCCTCACCAGAGTACCAAGCACGAATAACTATTGCAATCGTAACGTAATAGTATCGAGCGCGTTAGGCGCTCTGATTGGTTGGTTTACTGGAGCCGGCCAATCAGAGCGCCGAACGCACACGATATTATTACGTTACGATTGCGATAGTTATTCGTGCTCGGTACTCTTCTTAGTAAATAGTTATGTTTTCGTACCTGTTTGACGAAGAACTCGACTAGTTTCAAGCTATGCTAGAGGCTCATATAATTTAGTATGTCTCACAAAAGTTTTACTATGTATAAATGTGGTAAATAGTTTCAAAATGTCCATGTATTTCATTTTTGTTTTCAGCACACTTAGCGGCAAGGAACTACAATTTCATTGCAGTTGACTGGTCACGACTTATTGTGTTTCCATGGTAAGTTATAGCATATTACAGTCATTATTTAACTTGGCCTGCAATTTCATGATGATAGGATAGACTTAACTGTAATCATTATTGTTATATTGTTTTTATTGTACCATGGATATTTGTTATTTCATTTTCCTCTACAGGAATCTGATCTTTGGACGATTATTAACCAATTAACTGGTAAACAGTACTCATCTGATTACTGATTCAAAATTGTTTTTGCTGCATTTTATGTGCTACTTAAATGGCTATAGCATTGTCCTAAAACTGCAAACAACATTAAAGTTATACTCGTTACAAACACGTTATTCGAAATAACAATATAAAAATCACACACAAAACTGAAAATGAACACACAACACTTAATTAAGGGCGACAAAACTCAAATAATAACAAAAGTTACGACATTTCGCGTCGCAGTCGGAAACAAATGACTGCGGTCGAATAAACCTCGTGTATGAGCGAAATCCAGTTGTTACAGCATTTAACGTGGTACTGAAACGTTATGATTCCATACGTGAGGGACAAATGTGACCTCACATTCGCCCCTTAGGACCTACCTATAAACCTTATAGGTCTCTTATTTACAACCCAGTGGCTACCAGCCAACTACATCCCGCTAGATTTATACCCCTTCCCAAATTCACGAATTATGGGCCGTTTTCGTTTTTCTTTGCCGTTTTTGTTTCGCCAGCAATTAATTTCGGCCAGTTTCATTAATTACCGGTTTAATGTGTTCGGGAATTGGAACGAGGAATAGTTCTGTTTAGCGCAGTAACTAATGTTGCAATAAATGTTTATGTGTGCTTGATGCACAGCAATTGTGCAATATTATTACGAGAGATTTGTGACTATTGTTCAAAATTTTAACAAACTATCGTAGCATGAAATAAGTGGTTTGGTAGCTGTACCAGGAAAGGTTTACAAGCCAGGCAGATGTGTATTGCAATGGTTTACAATTCATTCTATCCACCCTATCTTCCTCAGGTACGTCTCAGCAGTTCGAAACACTCGCTATATGGGGAGAAAACTAGCAGACTTTATCCAATTTCTGGATTCAATTGGCGTTCCAGCTTCATCCATCCACGTGGTTGGATTCTCCCTTGGCGCTGAAGCCGCAGGGTTTGGGGGCAAGAACTTGCGGTCCCGAGGGTTGCTACTGGGCAGGATTACCGGTGAGATATGAACTTGGTTTTCCAACAAATGGGTTACTTGGGTGAATTTGTTTTCATTGGCCGGGTTGTTTAGTGGTTCGGACAAAGTTGTTTGAATTCATTAAACTTATAGTTTATGGTTCTTAAAAGATTAAGTTAAGATAAAGTTATAGATTGAAAACTGAGATCTTGACCAATCTTCAGTAAAAGTATTTTCTTGTAAGATATTTTATAATTTACTGTAGAAAATACCCTTATTGTTCACGTAAGCAAACCCCTATTTACTTTTTCTAAACGGTCAGTTCATTTCTTTATCAGAATGTCTGATTCTTATTTATTTTCGTTCCAAATCAAATAAATAATTAAGAATAACCCACCAGCCATACTCCTACACTACATGCATAAATAAAAGCACCACTAAAGAGTGTCAGACCGCTGCATTTCATGTTCAAACGTTCGATATATCCACAGAGAATTATTAAATAACCCGACAGACGTTAATTGTAGGCTGGACAAATAAATAAAACTGTTTCAACGCGGGTTTTAACGTCATTCGATGATTTTCCCCCCTTAAAAAAAAAAACCCTATTGTTATCAAGTTTTTGATTTCTAGTAAAAGGTCTCATTCCCGAGTTTTTATTAACATATTTATTCACTGAAGGTTTAAAATGCGTGGCCTTAAATCTAAACTCCCCAAACTTTAAAACGTTTCATGGCGCAAAATTGAGAAGTGAGTTTCCAGTTTCCAAATTCTAAGTAATAGAAGCTATGTTATTTAATTATAACTATTTTGTTTCTGCAATAGCCTCGACTTCTTCTCTTCGCAAGAGACCCCTCACCAGAGTACCAAGCACGAATAACTATTGCAATCGTAACGTAATAGTATCGAGCGCGTTAGGCGCTCTGATTGGTTGGTTTACTGGAGCCGGCCAATCAGAGCGCCGAACGCACACGATATTATTACGTTACGATTGCGATAGTTATTCGTGCTCGGTACTCTTCTTAGTAAATAGTTATGTTTTCGTACCTGTTTGACGAAGAACTCGACTAGTTTCAAGCTATGCTAGAGGCTCATATAATTTAGTATGTCTCACAAAAGTTTTACTATGTATAAATGTGGTAAATAGTTTCAAAATGTCCATGTATTTCATTTTTGTTTTCAGCACACTTAGCGGCAAGGAACTACAATTTCATTGCAGTTGACTGGTCACGACTTATTGTGTTTCCATGGTAAGTTATAGCATATTACAGTCATTATTTAACTTGGCCTGCAATTTCATGATGATAGGATAGACTTAACTGTAATCATTATTGTTATATTGTTTTTATTGTACCATGGATATTTGTTATTTCATTTTCCTCTACAGGAATCTGATCTTTGGACGATTATTAACCAATTAACTGGTAAACAGTACTCATCTGATTACTGATTCAAAATTGTTTTTGCTGCATTTTATGTGCTACTTAAATGGCTATAGCATTGTCCTAAAACTGCAAACAACATTAAAGTTATACTCGTTACAAACACGTTATTCGAAATAACAATATAAAAATCACACAAAACTGAAAATGAACACACAACACTTAATTAAGGGCGACAAAACTCAAATAATAACAAAAGTTACGACATTTCGCGTCGCAGTCGGAAACAAATGACTGCGGTCGAATAAACCTCGTGTATGAGCGAAATCCAGTTGTTACAGCATTTAACGTGGTACTGAAACGTTATGATTCCATACGTGAGGGACAAATGTGACCTCACATTCGCCCCTTAGGACCTACCTATAAACCTTATAGGTCTCTTATTTACAACCCAGTGGCTACCAGCCAACTACATCCCGCTAGATTTATACCCCTTCCCAAATTCACGAATTATGGGCCGTTTTCGTTTTTCTTTGCCGTTTTTGTTTCGCCAGCAATTAATTTCGGCCAGTTTCATTAATTACCGGTTTAATGTGTTCGGGAATTGGAACGAGGAATAGTTCTGTTTAGCGCAGTAACTAATGTTGCAATAAATGTTTATGTGTGCTTGATGCACAGCAATTGTGCAATATTATTACGAGAGATTTGTGACTATTGTTCAAAATTTTAACAAACTATCGTAGCGTAAATAATTGGTTTCATAGCTCTACCAGAAAATGTTTACAAGCCAGGCAGATGTGTTTTGCAATGGTTTACAATTCACACTATACATAAAATGTCCCTATCTCCCCAGGTACGTCTCAGCAGTTCGAAACACTCGCTATATGGGGAGAAAACTAGCAGACTTTATCCAATTTCTGGATTCAATTGGCGTTCCAGCCTCATCCATCCACGTGGTTGGATTCTCCCTTGGCGCTGAAGCCGCAGGGTTTGGGGGCAAGAACTTGCGGTCCCGAGGGTTGCTACTGGGCAGGATTACCGGTGAGATATGAACTTGGTTTTCCAACAAATGGGTTACTTGGGTGAATTTGTTTTCATTGGCCGGGTTGTTTAGTGGTTCGGACAAAGTTGTTTGAATTCATTAAAATTATAGTTTATGGTTCTTAAAAGATTAAGTTAAGATAAAGTTGTAGATTGAAAACCGAGATCTTGACTAATCTTCAGTAAAACTATTAACTTTTCTAAGATATTTTATAATTTACTGTAGAAAATATCCTTATTCTTCACGTAAGCAAACCCCTATTTACTTTTTCTAAACGGTCAGTTCATTTCTTTATCAGAATGTCTGATTCTTATTTATTTTCGTTCCAAATCAAATAAATAATTAAGAATAACCCACCAGCCATACTCCTACACTACATGCATAAATAAAAGCACCACTAAAGAGTGTCAGACCGCTGCATTTCATGTTCAAACGTTCGATATATCCACAGAGAATTATTAAATAACCCGACAGACGTTAATTGTAGGCTGGACAAATAAATAAAACTGTTTCAACGCGGGTTTTAACGTCATAGCAATATCATTAATATTTAATACTTATATTTCTTTCATAAAAGGCTACCGTGATGGATATTGGATTAAAAGTTGTATAATACAATACGTTATACTTAGTTACTTTGTGAACATTTCAGAACAAAATGCTATGTAAGGCAATTAAACTTATCGCATTTTTTGTTTATATGCGACTTATCCATTCAAAGTCAAAGTCAAAATCATTTATTTCAATTAGACCAGGAAGGCACTTTTGAACGTCAATAACAAAAATTTTGAAGTTAAGCTAATTGCTCGTTCCAAGGTGTCCCAGAGAAGAACGAGCAAGAAACTCCATAGGTTACGCTTTTTCAATCGGGTTTAGAATACAATTCTCTAGTTGTATAGTTTTGTTGGCTCGATTGTGTGAGAATAATGCAATACCTAAATCCAATCAAAGAGTCCTTGAACTAGAATATTGGTCTATCATTGCAATGTGGTAAAGAAAATTGGAAGGCTTTCTTTTTTATTACGATTTTAAATTATTTTAACCAAATTCTTATTCGTAATTCCAGGGTTAGACCCAGCCTACCCCGGCTATAGCCTGTCAAACAATGACGGCCATCTTGCCAAAGGAGATGCGTCCTTTGTGGACGTCCTGCATACGAACCCGGGAGTCTTCGGGTTTCTACGGCCAATCGGAGATGTGGATTTTTATGCCAACCCTGGCAGTTGGATCCAACCGGGCTGTTGGGTGGACGAGCTCATTAGAAATAGGGAGTTTCGGTTTGTTTGTAAGTTCTTTGATGTTTTAAAAGCCTATTTTACAACCGAAGTGATCTTTTATCCTTACTAATATTATAAATTGGAAAGTGAGTTTGTTTGTTTGTTTGTTCCACTTTCACGCCGTAACTATTAAACCGATTGCTTTGAATTTTTGCAGACGTAAAGTTAGAAGTCCGGATTAAATAATAGAGTACTTTTTATCCTGGAAAAAATGATATTCTCGAGGGAAAACGAAATTATTGGTATAAATGGCGCTGTGTGTATTGGTATATGTCACATAGACTGCTTTTTATCCTTTTGTGACGCAAGCGAAGCCACGGGTAAAAGCTAGTAAAACATAATTTAAGACGTAACTAGTTCGTACAAAGATCTATTTAAAAAAAATTATATAATTATAAGAAACTTTACATATATTTAAGTAACATATATTTAAGTAACAAAACTATGTGTGCTATATTAATTTTTAAGTAGATCAAAGTCGGATTCATTCTGAAGTAAGAAAAGCCATCGAACAACTACCTACTACCTACAAAATCGAGTTTGTTTCAAACAAAATCTTGACTGTAGTTAGTGAATTATTAAAGAAGGAATCTGAGCGAGTGCATGGCACAGCTAAAACGAACAAAAATGTATCTAGGAAATCTTCCGTTTTCCGATAGAATATTCAGTGTACTGCAGATCATTTTTTTCTAGTTCAACCGAGATGTTCTACCGTAGGCGTAGATGAAATGTTAACGTTTTTGTATAGTGAAGTAATAAAGTCACGATATTCGATGCCATCGGTTAGTTATTTTTTTGGTTTATACATACATACATTGTTTTGGATCGTGACCTAAGTAATGCATTAGTTCCGAATATTTATCTCAAGAGTTTTACTTGCCAATGCGGCAAGTAAAACGCTGAAAATTTATTCAACTATTAAAAAAAGCAATTTATTTTTAGTTATAAATGACAAGAACCGTTATAACAAAACATTATTTTAGTCAATGAACGTGAACATCTCGTTAAAAAGACACTTGTTCTTTTTGTGTCGACAAAGCGTTCAATAAAAATGAAGGATTGTTGTGTTGATTCGAAACGAGTGACTCGCTTCAACGCTCCTTGACACTCAATCGTCTGATTGCATAAATTATCTGTACAAAAAAAAAAACAACGAATCTATTCGGAATTTAAAAAAGGCGCGTTCGCTTCGTAATCCCCAACGCTAAATCCAAAGCCCGTTTACCAAAAAAACATAAAAGCTATGTTACATAACCTTTTTACTTAGAAGAGATTGACATTGACCTTTACAGGGTTGATAAATGTTTTTGCAAATAACAGAGCACGACTGGTGAGGTGTGTAATACAATATTTTATTTGCGCGTTTATTCCACAACATTTCTATTTAATTATCAATTTGCGTGTAGTGACGAACAATGCAGTATTCAGCCGCAGATAGATTGGGAATAAATGAAGCCGCAATAAACAATTTAGTCTGCACTAAGCCAATTTTCCCGTCAAATTTGGCGCGTTAGCTGATGATAGTGTGATGTTGCAACCCTAACAACCGCACATTTCGGCGGGAGGGAGCGATCGATGCTCTGACGTCACACGCGGATGCTGCGGGTGGGACACGAAGGACGAGACAGGGGGGAGTCACTAGTACGCCAACCCCGATTATTTGCCTTTCAAAAAGCTATTATTAGCGTTCGTGTTTTTGCTGAAATTAAATTACAAGGTATTTTTTTGGTGAATTTTATCCGCCAGTCGCGTCGCTTGGGGGACCCCTGTGTAGTAATTTTGGGTTATCAGGCTAAAGCCATCGCCGCTTCTGGTATTCTCCGATTTTATGCGAGGCTTTCCTGATATAAAAATACATTTTTGCTTTGTTGTCGAAAGAAGAAGAAAAAGATATCTAAACAAAATTGCTGAGTGAAATAAATAAAGAACAGCTTATCTAAACTTTAAGTTGGTCGAAGTTACATAAATACATAGTAAGTAGTTACTGAGTAAAACCGCTGGAACCCACTAGCGATTACTCGTACGAGTGGCCCTTCTTGAGAGGTGCTCGTATACTACTCCGTAACTTTGCGATCCTTCAACTTCTACGAGTATGCTATGTTTTAGTCTAAAAACTAAGAGTTTATAATGGATGCTTTGTCGATAGAATATAAAGTTTTGGCTAAATTAAATAGATGGTATTTTAAACTTAGTACCTGTGCAATTTTGTAATGGGCTTTCGCAGATTGGATTCTAATTTTGCTTTAGAATCGGGGATTAGTATTCAGGAGAGCACTTCACTGACACGCATTTTTAACCTTATCGTTGTTGGAAATAACTACGAGGTTAAAATCAAATTCACATTAGGTCTACATTCGTCTGTACATCGCAAAATATCAAACCGCATTTACGAGCCATAACAAGTACACTTCGTTAAAAAATCGAAACGACCCGCAGGCACTTTATAAAGCTACCGTGCACGCGAATATAGCCTTTATGTCCATCTATGAAGGAACATTAATTAAGAGTGATAATGCGAAATTATTTGGGCCACTCGTAAACCGTGCGTAAACCTTTTGACATGAAACGGCTCGTATAATTTTGTGAATTAGGTGGAATGGAGAGACGAGCTCGTGGCTAATAGCTCTGTCGATCGATCCTGGTTTACTTTGGATGTTAGATTAAACTTTCTGCATTTTTAGATGTTTTTTTTTTGTTATTGCAATTTTTGAGACTAACTGTCAACTAGCGGTAGATGGTAGCTTTTTTTGAAGGGATTAAAACCATCGAATGACTGCTCCCGCCTGGGTGAGGCGGGAGGGAGTGTCAGACTCTTACTGACTAAAAACCCCGTTCCTTCTCCTGCACGTCGAGCCGGAGCCCCAGTAACCCGTTAGGTTCTCCACGACGTAGATGGTGTGGTAGCTACCATTACCAATATGACAAGTTGAAAAAAAAAACGTTATACCGTTTTTCAATAGCACTTATTTGCTAGGGGAACTCCTAAATTGTGTTCTCTATACCATGTAAAAGATGACCAAAAATGAAACAGATTACAGTAGTCGACCAAACGGAAAGTTCGGATATTTCGCACTTTCAGTCATAACTGATTACTCTCTGCTGACCCCAACCCAGTTGGATGTAGGCCAGAAGAAAGGGTTTTGGCAGATTCAAACTAAGCCTGTCTCTTGATATTGTGTTAAAATTTAAGAGCATTGCATATTAAAACTTGGTAATAAGAAACGAAGGCATACTTTGCCTTAACGAAAGATTTTTTGAATAACAATTTATACAAATTAATTGCTATAGCATGAATTTCTCCCAATTTTTAAGGAAAATACGTTTAAACAATGGAAAACAACACTGAACTTTATGAAGATGTGAACGGCTGTTTTGCATTTTGATGGAAACTTAACATATTGTCTTGGCATGAAAAGTTTATAAGATTTCATTTTCAATTTATTGCACTTGGAAAAATTTTGATCAGATCTTTTAAATCCTTTTATGGTCCATATATAATTTTAATCTTTTAATGTTACTGCACCACGTTCAACTAAAATATTGGATTTACAACAGCTGTGAAAACATCATTGGAATTTGAAGGACGTAAAATATGTTTGGCGCCTTGAATATTAAACATAGCATCACGCCTTTTACCCCTGCAAGAGTAGGCAGAGGTGCACATTGCGGCACTTACTGCCGCTGTACAATGTAACACCTACTTTTCACTATTTATGTTATGAGTCCCATGTAATAGGGGGTGAGTCTATTGCTATATACCGGGCACAATTCCAGACTCCGTGCTACTACGGAGATTTACTTAAAAAATTCAGTAATACTTTGCCCGACCCGGATATCGAACCTGAGACCCCTTGCCCAGCAGTCGCATTTGCGACCACTCGACCAACGAGGCAGTCTTACATGTTCCTCTAAATATTTTCAACCAATTGAAAAATTTTAAACATCGAATCGTTTATCAATTTAGTTCGTTCAACCCTAGAATGCGATAACCTTATATTTTATCAAGACGTAGGTACGCTACCACTTGGCTCAGGGCCAAAGATTGATCGTTAAGCAAAATGTCAATAGCAGATTAGTTATAGGCACCGTATTCCTCCCCTTACAAAATATACAAAGGAATTAAAAGGTAGTGGGTTACCAACGAAATATGTAGGTTAATCCTCAAATGTATTTCGGTGTGTTAAATAACAATAATGGGCTTTGCTAAGCTGGTCTGTATAGAATAAATGGCGATAGCCTTATCTAATGGTCGTATCGGGACCTGATCTGCTTGAATCTGACAAACTGAGAAGCGTAAAAATCTTGTGCACTCTGCTCTAGCACGTATCTATAACCAAAAGAAGATGACAGCGCCGTTTAAGAGGATGGATCAAATGATCAAAGTTTTTTATCAATTAATCGCACATTTGGTTTCCCAAATTACAAAATCCAGGTCATTACATATTTTAACAATTATTGCAATAGGGATGATGACGAGTTATGAATATTAAAAATCTATTTTGTCCGTAAGTTAGGTAATGAAAGAATATTAGGCACGTATTTTTTTATTTTGTTGTATAATAAAATAATACTTAGATATAGGTAACGAATGAAAGTTTTGGAGTGCTAAAACGCCATTTCTACAAAATGTACATAGAATTGACGTCACGCAACATTTCAAATTAATATATCGTCAAAAGTATTAGATTTTGGAAGAAAATAAAAAATACCGTGTCTAATGTTTTAAAATAATCTACCAGATGGACATTACAATGAAAATTAGGCATCTACCTTATTATTATTGGACTGTAGAGGATATCATATACACACATAGCACAGCTAACTCTGTGGAATTAGTTATGGAATTAGTCTATCTCAATTCAGATTTTATCGAAGAAAGACGACTTGTAAATAAATGTTCCGGTGCTGTATAGCATTTGGCGACTTTAAAAGTTGGGTTACATGATTCGGAAAAACATGCACTTTGAAAATCAACCAACCGCTTGTTGCCAAAGTAACTTGTGAGACATTCGAACTGAGGGTGTTTTAAAATGCTACCAAATCTCTGATTGCTAAGGCCGAAAATAGCTTGGCTGATCGTAACTAAGACATGCTTTAAGAGCAATTTTTCTCACGCCTGATCCAGTAAGTAAAGACAAAGGAAAAAGGGATAAAATATAACTTTGTTTTATTTCCATGTTCAGTTATTGTTGTTCATCCTGTAGCGTGGGATTTAGAAAGTACTCAGTGTGGGTGTAATGACAACCCACTTGTAGTCTACAAACATGTTTGATCAGCTAACTTTTGTTGTGCAAAGAGGGCTCTCTTGGAAGGGTAAATTAATAAATGCCATAAATAAAAGAATGAATGTCGAAATATGACTCAAAGGACAAAAATTGACCTTTCGAATGAATCCTTTAAAAAGGTCAGCTAGTATTTGAAGACTGTTTGTATAGACGTAGAATCACAGTCATATTATGAATCTTTTCTTTTTTCAATAAAAATAGGGCATTTTGCCATTATAAACACCAATACCCCTCAATTCTGTTACCCAATAAACGAAAGAACAGGTGTACAGAACAAACTGCCTAATCATGCTAACCATCGACTGTAACGGGAAAGTCCCAAGGGATATTAAATTCAATCACTGGCACGGTAAGATCGAGTTTTCCTTGTACCGAATTATTGAAACAGACATTTCTCCCCAGATGGTTGCAGTCATGTCCGTGCTTGGCGTCTGTATTCAGAGTCTTTGAGTAATCCTCGAGGGTTTCCAGCTACACTGTGTCAGGACTGGACTTCTGCTACAAGGCCATGCAGTTTTCAAGTGGATGGATATATGGGCGTAGCTGCTGCAGCACCGTAAGTACCTTCATATCTAAAGTCTTTTTTCTTATTCTGTTGGAGTCGACTAATCTTAACTTCATTGTGCTGAAGCAGGATAATAGGCGAATGGTAGCTGTTACTATTTTATTTTATGAAGCTTATTGTACCGTAAATGTTATATTAATATTTGAAGAAATTAGAACCAGGAAGCGCAAAATTGCAATAACAGCATCAATATCCCTAAACGGGGTCCTAATTAATACAGCCTATTATATTATACAATATAAAAGCAATATTATTATTGTGTTTGCTTGTAGTAAAACGATTATTATGAAAGTACTCAGCAAGATATGCCCATAATGGGGGCTTAGATGAGGGTTCTATGTTCGGCAGTACATGTTTATGGTGTGTCTATGGGTAGGGGTGCTAATACTGACCTATATTTTCACTGAATTGGGTGAATGTAGGTAAAAAATAAAAATATTTCGGTCCCCGTATATTGACGTAGACGCTTTGGAATTTTTAGGAGAAGGGTGACACAACAGAACATGTCTGGTTTTAATGGCCTCGTCACAGTGCGCTAAAATTAACATGGTTGAGCCATTGGAAAATATAACACGGTACAAAAATATTACGTATTACGGATTACATCACAGGTAGAGGCATTGAAAATAAATCTGGATTTGTGACGAAGTTTCGGAAAAAAATTGACAAACGAAAAGATCATCTCTCACTACCTTTTCGCCATCTATCTTTGATTACCTTTTCCAGGAAAAATTGTGATGTTATGTAACTTAACAGTCTCCTTTCCTTGACCTTTCCGTCGGAGCATCTTTTACAACAACCAGTAATAGGCTTTTAGACCTTTTCGTTACAATTGACTGAATGCGGTGATTGAGGACGAGAGCCTGTGTCAATATTTGAGGCTAGTATACACAGAACAACATACGAGTTATTTTAGTCTTACTGTAGAAAAATCTTGAGGTCTAAATTAGATTGGCAAAATACTAAAGGACTTGTTCCACAATTGATTGACTTACTCTTAGCTTAACTATTATTTTGACAGATTTCGATTAATGATCGTTAAATGATTTGAAAATTAATTAGACTCTAGAATTGTGAAACATGATCAGGGTTTCTTAAAAGTTTTAGTTTAATATAATAGCCCGAGATCGGAGCCTTGAACGACGTTCACCGAGATGCTTGATGAAACATATTTTACATTCAATGTAATATGTCAATAACTATATTCCATATGGGTTGTCTACTAAATTTCAGTCCAGAACATGATTAATTAATAATTTAAAAAATACTTTTTTTTAATAATTTAAAAAAATACTTTTTTTAATTATTTTAGTTGAAATTTAAAGGCCTTGGTTGAAATTGTTGGTACCATTGAACGATGTGGTAGTCCTGTAACGTTTAGACTAGTTCTTCCTGAAAATCATAAACCTTTGAATAACAAGGTCTTCTGTTTGCGTATAGATACGTTTACGTAATAACAAATTTACTGGATCAACGAAATTACCATGTTATTGCAATTTTTGCGGCTTATCCTCAGAACCGAGATTTGTTCCCTTTATGACAAACCTGGTGCAATGGCAGCTCTGTTTTGTTTACGTATTACATAATTGTGATTATAATATTTAATATGTGATTTATTAAAAATATCGTTAACAAAGGTAAAGTGCTTTGTTCTAAATATTTTCTTTTTCCAGAATGTCCGGCAAAATGTATTTCAAAACGAATGCGCGGCCGCCCTTCGCAAGAAATGGACCATAGATAATAGGTATTGTACAAAAAAGTGTTACCAGTGATGTAAATAAAACTTAAATTAAATAATGAAGTCATTTTTATTTATTTTACTTTAGCTTTACAATTTTTTTAAAGTTTATTATTTTGTATGAAATTCGGTACAAAACGTTTTCACAAACAGCAACAAAAAACTTGTAATATTTAGATTTATCTATTTCGGCCTTCCGTACAAGTACAGAGTAGGTATCTACAATCACACTAATTAAATTCTTATAGCTATGACATTCAATAATCACATTTAGTGATAACACTTTCATATATTACTTCTGTTCTGTCATTTCGAGAGGTGCGATGTGTATTATTTTCTGAACAAGTTTGTATGTCCTCGTTACGCGATTGACGTTCATAGACCCAACAGAATTTTGGTCACTTGGCCTTCGACTTAGTGTACTAAAGCCTTAATGCAATCTTCAAGGCGTTTGTAATGTCTTGGTATATTGAAATTCTTTTGTTTTGACATATTTATATTCATACTTTCTATGTTTGAATCATACCAATGCATTGTCATGTTATAACGAGTCATCATGTTAAACAGTGAGGCGTCTAGTAAGCTCAATTCGTATCGATTTAGTCTGGGAGGGAAGTTTAACCTCTTGCAGATTCCTTTATGGTTCAGTAGCAAGTCCGTAGCGAGGTATCTGCGTAGTTAAAATATAACATTTAATAAACGTTAGTAAGAAATAATGCCACCAAACCATATGAAAAGAAATAAAAACAGCAGACTTAAATTGGCAACACCACATTTTATTTATAAAAATATACAAACCAAGTGTATGTAGAAAACATCAAAATCAATAAATGTTAAGACAGACAACGGATAGGAATACTCCAAAATTGATTGAAGTAAACTAAATCATTTGCATAAGATGCCTGTTAAAATGTATTTCGTTATAACGAATGGCCGCTCTTCACACGAAAAGGACCACAGATAATACTGTGTAATGTTCTTCACGATGAAGTATTTTTTATTTATTCAACTTTACAATTTTTTTCAATTTACTCTTTTATTAGAAATTCGATATAAAATGCTTTTCTCAGACAGCAACAACAAACTTATGAATTATGTTGTTTTATAGAAAATTACCGAGCAATTTTGGACGTAGTCGTTACACGATAGACATTTACAGAACTAACAAGATTCTAGTCATACGTGCTTATTTTTAACTTAAAAACATAGCACAATCTTCGATGCGTTCATAATGTGTTGGTGTTAGGAATTCCTTCTGCATTGCCATACTGGCGGTTGCATTTTCAAAGTTACATTGATACCATTCCATTGCCCTATTATAGTGACATATTACTTCCGACAGGGACACATCCAGTAAGTCCAACTCATAAGAACTTAATTTGGGCGGAAAGCTCAGCCTCTTGCATATTCCTTTATGGCCCAGAAGTACGTCCGAAGCAAGGTATCTGTGTAGTTGAAATATATCATTTAATTTTTTTTTTACTTTTATTCTGTAACGCTTGCCTAAGGAGTACTAATGCTACAAGCTATAGAAAAAAAGTAAACGTAAATTGATAAAACCACAATTTATTTATAAAAAGAATAACATTACAAACATTTACACTTGGTGATTTAGAAAATTGAAAACCACGTCAAACTTTAACAAGCATTTAGTAAGACACCCACAATATAAATACACTACTGGACGGCAATCACACATTAGCATAAGCGCAGTCGTCAAATCTCCTATAAGATCTAGGACAGAAGAATTCGAACTGGCAGGCATCGAGCCGGGTCGAGGAGCTGCAATATTTATAGTACCAGTCATACACCATGCACTGCTTGTAGGAGAGGCTGCTCAAAGCCAGATTCATACAAGTGGTCTCATGGTCGGTCATCTTCGGTAAGCCGAGGTTCCTGATGATGCCACTCCCACCAATCTCCACGGGGCCTGCGATGAATCTGGAGGCAGAAGATCTTGGTGTACTTCCATTATTCTATCACATCACTATATCACTGAACGGGTTCTTAATCACAAAATGCTGTTTTACCGAGAGACTGAGGATGACACCAAATATGTATTTTGGATATTAAAATAAAATTTTATGGTGACTGTTATGATCTAGAAGAACTTTGATGTAAAACTTTTACGAGCAAATATGTTTCAAATGAAGATATGAACATGTTTACAAGTGCAGTGTGATTTTAGGTTTATATAGATGCGATTGGTTTTATGAATCGTGTTAGGCCTTTGACAGAGTCTACTCGACATTTTTTCTGACTTTAGCTAAAATGTTGTCCTTTGTAGTGGACATAAGACTATGTACTAATTTTTGTATATCGCCAAAACCTTTTGGCTTGGCGTTGATAAATGAGTCTATCAATCACGTAGCCACAGCCTTCACTATTTAGAACCTTTTAGACCGTTACGTAACTTACGTTGCGCAGCAGAAATATTTTTGTTTCAATTTACAAAATATGAATCTTGTAATTATTAAATACCAAATATAAAAAGGTTATTAAAATTATTATCATATGGTATATATAGAATGTAGTATATAGAATGTAGTATATATACAGTTAGCTAACCAAAATGATCAAAACTAATGGATTTTCTATTCTATTAAAAATAATAAAACAAAATTGATAACAAAAAGTCGATAACGTTTCGATGTGCGATCTGTAAATACGCTAATATAAATAAAAAAGGCGTAAAATAGTAACCTGGCAGGGGATATAACTTGTCCAAGGTCGGTCTCAACGAAACCCGTCACTCTTGGAATGTCGTGGCACAAGAGTGCATGCGCCACGGAGGTCACCAGGCCAGCGAGCGCATGGGCCTCACTGAGATCCCCGGCCCTCTGGCAGGGTCCATCACATCTAGACACCCCCGCTGGCGCATTCCTTACCGCTTCCGTCATCATTTCAGCATTATGCTGGGAAAGAGGGATTTAATGGATTAACTCTAGTCCGAGGATTAAGCCGGGTTAAGTACGTTAGGATAAAAGATGTGTTGATCGACACTGTACGGATTCCCATTGACTTTTAAATCCGATTTAGTGTTAGCGAAAATGTGTTTGATTTAGTTGAGACGTGTTATAAGTCTAGATTAGTGTAAAGGCCGATTAGAATTGCCAAAATGTATTCGGTCAACATTAAGATTATACCTGAGCAAAATCGAAGTACTCAACAGCCTTAGAGAATAAAGGCACAAGTGTATCTCCTTCTGTGCCTCCCACACATGGTACTCTAGTGTACCGTGGTTCCAGGCAGAGGGCGCGTGCGGCGAGAGTACTCGCGCGCATCTCTGGTACCGCTAACGAGCCAAGCAATTTGTTTGGATCATACCAGCCTGTTTCTTTCAATGTCTGTAAGGAAAGGAAGGGAGTGCAGGTTCGTTAAGCTATCATAGAGTTTCTAAGTTTCGCCTGTTTAATTATACAAATTAATTATGCCCCTAATTCGGCTAATACACTGAACAAATTTTCACTGAGACGAAAGAATGTACATAATCAATGTTCTTTGACCCAAAAACAGCTACCGACCGAAGATAAGGCAAATTTTAGATTAACGATAAAATATACCAGTTGCGTGACAAAACCATGCTCGCTCATTATTTGTTTAATAAACCACTCGCGATTGTTACAAAGAAAGTCAGAAAACGTAATAATGAAGCCACAAAACATGCTAAGATGTTGCCGGGAAATAAAACTAATAGGAGTCGTGAACAAACTTCCAATATGCTGAAGTTTTTTCTCCTCGGTTCGAGAACAAACGAGGCTGGACGTCGACAGCAGAAAAAACCTTCGCCTTTTTACAGAACGAAGGCGAATGTCAGCTTCGGACTAAGCCGCAACAAAAACGATGGATAATTTCTTAGGAAACTTCGCCTTCAGTACTACACTGATGTTCTTATTGAACAAATTGTAATGCTACGTAGCTTTATCATATGGTATGTTTTTCAACTTTCTTTGGGTGAAGGTGTTTATCGGGGTAAAGTTCCTTCCCACTTATGATAATCATGCTCCTATTTCTTTTAGAAAACAAATATGAAACAATTTTTCATTTGCCAAATGATTATTTTTACAGAAACCACTAATTAAACACACAAATCAGTTTAGTATTCAATAGGGTTTGGTGTAATAATTTGGTTCCGAATATGAGTAGAAGCCACACATGAATTGGAAAGCTTTAGCGTAGCATAGTAAACAAAGCAACGTATATAGTCTGACAATTACTGCGCTTAGTAAATATTGACTTTCCAGAATTACTGACGAAGTTAAACAGCAATATGGCCGCGGCGTCAAAGCGGGAACAATTTGGTTTATTAGCAATACGTGGTAGTTCACTTATGGAGTTTCAATATTAACTTACATATTAGTTTGGAACTGACATTTTCGGATTAGTCTTGTTGTCCTTACTATAAAACTAGATAAGAATATAGCTGTAATTTTACTTTTAAATAGATAAATTCGCATCATTTATAACCGAGTTTGGTTACTATGCAAATACTAGATAAAATAGTTATTTATTCGTATTTTTGACCCAAAAAATCCAGTAGAAGGTATCACATTTCATCAAACGCAGATCTCAAACACGAGATCAGTAAACACTTTTGTTTCCACAATATTATCTTAGCAGATATAACAACATCTACACAATACAAATAACAACTTCAATGCTCCTTTTTGACAAATTCCTCTTTTGTTACAAATGGGATTTGGAGAACAACGCAATCCGAGTCGAGATTGAGAACGCTAGCCCCCAGGGAAGGACGTACAATATTTATCACTTGCTTTCTGGTGATTGTGTGAATTTATTTTCGAGCTAAATGGACAACAGTTAACTTTGAAGGATTATTGACCGATATTTCATAGTCTCGAAGCCCAGTTTGTTTTCCTGTCAAAAGGTTGCTTGTGAATATTGGAAATTTTGTTGAGGTATGCAAGAGTTAACCAAGTAATTTAGTATGTTTTGTTTCGTTTTCAATGAATGGTAAATCATAAGCTTAGACCAAGTAACAGTATTTTCAGTATTTTGGAAACCCACAAGTGTGTGCAGTCTTTAAATACCAAAGCTCGATTAAACACAATTAAAATCGAGAAATAATATTTAATGCACTGTCGGATTCTATCTATAAACAGGGTAAACAAATATGAATTTTATGACGTTGAAATATGAGCATCTAATTGAATACAACACGGAAGTTACGATAACGCTTGTATCAGACCATCTTAATGGATCGTATCTGTACTCATAAATTGTTGATGTCTAATAAAACGATGAAAATTCACTTACTTTACGATCGTGTTATAAAGAAGTATGTGTTTATAATGGAGAAAAATTAAACTTTGTTGTATTGAGAAAGAAAGAAAAATAATTTATTCGCCCCCAGACATGGACCACCGAAAATTAACACACAACATAAACATTGAAAAACAAAAATAAAAAATAAAAATATTGAACCTACATACATTTACAAAACTGTAACAAGATGAAGACAGGTCAACTAAAATCTTGACTCTCTACTTAATAAGGTTTGCCAAACTTCTCCCTGGGCAGGAAGGGTGAGAGATATAGTTGCTCTAAAAAAGGATATCGAAAAAAATCGAAAATAATACTTATAACCAGTACGATAAATAGTGGTATTAGAATTCAATAATAATGTTAAGTATTCAAATATCTTCATACAAGTCTGTTTTACCTTCCTTTGTATTTGTTTATTATAATTTTGTCCTTGTTTGTCTCAAAACATGTTTATTCCCACTGTCGTACAGGCCTTGGCAACTATTTTAGGGGCCAATCAGAATTTGTAACAAACATTGTAAGAAAACATTCCAATTCGTCAATTTTTTCTGTTTTATGATTGTTTTCTTTTATTGATTGCAAATCATCAACATACATAGAAAAGGTGACTTGGACATAAAAAAAGTTTGTGGATATATGTCAGAGAACAAAGATAAGAGGAAGAATAAATATTTACATGGTGAGGATTAGGACGAGGAGAACACAAGGTCATATAAGGATCGCATATCTCGTCTGCATACACTGACACAGTCACTAATGGACGAACACAAGGCAGTGCGTAGGCTAAAGCGTAGAATATCACAAGATGTGATCCAACCACAGTAAAAAAAAAAACTGTATTTATGAAGAGGATGTGACACAGGTCACATGCCGAAAACACTAACTAAAGTAACGTCCAACATACTGCCGAATGTCCCAAAGAAGGCGACAGATTGTAGTATTAATAAATAAAAAAAAAAAAAAAAACACGGTGAGAATTTTTTTGATCCTTCTTAAATGATTTGGTTTATAAAAAAATGTTTATGAAGATGCTTAAATTTTATGTGCCCTATCTTACACTACACGCAATGCACATGACCATGTCGCTCTAGCATGGACAAGAGTCTAGGAGCCTTTATACTATCCACATATTTCAAATGGATGAAATTTAAACGCTCTGGTTGCTGTTACGTAGAACGCCACATATGGCAGAAACATTAATCTTCCCCAGAACTAATATATCTTCGCGGCACTGAGTATGCGCTAACTCCTAAGTATCTGCAGCGACCTTATCATTTCAATGGTTTCCTTTAATTGAAGAAACGCTGCAAGTTACTTTTCTATTGATATTATGCACCTTACTCGTAATTTGCACTATTGTAATAATGACGTCACATCATTTCATTATAAACGTGACGTCACTGTCATTTCGAAATAATTTTAAATTGACCCGTTCAAAATCATCCCGTAAAGTTGTTCATACAAAAGCAGTCTCTAAACATTGGAAATAAGGTCTCAGTGAATCAGTATTCGAAAAATGGGATTTTACTTCCTTTTTTCCTATCATAAGAAACAAAGGGATATACCTCAGCGATCAAAGGCACCATGCAGTCAATCGGCGTAGCACCAACAATAATGAACGCCTTGGGACACTCGTTGGCGATAGCGTCCGCATAGCACTTTACTATCGGCGCTTGGTAGAGGAATCTCTTCTCGAATGGCATATCCACATTAAGGTAGCCGCTTTCTAGTATCAGTACTATGTCTGAGTTCTGTTGGAAATGGGAGAAGATTAGGATAAAGAAGTAAAACTAAAATGTTAGAGGAATAGGTATGTGACGTATTAAAATGAAGCACAAACATCTTCTAATGGCAATTTCAAGTATGTTACTGCTGCATATTGCAAAAATTTTCATAAATGAAAATACTAGGTACTACATATGTATAAGGCATTATAAATTCCTATTCTACTATTAAATTTCATCTACAAATTGAACAAAGAATGAGACATTAGACATAGTTTAATCTACCTACTTTCAAGTTACATTATCTAGTTCATATTTCTCAAAGAGAAAATATTTTCTCAGGGAAATGTAAGATTGTTCTTTAATATTTCACATTTTGTGATGTTTCCTAATGTTTATGTTGACATAACATAACATCACGCCTTTCTATCCCCGAAGGGGTAGGCAGAGGTGCACATTACGACACTTAATGCCACTGTACAATGTAACACCCACTTTTCACTATTTATGTTATGAGTCACATGTAATAGGGGGTGAGCTTATTGCCAATACCGGGCACATTTCCAGACTCCGTGCTACTAATGAAAATTTTAAAAACCCAGTAATGCTTTGCCCGACCCGGGACTCGAATCCGAAACCCCGTGCCCGGCAGTAGCACTTGCGACCACTCGGCCAACGAGGCAGTCTATGTTGACATATTCTATTTTTATGATACGTCACCTGTTACTAACTTTCGTTACAATTTTAATGAGTAAGAATATTGATAACGAGTGTTCTAATTTAACTGGTTATTTATGCTACACTCATCGGGTAAAAAGATCAGTGGTATCCTACTTCCTACTGATATTATAAATGTAGGTTTTTTTATGGCATAAGCCGGTAAACGAGCAGACGGATCACCTGATGGTAAGCAATCGGCGTCGCCCATGGACACCTGGAACACCAGAGGCGTTACAAGTGCGTTACCGGCTTTTTATGGATTAGGAGTTTGAGGATCGTTGGGGATTCAGGGATTGGGGAGATTGGGGAAGGGGAGGGTAATTGGGCCTCCGGTAACCTCACTCACACGAAGAAACACAACGCAAGCGTTGCTTCACGTCGGTTTTCTGTGAGGCCGTGGTATCACTCCGGTCGAGCCGGCCCATTCGTGCCGAAGCATGGCTCTCCCACACTTAAAAAATAAGGTGATAAAGTTATTTGATATTTTCTTTAGAAACGTCACAATTATTTTTGTTCTACCTCCGGTCTATAACAATATTTGTCTTAACTATTTTCTCTCCACTTTGTATTATAAAAAGGGATGCACTGTATTTCCGACGGTTTAGACTGTCCAGGCTGTCCAGTAGTGGACACGGCACCACGAGTGCTCTCAACTGTCAGGAATGTTCTCTTGTTTTCTTGTATAATATTTTCCCTCCATATTACTATAATATTGTGTTATATTTCATTACAATGTGTTCTTGAAATGTTGCTAGGTTTAAGTAACTAGCCACCATAAGCACGGGCCTGCGGACGGCGAGCATGGGTGACTCGCCGCCCGACCAGAACCAGGCCCGAGCGTACGGCGCGTCGCGTTCCGCGCGCGCCTCAAGGAGCCATCAGACCACCACAGATGGGGCCTAGCAGGGCTGATGCCGATACGGAGCCGCGGAAGACTTAAAGGGTTGCCGGGGCTCCGGCTCGAAGTGCAGGAGTAAGAACGGGGTGGTTTTTAGTCAGTAAGAGTCTGACACTCCCTCCCGCCTCACCCGGGCGGAAGAAGTCATTGGATGATTTTCCCCCCTCAAAAACAAAAAGGTTTAAGTAACTAATGTGTGATTTTGCATTGCTTGATAATATTGTAACTACTTGCAATATTTGAATGTAATAATGTGTTATTGATTTGAGTGATTTGAATATAGTGAACAAAACATATTTAAGCCTATTATTCTATCCTGAATGTGTGTGTGTGTGTGTGTGTGTGTGTGTGTGTGTGTGTGTGTGTGTGTTACTCTTTCACGTCAAAACGGCTGAAGGGATCGAGATGAAATTTGCAACAGGGATAGATTATGGTCTGGAATAACACATAAGCCACTTTTTACTTCACAGGAATGACAGGAAAACAGGCGAAGCCGCTGGCAGAAGCTAGTTAATAATATGTGTGTGTCTAAAAGTATGTTGCCCTCCTAAGTAACCATGATATAACCGAACTAAGACGCGACTGTCAATAACAATAATAAGGAAAACCGAGGGAAATATTTACGCTGCTTGAAGAGAGTTCGTTTTTATTTCGAAGAACGAACATGAGAATAAAACCAAACAAGCTACTTGCGGTTGGTGTGTTATGTATGTCACTTTTTTCCTTTATATTTTATAAGACTTTATACGACATTCTTCTCACACAAGCAGTTCATCTTATGAGTGTTCAAATTTTGCTACGGCGCGGCATTAATATCGGGCCTAACATGCACAGCTTTTCATGCGTGTCTTCGAGAAATTAATAAAAAGCATGTTATTGTATTTTTCTTCGTTATCCCCTCCATTATTCTATGCACCATTATAATATAAAACCAGACATACTTTTAAGTGTGGGAGAGCCATGCTTCGGCACGAATGGGCCGGCTCGACCGGAGTGATACCACGGCTTTACAGAAAACTGACGTAAAGTAATGTTGTGTTTCGTGTGATTCAAGTTATCAGAGGGCCAATTATTACCCCCCTCCCCTTCCCCAATCCCTGAATCCCTAACAATCCTCAAACTCCTAATTCCTAAAAGGCCGGTAACGCACTTGTAACGCCTCTGGTGTTCCAGGTGTCCATGGGCGACGCCGATTGATTCCCATTAGGTAATCCGTCTGATCGTTTACCGGTTTATCCCATAAAAAAAACTTACCTAATCGTAGTTATAGGTGTAGGTACCCCCCTACTAACGGTACGTACCAATTACATATCATTTATCGATAAATTTGGTTACAAGAGCTAGAATTTAAGCATGATTATGTCCAAATTCTGCTTTTTTATAAATAAACGTTGGATAGTTGCATACATACTCAAGTCCTTTACAAATCTACAAACTAGTCGAAAGAATTGTATAATCGGTGTAGTGGGTCGTATGCTACGTATTGATTGGCAAGGTGAGGTCAACGGCACGGGGGCCCTCTCGCGAATACCATGCATGGTTGGCTATGAATAAAAAAAATCCACCTTCACCATTGATTCAACTGCTATTTCTACTCAGTATTGGTTTCATTATTTTTTACTTTGTAACTGGAGTCGGGGTGGCTTTTTAATTGCTACTTTTTCATTGAAGGAGGTTTTGTTATACACGGGTTCATAACTTTTCAAATACTGATATTGTACATTGTTTTTATGTTACGAGAGAAGCAGGGGTTTCATCAGTTGGGTATTTTTCTATTCATCTAAGCTGGCTGAAATATTTTGAAACAGAACCCAGACTTTTGATAGAAGTGAGTTTAACCTATCTATTCCTAAACGCACAAATGATAATAAAATATTTTTAAAATGACAAACGCAAACAACGAGACCTTTCCGAAACCATGACTTTAACCATGCACTTTATGTTGTAAAAACCACCTACAATATTAAAATGTACAATTTAGAGGTTCACGTCTACTTTCTGTACGGTGCTCACAAAAAAGGCAAAACTTCTTATAAACAGAGAAGTTTATTTCGCTTCGTGGCGAGAAAACTTCACAAGCCAAAGTCCGGTGGAAACTTATACTATGCCTAGTTGATACTGAACCGGCAGAAACTGAAAAAAACTGGTAGAAACTAGAAATTAAAAGTTTAAACCAGTTTTAATTACTACCGACTTGCTTGCTTTCTTTTCTGAATTGAAGTCTGATTGCGAAGACTGTTGATTTAAGTGTTGACTGCTAGAAAACAGAATGTTCTATTTTTAAAATATTTCCTTGGTGTATTGGTTTAGATCCTATTGGTTATTGTTACTGGTTTACTCTATCTGTCATTAGGTTTAGATTCTATGTCTAATGGCCAGGTAAACATAATCGGTAATCGTTTTCTCGTCGAATAAAAAATAAACCAAATAATTAAGTGACTGGAAAATCTAAGGATGAAAAGTGGCCAAACCGTTTTACTCTAAACTTATTTAATAGTGGATTTATCGTATCATAAAAAAATATAAGCGTAATAATATATCACCGTAACCAGCTGTCTTTAAACACATAACCCTATATACAACGCCTAAAAAATAGAAGAACAACAAAAACTTTGCGTGGAAATAGAAACAATTTCGCATGATAATTTTAATTAGGCTTCATGGCCGCATCGTGGTAGGCGCGGCTTTTCGACAACACGAATCACTACGTTGTAATTAAAACTTATACTATCATATTACATTTTATTACTGTTCAGATATAGTAGTGTTTTCCGGTGATGGGTTTGTCTGGTTATAAAGTGGACTTGTTAATAGATAAGAGTCTTGTACTTACATCTATGATTGTTACTCTTTAATGTAATTTGATTGTCAGAGAAGTTTATATTAAAACTTTTGTGATGCATGCTAAATTAATTATAATGTTTACTCATGTAACTGTTTGGCAAGGAACTTGACTTGTTGTCAGCAGCGTGACAGTCGCCGCGTCGCGGGTCGCGGAATGCTGTTCATGAGCAGCCTCTAGCATGGCTTGAAACTAGACGAGTTCTTCATCAAGCAGTTGCGTGAGTAAGCCAAAAATAATAATATTTTTTTTTTTGTAATAAACAGAGATGGCACATATTTAAATACCGACTTAAAATTTAGTAACCTTTCAGTATTCGGGCGAAAGACTGTCATGTTTCTGTTTTAACTATAGTTAGTTACCTTAGTAGGTACATTACCTAAATTCAATAGATATTTCAAAATTCAATTCATTGACTTTCGACACAACAAAGTTTATCTAGCTTCGAAACAGAAAGTTGATAGCATGGCGGGCCAACTTCTCATCGAGTTTGACATTAACGCTGAGGTTGGCTGCACTGCGCGATATGCTAATGTCAACGGTGTAGAACTCGCCAACTAGATTATGTTAGACTGTGACCTATTGCGTTTGTTTTTCTCGTGATATTACGTAGGAAAATCATAGCAAATTATCCTAACAAATTTTAGGAATAAGAGGGATAATAATTTTAGGGCCAATTTTTCAATCAAGTGTTAATTCTTAACTGTGGAATCAAATTGACATTTCACAGCTTGTAGTATGGAATAATTGTCAAATATTTAAAGTTATTCCTGTGATAAAATTTAACCTGAAAGGTGAAAATAGGGGATTCAAGTATGAAACAGTCTACGTAGATAGTCTACATAGTCACATATCTACAATATAGAATACCTCTGTAAATTGTGTTTTACTGAATGATCTTACTTTAAAACCAACAATACAATTGATTCAATACATATATTACTGATAGTAATACTATTTAAAACTTTCAAACAACAAAAATCTACTTTATACCATAGCAAATAAAATTCAAAATCAACCTGTAAACATCGTTCGAGTTCGTAACAGGCACAGCTGAATGCCTGTACTAGACAATTTGTGTTGATATGCTGAAGATCTTGCACTACGGAGCACAAGTCCCGGGTGCAACCCTGAGAATCTTTCGCTTCATAGAGACGTAACCTGCAATCCGATTAGATGGGATGATGAAGATGGCTTATCGGAATTGAATGGGTATCAGTAAGGATTAAATCGATTCTCGTTTTGAAACGAGTTGAGCTTTTGTGGTCGTGAAATCGTTTATAAAAATGTTTGTGTTAAATAGGTCATGGAATTCGAATTTTGAATTTAGATGAAATAACTGGTGATAAATATTTCGGTATTTCTAGAATAGAGTAGTAGATAGTGTATGAAAATTAATATTAAGTATAATTAGTTCGTCAAGTAGATATTGAAAAAATATTACAAATATACTTTTTATTTGTCTTATAAGAAAACAATACCAAGTTAAGTTTAGGAGGTCATTACGTCACGTTACCCTATAAAATGTAGTAAATCGTGACGTCTCATGATATTTCAAATCGATATATCGTCGATAGTATTTAATTTAGTAAGAAAAGAAAAAAATGTCGTGCCTAATGTTTTAAAATATCTACATACTAGACGGACATTAAAATAAAATGTAGGATACTACGCTATTGCAAAAATTAAAACTAATTCGTATTTGCTATTAAGTACGTAGTGGGTAAAATAATTGTTTGATTTTAAAACTTTCCTAGTCTAGAGAGTGGTACACAGAAAACCATTTTTGTGAATCCCATAAAACAACTAAAAGGGCACTACTCAATGTGCAGAAGCCAGTTATTAGTCATAAATCAAAACGAAACGTATTAAGTCAGAAATGTAATACAGACTCAGTTTCCTAGCAATAAAAATTGTGATAAAATAGCGTTCCGCGGTATCACGGACGCGTCGTAAAATCTTTGCTCCTTATACACTGAATGATCCATATAATGCCTACGTCCTTACTAAAACTTTGATGTGCACAGCACACCAGAAGAAACACGCGAAAACAAACCTTATAGCTACGGTTATAAAGACGCAGTTTACATCTAATTGTGGATGTAGTGCTGTTCTGTGAATGCCTAACATTTCTGGTCTATGGCGGGAATTTATGATGGCACTATGGAACGGATGAATGCATTTTTTATGGTCGTTCGTGTGTATAGTGGAGTATGGAAATGGACGTCGTCTGGTTGTTGGGACTCGGATTGTTTATCTTAAAAAACTTAAGTAGGTAATGTAAGTTCACACTTCATAATATATTTTGTAAAACTATCTAATTTTATAACTAAACAATCTTCCTAAGTACTTAAGACTTAGAGTAATATAAGCGAGTTTTATTTCTTTACTAACATAACATAACATCACGCCTTTTATCCCCGAAGGGGTAGGCAGAGGTGCACATTACGGCTCTTTAATGCCACTGTACAATGTAACACCACCCATTTTTCACTATTTATGTTATGAGTCCGTAGGTTATGTATGTAGGTGGTGAACCTATTGCCATATATCTGGCACAATTTCAGGTTCCGTGCTAGTAAGTACTGAGAATTTAAAAAAAAACCCAGTAACACTTTACCCGACCCGGAAATCGAACCCTAGACCCCTTGTCCCGCTGTCGCATCAGCCACCACTCGGCCAACGAGGCAGTCTCTACCTTACATTACTTAAAAAAAAAATCAAGAAAATATCTCATTTAAAAGAAACAATAATAGATTCAAAGCCACTAAAGTTGTGGCAGAATCGTTTGCGTAATAAAACGGACGTGGACCATCAAGGGAGTCCCATAGGAGCAGATTCATGAGTCGTAGCGGACGGCCAGTTGTGCGTAGCTTCTTATTTTATGAGCAAAGCGTTTTAAACGGAGAACAGAAATAACTAAGAAGTTCTTTATTTAAATTAAATGGTGAAAGATAAGGCTTTAGCTATTTTGCAGTATATTCACGAGTAAAAGAAAAAAGGTAGGAAATTGTGTAATGTATAATTGTTTGTTCATATGACTTTGAAGAAGTCATTTGTCTAGTAAAAGACCTCCAAATCGGTTTAAATAATGATCAAATTTAAGGATGGTAAATCTATGTAGATGTAGTTGGCAACTTTGATACAAAAAGAACTTGGTAGAAGGAAGGAGTGTGTATAAATGCAAAATCAAGCAAAATCAAGAAAAAACCTAACTTGATATCAAAAGATCACAATGAATTTCCCAAAAGAATGTAGGGCAATCGAGTACATAAGCTGTCCGTCTATCCTAGCAACAATTTCCCAGTAAAGTTATCGCAAGCTTTGATCAAATCCCCAAAACAATACCGAGAAACCGTTCAAACATCACTTTCTAGCTACCTCATCAATCGTGGAAAGCAAAACCATCTATATACCCACGACATTAATGTGAGGGAACGATTCTGATCCCGAGCGATAAATTCGAAAGGGGCAGGCGAACCGTTGCGCAGTCGTGTTGTGACATCGGTGAGACGAACGATCCCTGAGGGCTATGGATTTCATGAGCCATGTGAACGTGTGAAGAAGCTCAGTGTAGAATACCAACTTAACAGGAGAAGAAATTAAAGAAGAGTTGGTTGATTTTGCATAAGCTAGCAATAAATAAGCGACGCAGAAAAGATATTGCTATAGCAGACTATAACATTTTACTAGCAAAGATGTGTAAGTATACGGAAAAGAATATTGTAGTAAGCATTGAAATAACGAGATGCAACAGATTATACGTATCATAATTAAAGCGACGCTTAGGTACTGATGATACAGTTGATACTTGTTCAAATAGAGAAACAGCTTTATTTGAAGCAAATTGACAAGTGGATCTTCTGTGTCTGTTTACCTATTGACTTTCGTCTTGAGGGCAATGACGTCATAGCCAACTGGCCAGCTGAGCGTCCATAAACTGTTTTGTGTCTATACACTACGGGCGAAGGCGATTTGACCGTAAACTAAAGAGGTTTGATTAAATTTCGTTTCAACCAATGAGCGTTTGATTGGCCGCTGACCGACTTTACGGGTCTGAATAATTATTGAAATGAGTAAAGTCGGTCAGACATTTGTCTGAGTAGGCTTTGTAAAATTATTTAAGTTAATAAAGCAACACTGATTAAACCTTTGATGTTTGATTGCTTAAAGATGTCAAATAGAGTTATGTGTACAACATGGCTCATAGAACTTTGTTCTTGTATCTATGATGCTTTTACAATAGCATATGAAAATTAATCTAAAAACACATCCCTAATCAAGATTTGTACCCTGTGACCCTGGGTCCCTGGTGGGGTTTGTGACCCTGGGTCGAAGAAATTAGTTTTTTTAAAAGTATAGTTTAATAATAATATAATTCATAAATGTTTAAAAATAAATAGGTATTTTGTTACCAACCCATCATTCAGTGTGACTTAGACATAGCGTGACAAAATAACAAATTTAATTATCAATCAAGACTTAGTTTCCATTCATTTTATACACAAAGCTATTACAGTTTCAAGGCTAGATCAAACGTTAAGTAGCCTAAAACACAATTTAACATAATAGGAATTGCGTAGCGAAATGAGGGCAATATAACGAAGGCTAAAGAGAAATGACCTAAAAAAGTAATTATACATATTGTTTAAAAACGTAAATGACAAAATAGAAGTAGAAAGGTCATCTGCACGAGCGGGAGTCGTTTGTGGGAAATGTCCAATTAGGTCAAACGGCAATACGTATCCCGTAGTCCCGGGAAGCTATATACTCCAAGTTGTGTAAATGAGACTCAAGCAACTGCGCCGAGATAATTAGCTTTTCGAAATAGCGCAAACTCGTAATTTTTTGCTCTGTAACAGCATTGATATTTGGTATGCGTTCATATAGGTCTGGTGTGCGAAATAAGGTTTTATAAAGATTATTTTTTACTATTTCTTTCATTCGGTTAAGAGAATCATGAAAATTTAAGATAAACTGACTGCGTCGTTTCTTTTTGTTTACTGAGTGAATGTGTTTTTCTAAAACGAATCTTAAGATTATGGCATTAGAACTCACTTTTTAATGCATGAGCACTGCTTCAGAAGCAGAGCCAAGTACTGTCCTATAGCCGTATCGGCACCAAGCACTGATACCTGGACACCAGGCCGAGGCTCCGGCATTGGAGGGTGTTTCTTCTTCGGTTCCGGTAACGCCTTCGGTGGAGGTTCCTTCTCAGTACAAACCGCTTTGCATTCAAGGCGACGAAACGGCGCTATGCAATAATGATTCTTATTGAGTAAATGTTTAAGTTTCATGTCAGTTTGGATAAATTTAAAGTTAATTCATGATACTGTACATACGGCTTACATTACTTACTTCCAAAATTAGTTCCACCCTCAATGACCTTCAGTTTGATCTTATGCAGTATACCTTCCTTCTTCTTTTTCCGTCTTTCACAAGGTTGTGGACAGTTAGGGTCAACGGGAGGTGGGATGTCTACATGAGCTCTACTGCAGCCATCGTTTCTAGCTTTCTTTGTGTAGCATCTGCTCAGAATCGACTCCACCGCCTGGCAGTTCAAAATTCTCGATGAACTCACGACATGCGACCAAAATTCCAGGGTCCTAGACATAATGCTAGCAGATATCTATTTTTGCAACTTTTTTTTAAATTTTATAATAAATATTTTTTTTTATCATGTGGGTGCTTCTTGTTGCTGTTGTGAAATTTTTTAGAAATATGATGACATTTTTAGATATTTTCACAACTTATTCTTTTCTTGAATATTTGACAGAACGTTGCTGCTGTTTCTTTGGAATTATAAAGAGGTTTATAGGTTTAATTCCTTTGTTGGCAAAATGCTACGCTAGATGTCGACCAATAGTATAATAAGTATAGGTGATGTCGACTGCCTGACTTCTGTGACTGATATCTATGACTAAGCTTAGGTAGATAATATTGAGCATAATTTGTTTGTATAGTTCGCTTATACACAGGTGCACTCTCTTCCCTTACTCCTTACTTTCATGATCAAACACACGGTAACCTATTTTGAAGTTACCTATATAAAATAAACTTGAATAAAAAATTCACCAGAACAATCAAACAGATCTCATTTCATTCAGAACTCTTTAATTAAAGCGACCACGTCCAATAAACATATTTATAGTCCGGCCGAGCGGTCGAGAGGGAAAGCGCGTCAACGATCTGCCTTGACACTGCAGTATTTATAGTCTACTCTCGGCTGTTATTGGCCTATTTCCTCACTAGTGTTTCTAAAATAGTCTCATTCAATCAATGGACCTTTGTTTACACTCGCTTTGTTTTGTTTCTGAAAACTATTTAAGCTCAATTTATATGTTGAATCGTAAGGCCCATAGCGTGTAAAAACATACAGATTTTTTACGCACAGATGACGAGCGGATACGTGCTTCATATGAGATTCGAACGCAATCTTGTAACCTAAGCACACGGAGCGATCGTAAAATGCGCCTCTGCAACGCATATATGCACTGTAGTCGTTCGTAACGCACAACAAAACAATTGGACACGCGCGTATAAGTACTTCATGCGCGCGCTTATATCATTAATGGAAACGCAACAACCAGCGTTTACGGCACCAAAGACGCGCGTACCCAAACGCGCATATAAAAAAGCACTGCGTGCTGTGGGCCTACAAAAGTTTTTATTTCTTGTTTCTATCTATATACATTGAAGGTGAAGTGACTAAATAATCGGTTACTGTGTAATGTGTAATCGCTGCTCAGGCAAAAATACTATAGAGTTCTTCCTTATGTAGCCCGCAGTTTGAAAATTCCATGTTTCACTTGCGAAGAAACCAGAATATCTAATAACGGGTCTCATTAAGAAAGTGAATTATCCTGAACGAGTTCTCTAGAGAAGATAGTAATCTCTCCATTATACATGGTTGTCAGTTGAAAATTAATCAGAATTACTTAAGCAAGGCAGCAAGAACCAGATCCAATAAAGGGTAAATTTTTCAAAAGACAAGCAAAAGTAGCTTAATTATCGCAAAGGATAGAGGAAATTAAATAAATAACTAAGTTAGTTTGAAAGTTAAATGAAACTCCGTCCAGTTTCCGATGTTATATAAACAAAACTGTCAGAAATATTAATCAAGACTTTAATGAAACCCCAATAAGGTTCCTTTGAACTTGACAACATGGTTATCACACCTGTTTTCCGGGGCAAAGAATTAGCAATGTATGTACAAAAGCCCGTTAAGCCCATTTATTTGTATTGATAAGTTTCTCTCATGCTAATTGAATATGACTCCGATCATGGTCGTACAGTGTTATATCTACTGTCATATCTTCGGTCAAGTCAGTCTCCGTAAAAAATACTGATAATATTATTTTCATTAAGGTTGGACCCCAAACCTTTAAAGCCTCAGAATTTGCATTTTTACTCGCCTAAAAAAGAATAAAGGAAACATTAATCTGTATAAAGTCAGCCACCGATAAAAAAACCATAACCAATTGGCTGCCATACCAAAGGGTCACCTTTAATATTATCAATTAAAAAGTTCCTTCCGAAAAAAATATAGCTGACTTAGATGAAGTTTCCAGTAATGGGAGCAATTATGGAATTTAGCCGAGCGAGCACCGGCCACGTAGTTCGATAATCTGATAACATTGAGTTTAAACCGTAGTTTTAAAGTGTTTTCTCGTAATGGGGATACACATTCATTGTGGAAATTGTTTTTCTTCTTATAAGTGGTATTTCTGTGTCATTTTGGATCGGTTTAGCTTGGCAAAGTTGTTTTGAACATATGTATTATTTTAGGAAAACTAAAATTATAATCTTTCTGCCTCTTGCCTACAGACGCGGATTTCATGATAGAGATTCGTGGAAACCAATATAACTTTCAAAGCATATCCAAATTTTGACAAAAAAAAATGGAAATAATACGTATTACTTTAAAGACTAAAAATCACCCCGTTCCTACTCTTGCTCTTCCAGCCAGAGCCCTGGCAACCCGTTAGGTCTTCCCCGGCTCCGTACCGGGCATCAGCCCTACTGAGTCCCATCTGTGGTGGCCTGTCATCACATAAGTAGTTAACTTATTTTGGGCACGAGAACTAAACAAAACTTGAATAAAAACAAACCAAACAAATTGACATGTCGGTGATCAGTCAAAGTTGAAGAAGGAAATAGCGTGACGAACTACAACTAATCGAGCAATGGTCATCGAACCGTTCGTGTTTTAGAACTAAACTGGACGCCATTTTAGTATGCTCATAAACTAGGTCTTTTTAAGGCTCTTGACCTTTTAAAAGGACATTAAAAACTTAAGTTTATATTTGTCCTTTCGTTTTGCGTACTATTTTTTTTTATTATAAGAGAAAAATATGTCTAATTTTTTTCTGTTTTGTTTATGGCAAACATGCTTTTGTTGCAAGTACTATAGTCAGTTGTCATTGTATAGTGCTTGTCTTATCTATGTTTGAATGAAATAGATCTAGATAGTCCTATAGTATATGTAAACTGTGCATTTTTCCTGTACAAACTATTGTGTAAATGGTTTCCCATTCATGAGTCATGACTATTAACAGAGCCTGAAAATTAAAATACTATATTTTATCAAATAAAAAGCTAATTATATCCTACTATCCACAGACTAATTTAACATTTAGTTTGAGTCTATTTTTGGAACCTTATGTATGTATAGCTCTAGCTTTTATGTAATGAATGAATGAAAGATAAAATTAGACATACGTTTGAGCTATTTCAATTCAAATACTGTAAACTTTTGTTATTACTGTTATGAACACTAGAACTTTTGTTATGTTATGTGATTAAACTAGATATCCGACATCCTTTCTATTGTCTTTCAATTAGAATAAAAAGTTCAATGTCACACGTTTCCTATTATTGTGAATAATATGGGAATAATTAGCATCGGATGTCTATTGTCCTTGACCAATTGTCCTTCAGAACGGACATCCAATGATAATCACTGGATGTTGAACGTCCGGATGGGTAAAAATATTGTTAATTTTGCTATTTCAATCGACTGTGTTCTATAACTGTTCGTAACAACGTAGTTATTCTGAATTATTGTTCCGATTTTCATAATAAGTAAGTAATTACCTGCGATGTATTTTGAACTAGTTCAAAGATTTACTTATTTTGAATTATGATTATGTATAATAAAATGGTAAACTGAAGAAGCGATATTGAAGAATAGCAATCATAAGTCCGGTACTTCTTTTCTGTTCTCTCTTTTCTCTAATATTTCACTTGAGAAGCTCTATAGAATTATATAGGTTCTGTGTATAGAAAACTTAATGTAAAATTGTTATACAACACAAAATGTCTAACTTCATGAAGTTATGATTCACAAACAGTTTACTACTGCAATTTACTACACAAAGTACATACTGGCCTACGACTACTATTTCCCGGGAATGGTTGACTCATGGGAAAGCCATTGTGGTCGTCAGATCGCGTGTAGTGGAACCACACCCAGTCTGACAAGCGTACGTCGACAACAGACGTTTTACTTTTTTTTTCTGTACAGTAATGTTCAAAAATTGTAGGCTAGTACCTAAATGTCGAGGGGTTCGTGGGCGATTTGTGACGCATTGAGTTTTTCTTGTGTAAGGTTTTATAATAATAATGCGCTGTTCAAAGATATTGGTAGGTATAGTACTTATTTTATTCATTTACTGGCTATAATCCTGACTTTATAAATGCTATATTACGCATAAAAGAGAATGAAAAAGAATGGAAACTTATAAGTTATAATAACATGTAACATCACCGCCATTCGGTGTTGTTCTCAAGCCCATATTAAAAATCTTTATAAATGTAAAATGTTCTACTTCTCAAGACTATTTAGGCATACTTAGTATTGATACTAAGCTATGCTATGGAAACCAACAGAAACAACCTCATCCTACAACAACCAACAATCCTCAAATTCTTAATCTCCAAAAGGCCGATAATACACTTGTAACGCCTCTAGTGTTCCACCAGGTGTCCATGCGCGACGCCGATTGCTTACCATCATGTGATCCGTCTGCTCGTTTACCGGCTTATCCCATAAAAAAGCAGCAGCATTATTTATAGACGAAATTACGACTATCATTCTGTCATAAAAACTACAAAATACTTTCCACCAAACTGTACGACTGACCTTTTGGAAAAGACTTGATTTATATAGCAAGTTGGATGGATTCCGTTCATTTGACAGCCGTTTTCAGGAGCCGAGGTCACGGGAAGTCCGTAAAAAGTAGGTTTCGGTAGTTTTTTGTTACGATAAAAATCATGTTATCGCTATGTATTGGGCGCATTTACTTTTCATATTGTGTAGGTTTTGTATGTCTAATGGTAAAAAATTGCGAAACATGATAGGTATATATAAATTGTAACAATCGATGTGACTTGCTTAAAAATATAATGTAATACTTTTTATTTCCAAATAATTCTTTAATCCCTCGAGCGTCCTTATGAGCACGCGGTGGATCATAAGAAAAAATGCTCCAAATGTCACGTATGCACCCGTTGGATCATAAGGAACGCGGACGCTAGACGGGTTAATAAACTCCGTTTAAAAAAATCGACTTTAACCTCCTCTTTTTTTTTGAAATCGGTTATTTAATATATTAAAACCTTTTCCTTTTCACACTTTTCTGAAAACTTCTCCGAAATCGGTTCAGCTGATCGCGAGATAATCGTGTTCAAACATAATATACACAGGTCAAATTGAGAAACTCCTTTTTCTGAAGTCGGTTAAAAAGATAGACAGAACCTGAATGTCTACTATAATGTAGAGAGTATAGACGCTAGTCCAGATTTTGTGCTATGACTGGAGTGATTGA